CACACAGCGCTGACTGTCACCTCAACCCAACACGCTGACTGTCACCTCAACTCAACACGCTGTCTGTCACCTCAACCCAACACGCTGTCTGTCACCTCAACTCAACACACTGACTGTCACCTCAACACACTGACTGTCACCTCAACCCAACACACTGACTGTCACCTCAACCCAACACGCTGTCTGTCACCTCAACCCAACACACTGTCTGTCACCTCAACCCAACACGCTGTCTGTCACCTCAACCCAACACGCTGTCACCTCAACCCAACACGCTGTCTGTCACCTCAACCCAACACACTGTCTGTCACCTCAACCCAACACGCTATCACCTCAACCCAACACACTGTCACCTCAACACGCTGACTGTCACCTCAACCCAACACGCTGTCTGTCACCTCAACCCAACACACTGTCACCTCAACCCAACACACTGTCTGTCACCTCAACCCAACACACTGTCACCTCAACCCAACACGCTGCCTGTCACCTCAACCCAACACGGTGACTGTCACCTCAACCCAACACGCTGTCACCTCAACCCAACACGCTGTCACCTCAACCCAACACACTGACTGTCACCTCAACCCAACACGCTGTCTGTCACCTCAACCCAACACGCTGACTGTCACCTCAACCCAACACGCTGTCTGTCACCTCAACCCAACACGCTGTCACCTCAACCCAACACGCTGACTGTCACCTCAACCCAACACACTGTCTGTCACCTCAACCCAACACACTGTCTGTCACCTCAACCCAACACGCTGTCTGTCACCTCAACCCAACACGCTGTCACCTCAACCCAACACGCTGACTGTCACCTCAACCCAACACGCTGTCTGTCACCTCAACCCAACACACTGTCACCTCAACCCAACACGCTGTCACCTCAACCCAACACGCTGACTGTCACCTCAACCCAACACGCTGTCTGTCACCTCAACCCAACACGCTGTCACCTCAACCCAACACGCTGTCTGTCACCTCAACCCAACACACTGTCACCTCAACCCAACACGCTGTCTGTCACCTCAACCCAACACGCTGTCACCTCAACCCAACACACTGACTGTCACCTCAACCCAACACGCTGTCACCTCAACCCAACACGCTGACTGTCACCTCAACCCAACACGCTGTCACCTCAACCCAACACGCTGTCTGTCACCTCAACCCAACACGCTGTCACCTCAACCTAACACACTGACTGTCACCTCAACACGCTGTCTGTCACCTCAACCCAACACGCTGTCTGTCACCTCAACCCAACACGCTATCACCTCAACCCAACACACTGTCACCTCAACACGCTGACTGTCACCTCAACCCAACACGTTGTCTGTCACCTCAACCCAACACGCTGTCTGTCACCTCAACCCAACACGCTGACTGTCACCTCAACCCAACACACTGACTGTCACCTCAACCCAACACGTTGTCTGTCACCTCAACCCAACACGTTGTCTGTCACCTCAACCCAACACGCTGTCACCTCAACCCAACACGCTGTCTGTCACCTCAACCCAACACACTGACTGTCACCTCAACCCAACACGTTGTCTGTCACCTCAACCCAACACGCTGTCACCTCAACCCAACACGCTGTCTGTCACCTCAACCCAACACGCTGTCACCTCAACCCAACACACTGACTGTCACCTCAACACGCTGTCTGTCACCTCAACCCAACACGCTGTCTGTCACCTCAACCCAACACGCTATCACCTCAACCCAACACACTGTCACCTCAACACGCTGTCTGTCACCTCAACCCAACACGTTGTCTGTCACCTCAACCCAACACGCTGTCTGTCACCTCAACCCAACACGCTGACTGACACCTCAACACGCTGTCACCTCAACCCAACACGCTGACTGTCACCTCAACCCAACACGCTGACTGTCACCTCAACCCAACACGCTGACTGTCACCTCAACACGCTGACTGTCACCTCAACCCAACACGCTGACTGTCACCTCAACCCAACACGCTGTCTGTCACCTCAACACGCTGACTGTCACCTCAACCCAACACGCTGACTGTCACCTCAACCCAACACGCTGACTGTCACCTCAACCCAACACGCTGACTGTCACCTCAACCCAACACGCTGACTGTCACCTCAACCCAACACGCTGACTGTCACCTCAACCCAACACGCTGACTGTCACCTCAACCCAACACGCTGACTGTCACCTCAACACGCTGACTGTCACCTCAACCCAACACGCTGACTGTCACCTCAACCCAACACGCTGACTGTCACCTCAACCCAACACGCTGACTGTCACCTCAACCCAACACGCTGACTGTCACCTCAACCCAACACGCTGACTGTCACCTCAACCCAACACGCTGACTGTCACCTCAACCCAACACGCTGACTGTCACCTCAACCCAACACGCTGACTGTCACCTCTTGTTCTCACTGCGTTACACCTCGTGTCTTCGTTCTGTCTCGCGCGTGTTTCGTCTTAGATGAAGACTTCGTTAGTTGTGCAACGTTCCTGAAGGACTCTGCACTAATTCACTGCGTCGTTCCTGAATGACTCTGCACTCATTCACTGCGTCGTTCCTGAAGGACCCTGCACTCATTCACTGCGTCGTTCCTGAAGGACTCTGCACTAATTCACTGCGTCGTTCCTGAAGGACTCTGCACTCATTCACTGCGTCGTTCCTGAAGGACCCTGCACTAATTCACTGCGTCGTTCCTGAAGGACCCTGCACTCATTCACTGCGTCGTTCCTGAAGGACCTTGCACTTTCACTGCGTCCCTGAAGGACCTTGCACTCATTCACTGCGTCGTTCCTGAAGGACTCTGCACTCATTCACTGCGTCGTTCCTGAAGGACCCTGCACTCATTCACTGCGTCGTTCCTGAAGGACCTTGCACTCATTCACTGCCACGTTCCTGAAGGACTCTGCACTCATTCACTGCCACGTTCCTGAAGGACTCTGCACTCATTCACTGCGACGTTCCTGAAGGACTCTGCACTCATTCACTGCGTCGTTCCTGAAGGACTCTGCACTCATTCACTGCGTCGTTCCTGAATGACTCTGCACTCATTCACTGCGTCGTTCCTGAAGGACTCTGCACTCATTCACTGCGATGTCGAAGTTTTTGTCTTGAGCTTTCGTTGTTGCTGTGCCGATGCACAACGGGACCACTCCGTGTGTAACAAATGGAATCGACTGAGACTCGAAGGCATTATTATTGACGAATGTGTTCAGCTTCACCTTCAGTATGAATCCACAGCAACTTTGCTTAGGGGTTCATACTTGGTTTACACGATTATCCATTTACTAACACAGTACACACATAATCCAGACACATACGTCACATTATCAATGTATTTATTTCAACAGTAAAATGTTTATTACATGCATCTTCCAGTAACCAACACTTAAAAGGCATTTTTGTTTACACTGCCTTACATCAGGAGACAAGACAGCAGGCGACCGTTCTGGGGAGTGACCTTCTTAAGAGCAAAGACAACAAAGAGAGATTGACGATTTGACCACCCTGACGATCCTTTAACTTGAAACCACCGGAGAGAAGCAACGGAAGGTTGGTGTATGAACACACGTGAACACACATGAACACACGTGAACACACGTGAACATACACATGAACACGTACACACACATGAACACAGACATGAACACACGCGTGAACACACGCGAACACGTACACACGCGAACACACGTGAACACACACGTGAACACACGAACACGTACACACACGCGAACACACGTGAACACACGCGAACGCACGTGAACCCACATGAACACACACGGGAACACACGTGAACATACACATGAACACGTACACACACATGAACACGTACACACACACATGGACACAGACGTGAACACACGCGTGAACACACGCGAACACACGCAAACACGTACACACACGCGAACACACACGTGAACACACACGTGAACACACGTGAACACGCGCGAACACACGTGAACACACATGAACACACGTGAACACACGTGAACACACACACGTGAACACACATGTGAACACACGTGAACACACGTTTCCATTGGGCAGATGTTGAGCGGTGAACACAGCCTTCAAGATGAAGTTGCCAAACGCCACCTGTTTTGGCCCAGATGGGAGTCTTCGTGTGCTTTCACAAAGTTCGGTCGTGGGTGGTCTGAAGCTCTTGACATTGTTGTTTTAATAAATCAGGATTTCCTCCCCACATTATCATTATGTTTTTGCCCGTAGGCTTTCACAACCAAAATTATGATTCACTGCTGGTTTCTTTAGGGTAAGATCTCGTTGCGTTGTATAATGTCGATCTTTCACGAATAACCCCCTCCACCACCCGACAGAGCCAATCCGAATGAAGCCGATCTGGCGGGCGCAACTTGGCAATGTATTTGGTTCGTCAGCAACACCGGGGGAATGTTGAAATGGCAAGCAAATTGTTTTTGTTTGTTAACAATTTGTATCCGACGTTGTAGTGGAGATTACAACCAGCATCATCAGGCGAATGACAACATCTCAGCAAGCAGTTTCAAATGTTCTGGCTTCATATTCGACTGGTGACATGGCCGAGGCCAGAAAACGCAATGCTGCTGCTGCTGCGTGGAGTGGGCGTGGCTGTGTGAAAGTGGGTGGGGGCCTGTGTGAAAGTGGGCGTGGTTGTGTGAAAGTGGGTGGGGGCCTGTGTGAAAGTGGGCGTGGTCGTGTGAAAGTGGGTGGGGGCCTGTGTGAAAGTGGGCGTGGTTGTGTGAAAGTGGGTGGGGGCCTGTGTGAAAGTGGGCGTGGTCGTGTGAAAGTGGGTGGGGGCCTGTGTGAAAGTGGGCGTGGTTGTGTGAAAGTGGGTGGGGACTCATATTCTTAGTTTTTTCGGTAAAGTCACGTTGAAGAGAAACAACAAAATAACAAAATATATATTTTGTTATTTAACAAATATATATTTTGTTATTTTGTTGTTTCTCTTCAACGTGGGCGTGGTTGTGTGAAAGTTGGTGGGGGGCTGTGTGAAAGTGGGCGTGGTTGTGTGAAAGTGGGTGGGGGCCTGTGTGAAAGTGGGCGTGGTTGTGTGAAAGTGGGCGGGTCTTATGGAAGGAGAGGCTAGCTGCACAGTTCCCTTAAATTGTTTCCTTGGTTGAGCCTCCAAGAAATTTGGTAGCTTAACTTAACGAGAATTAAGAGCTAAGTAGAAATAAAAATCAAAGCTGCGTCTCCCAAATTACGATGGAAATCGGTGCCTTCAGGGAAAGCCGAAGTAATCGGCTAAGCAAGCGAAAAAATAATAAAAATAGCAGAGGTCGCCACTCATTGCTGTTGTTTGAGCAAACGGAAGGTCAAGTGGAGGTGGGCAGGAGACGGAATAACGAATTACGGAGCGGAGGACCGAGAGAAGCGGAGCGAGAGTCAGCGACGACGTCGCAGGGTTCGGAGGTCGCTACTGGCCATGATCGACTGGCGAAAGGAGGGGACGGAAGAAAAATGCGGGAGGCTTTTTTGCCCAGCAGGGTAACGTTCAAGACCGACGACGACGACAACAACAACAACAACCACAAGCTGAAGGAGTCACCGTGACGGGAGCCCCGTCCGCTCTCAGCACTCCGCCGACGCTTCGCGCTGCTCGGCCAGCTTGTATTCGAGGTGGAGCAGCTGGCGCAGGAATCCGTCGTTGGGTCCGATGGCGCGGCAGGAGCGCACCTGGCGCAGCGCCGACTGCACGTCGCGGCCTCGGCGGAGCATGAGGAAGGCGACCACGAGGCTGGGAGAGCGGCTGTAGCCCTCGCGGCAGTGAACGAGCACGCGCCCTGCGGTGAACAAGCACGTGCCTTGCGGTGAACAAGCGAGCGCCCTGTGGTGAACAAGCGAGTGCCCTGTGGTGAACAAGTGAGTGCCCTGCGGTGAACAAGCGAGCGCCTTGTGGTGAACAAGCACGTGCCTTGCGGTGAACAAGCGAGCGCCCTGTGGTGAACAAGCGAGTGCCCTGTGGTGAACAAGAGAGTGCCCTGCGGTGAACAAGCGAGCGCCTTGTGGTGAACAAGCACGTGCCTTGCGGTGAACAAGCGAGCGCCCTGCGGTGAACAAGCGAGCGCCCCTGCGGTGAACAAGCACGTGCCTTGTGGTGAACAAGCACGTGCCTTGTGGTGAACAAGCACGTGCCTTGTGGTGAACAAGCACGTGCCTTGCGGTGAACAAGCACGTGCCTTGTGGTGAACAAGCACGTGCCTTGTGGTGAACAAGCACGTGCCTTGTGGTGAACAAGCACGTGCCTTGCGGTGAACGAGCACGCGCCCCTGCACCGCTGCGCAGCAGAGAGGCGTCTCGGATTTGCCGTCCGTGCGCTACGGCTCAACGGAAGCCCTTCGATTGCGCCCAGCGGGCGTTCACGCGGTGCCGCACATTGACATTCGTCGTGATGATCCCTCGCCAGAGCAATGTGGAATTACCACCACTTTGCTCAGGGGCTTTGCAAACTGGCGACGGGCATCGCGTGATTGTCCCGTTTGAGCAGGAAATAATTTATGACTTTGCGTCCGTTAAAGTCTATGCTCATCCATCTGCCATGGAGATGTGGAATGTCCGCCTCTGGCTCTTAGCTCTCAACAGGCGATGAGCGCCGCGTCAAAGTCCCATTGAGCAGGAAATCGCTTTGACTCTGCCTCGACATCGTTGCGGTGCGTTAAGATAGATTCTTATGGACCCGGTGGCACGCCACATTGTAGACCTGGCGAAAGCCGAGTTTGATTCCCGGCAGAGCGAAGACGGAGCGGCGGGAGTGATATCTGAACCCGTTCTGGGCACAGCACCCTCAACGGGACACCCACTGACCAGCATGGTGAAGTATGGTCAAACAGACCCATCGTGGGGTTCGGCTTCCATCCGAGCAGTGGACTGACAAAGCGGGGCCGCACTTTGTCACGGCTCAACGTGACCCCTCCAGCCGCTGGAGGCGCTACATTCATCATCCTCAGAGCACAGCTTGAAGGCAGCGAGCAGAGTCGATTCCCGAGTTCACCACCTGATGAAAAGTCTCAAGCCACCGGTGGCTTGAGACTTGAGACTTGATCGAACAGAATTCCATCAATTTGTTGGCACGTACAAATGATAAAAATGAGGGTTTCGTCCCCAATTTGTTTTGTAAACGCAGGCTTTCACAATCAATATTACGATTCACAATCTAGAATATTATGATTCACTATTAATGTATTGCGGGTACGATGTTGTTGCGTATGACGTCAATCTTTAACTTTGAATTGTTGGCGTGAAATAAATCATCACCGCGGTCACTCACTGCAACCTTTAAAAAGGAAACCGATGCCCTCGGTTTTTACGACTTCGGACCCCATCACCGCTACGGGAGATCCAATTGCACCGTCGCTGTCGAAGCCCCCCGCCCTGTGCTGTGCTCATCAGCCGTTCTCTCTCGCTGGCCCCCGACACAGTCAACGTGCTACGGTCGATCGAGACCCGGCATGGTGCCGATTCATCGGGGGGTGCAAGCGACGCGGACACACGGAGAGCGCCGCGCCACCACGCACCCCGGTCGGCAGAGTTCGATTCCCGCTCGCGGTCAACATCGGTGACCGAACGTCTGAACCGGTTCTGGGCCTCCCCTAGGTCGACTCGGCCTTAAACGAAAGACCCGGCGCGGTGTGCAAGCGTCGCCACTGGAGAGACAGAGGCGACCGAGCGCGGTGCTGGCCACCTCCACCCGGCCGCTCGGGTTTCATGCCGGTAGCCTTCAGAGGTGCTGCTCGCTAACAGCACTTGCCCCAACAGCCTGCGTGAGGCTACAACGGGGGGTGGGGGACCTTTATCTTTGGACCGGTGACACGGAGCTGCGGGTACCTTTGGGGTGCGAGAGCGCCTTCTCGATGAACTCGGCCCTTCCTCGAAGAACTTGCCCAGGTCGTACGAGTCGAGGTCACAGGCGGGGATGCCGTGGTAGACGATGCCGCTCCCCTCGTAGAACGCGGGGCCCGTCTCCACGTGCATCAGCGTCGTGCCGTGGGCTGCATTGAGGACGTGCGTCACGCCCAGCCGGTGGGAGATTCCGGATGCTCCTCGCGATCTCACTGGGCACCACGCACACACAAAGATGCCCGGTCCCAGCAGGGCCCACCGTGTGGTCTCTAAACGCAGTGGGTCCTTCTGGTGGGCGCTGGTGGCCTTTCGTGCGGGCCCCTGATGTGCGCCCCCCCCCCCCCCCCCCCCCCCCCCCAACAGTGATCGGAGGCGGCGGGGAGGAAAATAATACTCGGTAAAATGTTGAAGAAAACTAAAACCCGCACCCGTTTGCGTATTCCGTGCAAAGCAGATTGACACCTGGGGCTCCACACTTCGATATTTAAGTTATAAACGTTCAGGAAACCGATGACCAGTGTGACACGTGTTTCACATGGATGTACAATGACGCCGATGCTAACAAAGCAAAGAGAGAACGCGTGACAAGCGGTGATTATCGTGCCATTCTTCATCGTCTCGCCCCCCTGTTTTTATAAATATCGCTCCGCCGATGCATCACCGTTGACGATTGAGAGCTGGCGTCGCGTGTTTTTAAGTGACGGGGAGTGTCACTGCAGCTCCGGCATCTGCTGCATTCTATATATCAGCGCAGCGGCTACATGTCCTCAAGTCTCCGCGCTATCTTTAGATCTACAACTTGACTGGATTGGATAAACACGCTGCGCTTTCAGACCGCACGCATCCACAGCAAAGTTCTAAAGGGTATCTCCCTCTTTCTCTCTCTGCTCAAATAAGACATTGAGGCAGCATTTCAGGCAATGGCTTTTCAATGATGTGTAGCACGTAAGAAGAACCATTGCCCAAAATATCATCGATTATATATTTTTTTATTTTAAAGGCCACAATTTTATTGCCGAATGTGTTGAGTTTATTTGTTATTTGTGCACCACTGCCAACTGTAAACTATTTTTTATTGTACCAGGTAAGGTCCCCACTGAGCTATGTAGCTCTTTTTCAGAAGCCACCTGGTCATCACAAATGATAGCTCAACGAATTGGCGCATCATTTTCGATATTTATAGCAGCCAAATACTCTAAACGCGTGACGTTGATTCTAAATGTGGAAGGAAACCCGGAGGACCCGGAGAAAAATCCACGCGACCACGGGGAGAGACACACACAGACTCCAAATATAGAGCAGGCGTCAGGGTCGAGAACCACGACCTCCTGTGTACCAGGCGAGGTAGTCAACATCTCCTAAGCCACCACGGTGCCTTCAGCAGCAGCATCACCAAATAATTTGTTGAGCGCTCAATCCCAGCAGTGGAAATTTAATATTGCTAGGGTTGTGCCACACCGCCCATTCATTTATCACCACTGGCTTCAGACAAAGTGGCACTGGCTGTTTCGGGTGGTGGCGGGTTTAACGACACATGCATATATTTACGCAATCTAACCCAAGCAAAATCTGTATTATAAAAGTGGCATTTATAAGTCTCAACTCCAGAGGGATGCAGGCCGAGCCAACTCCCGAATGGGATTTGAACGCCAAACCTGACGATTGTAAGTCAACAAATCTCTCACCACCTGGCTGGATCAACTTAAAAGACCAATACAGTTTTGCCAATCCACTGCTCGATGAAGGCCTGCCCCAAGCCGCGTCAGTCATGGGAGCTGTTTTTACCATACTTCGCCACGCTGCTCAGCGCCAAGTGGCTATGCATTAATCGCCGAATATTTTCTGTGTCGCCTGTAGGCAGGAGTAAGAACGCGACTTCACGAGAGGTACGCCAGAAGACATGAAGCATCGATGCTGAGCGATATCTGTCTTGGGTTAATGAAAAAATACTCGCACTGAAATGTCCTCGTTGCTTAAAATACATCACTGTGGTCGGAACAAACACTTTCGGTAAACGACTTTAGTTGAATTTCTTTCGCCCCGTAGTTTCAACAACATACATTAGAAGGATTACATGCTTATAAGCGTTATACCCGCAGGACGAATGGTGAAAAACGATAGTTTCTAAAAGAGGTTAATCCACAATTATATTTAATTAGACCGACGAAATTGTGCTTGATGGGGCCGATTCTGTTCATTTGCTGCTCCCTATGTGTAAATATGATATCTTCCGTAGCACTTACATCACACTCTTTCCCTTCTCACGATCTTGCTCACAATCTGCTCCAATTCAGTTTGAGTCTTATGGAGCAGCGGTGGTGGTGCAGCAGCGGTTTACCACACTGCTCTCTGATCCAGGCCACCTAAGTTCAATTCCCGGCAACGGCTAATGTTAAGTGGCGAATGATACATCAATCGGCTCTGGACACCTCCCCACCTTCACCAACCGGTATTTAGCAGTGTGGTGAAGTGTGTAGTGTTGGACTTCTTTTGCACCGTACGTAGCCAAGCGTGCAAATCGGAGGCGCGAGGGGGAAGGACAACAAACTACAGACACGGAGCAGTTCTAAAGAAATTAGTTTTCATTCTAGATGACATAAAAGTGCACAGCTCCAGTGGCCTCCTAATATGAGAAGGAAGAGCTTTCCAGACGGCCGCAGCAGCGCATCTGAAAGCGCCGCGCGACGATGATGATGCGGTGACCGCCGCCTTTGTTCGATGGCGAGCAGCCAAAAGCTTCTGCTGCTGCTGCGAGGATGGCCGGAGTTGGCTTGATGGTGATGTACGCCCCTTGACGAGATCAGCGAGGTATTGTGGTTCATCTGCGGCAAGCACTTTGTGTGTAATGAGTGCGACCTTGGAGGTGAAGTATGGTCAAACAATTCCCCTGCCCCCCGCCCTAAAATGGTACGGCATGGGAAGGCCTTCATTCAACAATGGAGTGGCAGGAAACGAAATAATAACAATCATCATATAGGCCATATGTAAAACAACAACAACAGTAAATGCTTACCCCGAGCTCTCAATACTCTTGACAGTGCGCGTTTTTGAGGTGTACGCCTTTTGGCGTCATCTGGTCCAACACCAATGGAGACCAGGCTCTAAGAAAAGCCGTCTCGGGTGTGGACCAATCAATTTCAAGGACAGTGCCAATATCATTATCAGAGTTGTCTCTTTTGTTTGCATTTTGACTGCTTGTGTTGTGGTTATTGCAAACATGATCCCTTGTATAAAGGTGTCAGTTTTGGTGCCAGATAAAAGGGTAAAAACCTATTACTACAACAATAACTTTGTTATGGATATAGGCCTTCTTGCCGTGACAATCGTCTTGAAATTTTATTTAATTTCTCCACTGTCATTTCTCACCATCTCTTTTTATTCTAAATTGAATCTTCACACTTTGCCATCATCTCCACTGCTTTCCCTTAATAATGTCACGTCCCTGTAAATAAAAACAACAACAACCCAGACCAGACAGCTCGTCACGAGGATGCTGTCCGCCTGCCACGAAGTCGCTGTTGCCTTTTTGGAGATTATATCGACATCAAAACCGCAACGCGTCATTGACAATTCCACCGCTGGATGAATGCCCTCCCCCACACTGCTGCGTCGTTCATGGGTGGGGGTGGCTGTTTCACCATACTTCACCACACTGCTTAGCGCGGGGCCGGCGAGACTCAGGACTTGTTCAGAGATCACGCGCCGCTGGTATTTGCCGTGGCTGGGACTCGAACCTTGGCGGCCTGACAGCGCCACTGAGAGCATGGTCCCCTCGCGCGTCCTGGCATGTCGTAAATAAATAAACAATGCGCATACTCGCACAGAGTTATTTTAGCGCTGGTTTTTTTTCTTCTACGAGTTGAGGTCTTGGACAAGACCTCGAACTAATTTGACGCCGACGTGTTAAACAGAACGTGGCCAATTCGCCACTAGTACAGCAGCACACCGGTGTGTTGGGAGAGCCAAGCCACAACATTTACAATCTGAGTACGACGTTTCGCCAGTAATTACAACTAGCTTCATCAGGCGACAGCCAGATTTGTGGAGAAGTCCACCTGTTGCGCTCCTTATTTCGAGGCGTAGTAGATGTGGTGACCACGCTTCAGTGCTCTTGCGCCGCGTGTGCGGGGGTTGGGTCAATATGAGCAACATCTGGTTACCATTGTTTACCGTGAGCCTCCTCCCCGCTCGACGGACGGAGATCATTCACTGGGCGCTCTTTAACCGTGCGCCGCGGTGAAACTCGGCACGCTGCCACGCGATGGAGGGCGCTGCATGCAACGTACGCGTCTCCCACGAGGATGCCGGGGAAGACCTCGTCGCAGTGGTCGCAGGGCAAGTTGTAGAGGCCGTGCTCGTCCACGAGCAGCTCGTTGAGCACATTCACCATGAAGTCGGACATCCTCCTCCCGAGTGCTGTAGACAGCTGCTCCAGCTCTCTCTCTCTCTCTGTGCTGCTACTGATGCTAGTGCTGATGCGATTGCAATTGCTGGTGTTGTGCTGCTGCTACAACTACTACTGCTACAACTGCTGCTGCTGCTGCAATTGCTACTGCTGCTACTACAACTGCTGCTGCTGCTACAACTGCTGCTACAACTGTTGCTACTACTGCTGCTGCTACAATTGCTACAACTGCTACTACTACAACTGCTGCTGGTGCTACTACTGCTGATGCTGCTGCTACTGCTACAACTGCTGCTGCTACAACTGCTGCTGCTACTACAACTGCTGCTACAACTGCTACTACAACTGCTGCTGCTACTACAACTGCTGCTACAACTGCTACTACAACTGCTGCTACAACTGCTGCTGCTACTACAACTGCTGCTACAACTGCTACTACAACTGCTGCTACAACTGCTGCTGCTACTACAACTGCTGCTGCTACTACAACTGCTGCTGCTACAACTACTGCTGGTGCTACTACAACTGCTGCTGCTACAACTGCTGCTGCTGCTACTACAACTGCTGCTACTACCACTGCTGCTGCTACAAGTAGCCGGTGCTGCTGCTGCTGCTGCCGCTCTGAGACCTTGGCCCACGAGAACCGCTCACGGGGCCCTCGGTTCCCCACACCCCACCGCGACCCTCGCCTGTGGCACACTGCACTCACCACTGGCGAAGTTCAGCATTGGCCGGCAGCCAGTGGGCTCGGTTCTTCAGGTTACCCCGCAAACCACCACCGCACCCCCTCCACCCACGAATATTTTCCAGCAGTGGCAGCCCCCCCCAGCCCCAGCCAGCCCCACGTGTCCGCTCCTTGCCCCGCTCACGCCTCACACGAAGCCAGCGGCGCATTTCAGAAGCAACGAGCCCCGCCGACGACAAATCATTACGGGCACATCGTAAAATGTAAAACAAACAAACAACACGTGTTGTTGTTTCTACTTCACATAGCATGGCTACAGTCAGTGTCACACGCATTCATCACTTTTACTGTAAGGCTTTGACAAAAACACATAAAGTGAAGACAGAAATAGCTGCTCGTGAAAATACGATCCACGAGGGGGGGGGGCACGTGATGATGGTGGTGGTGATGGTGATGATGGTGGTGATGGTGGTGATGATTGTGGTGATGGTGGTGGTGATGATGATGGTGGTGGTGGTGATGGTGGTGGTGGTGATGGTGGTGGTGATGGTGGTGATGATGGTGGTGGTGATGGTGGTGGTGATGGTGGTGATGATGGTGGTGATGGTGGAGGTGATGGTGGTGGGGAGCGATGGTGTAGCGGTTAGTGCTACGCTGCGCTCTGAACTTGGTGACCCGAGTTCGATTCCCGCTCACCAGTGGCGATTATCTGAACCGGTCCCGGGCCTCCCCTAGGTCGACTCAGCCTCAAATGAGTACCTGGTGCGATGTGTTAACATCGCCACTAGGGAGACAAAGGCGGTCGAGCGTGGTGCTGGCCACCCACCCCCTCGTGTACCGTTCCGGCCTTCATAGGTGCTCGCTAACAGCACTTGCCCCTACAGTCTGTTAAGGCTATACGGGGGATCTTTGATTGGTGATGGTGGTGATGATGATGGTGGTGATGATGGGGATGATGGTGGTGATGATGGGGATGATGGTGGTGATGATGGTGGTAGTGATGATGGTGATGATGGTGATGATGGTGGTGGTAGTGATGGTACCTCCCTGGGATACCACCAGCCTCGTCCTGGTGTTAGGGGAGGGGGGGGGCGTCAGGCTGCTCTCCCGCCAGCGTTTACCGTAGAGAGTCTGTGGGCTACTCAGCAGGAGCGCGGTGGCGTGGGCACCTGTACTGGTGCCTAGTGGGGGGCTCAGGCAGTGTTCTCCACACCGCCTGAGCCCACAGCTCGCGCTGCTGTCCACAGAGGGCTTCTTTCCATCTTCGTTCCCGGTGAAATGCGCTCATCATGCCTCCCGGCGTGCTTTCTCCGATAATTATGGACATCGGCACGGCTTCATTTTCTTCCTCCTCGAACCTCTTCGTTTGTTGCGACGTCTTTCCAAGAAATCTGTTGGGATACCTTTTCAGGCCCCACGTTGTGCTCAGATGTCGCGAACATTTCTTGATTGATTGGCTGGGTCTCTGCTCCAGAGCAACGCGATGTGGATAGCACCACGGCTTTGTACCAGTCTGGCCGTTGTGAACAAGTTCACGTCATTCATTGCAATGCACGTAAAGAGAATGCAAAAGTCTCGCTGTGCTGGGCAGACGAATGTCTCTGGACTCGGCGAGAGCTAAGCGACCAGTGTTGCATTCCCGTTAATTAATTCCCAATAGCGCTACGTACGGTGCGAAAGAAGTTTAACAAACATGCTCACTGTTATGTTCACTGGTCTGGCAGCTGTCTTAAGACATTGCCTCCAATCTGTCCCACACTAAAAATAAATGTACTATGTGCACAGACGGCTGGATTTTGCAACGACTATAAGAATAGTCATTGACAAACCATTGCCAATCCACTGCTGCCGGATGAAAGTCTCTGCATGCCATGCCAGTCACCGGGGTTGTTTACCCATAGTTCACCACTCTGGTGACGGTGGGTCAAGTGAATGGGGGGGGAGCTTGAGCTGGTTAGCCATGGCCGGGAATTGAACTCGGGTCTGCTGAATTCACTAATCCACCGCCCGAATCACGATTTTATATTTTGCTTCAAAATCCATTCAGTTTCGAAAAAAACCCCGACACGATTGGATTTCAACACAGTGCAATAAAAGTCTGATGGCTCCAAGTATACTTAAAACAAGTGAAAGTATTGTTTTTATATTTACAATGTCACGTTGACCCTCTGCTGATAATATGGAAGCATGGACTGGTTTCAATCTCGTGGAGGCTAATCGGCAAACCACACTCGGTTTATCCACAGCTGGGAATTGAACTCAGTGTGCTGGATTCACTGTAGCACTGCCGCACCGCCAACCTTAACTTAATAATTATCATCAAAATCCATCATTTCGCAAATAAAATCACGATATAATTGGATTTAAACAGTTGCAATACAATATCATGTCTCCGAGTATATTTAAAAAGTAAGTGTTTTGTTATAATTACAAAATAAACAACGTCATGTTTAAATTTTGATTTAAAGCTTTCGTGACTGCAGTAATTAATATTCTTAGCTCTTTCGGTAAAGTCACGTTGAAGGGAAACAATAAAAATAATAAAATATATAGAACAAGAAAAATTCTCACGAAACGTCGTGAGAATTTTTCTCACGAAACGTCGTGAGAATTTTTATTGTTATATATATTTTATTATTTTTTATTGTTTCCCTTCAACGTGACTTTACTAAAACGTCATGTTTACCCACCGACACTATTGAGGTTGACATGTCACCCAGAAACACAATCCGCAGTGTGGAAGTAGCGACTCGTTTCGACTTTATTCAGGCTCACCGGACATCCGCACTCGACTCCGCACCGCTATTAATGCGGGAGCCTTCTGCAAATGTCAACACCAACTCCGAATCACGGGGCTCCTGATGTCCAATTAAAACAACAAAAATATATAAAAAAAAGTTAACGAAGATGATGCTGTTCCAGCGCGGGCTATCTACTAAACACGTCAAATAAAAACTGCACGAGCAGGAACATCGGTACCACAGCCGGAGACGAGACGGGGCCGGGGAGTTCCGCTGGCGGGCGACACCACGGGAGCGCGCGTTTCGTCTCGGGCCACATCGCGACTAAAAACATTTCGCGAAGACGAGGCGAGTAAGAATCTCTTTAATGAGAGTTTTATTCAATCGATCTTCATCGCTTCCCCCAAATAAACCGTGAAGGCTGCGCCTCAGCGCAGATATTTTTTCCCACCCCCCCTCTCTAAAAGCCACTCAGAACCCCTCTCTTTTCGAACGCCTGTCTCGATTTCATCGTCTCGATTCTGGTACCAACTTTCAATCGCTGCCCCACGTGACATTCCGCAGCGTTTCCCAGTCGAGTTCCTCTGACAGATCTCTTAATTGTTCAGAAAACTTTTTTTTAATAAAGAATTAAAGCTTTCGTGACTGCATATACTCGTTTTTTTCTGGTAAAGTCACGTATGTAGAAATACCATAAAATTATGTTAAAATCAATCACGACGATTCGATCGCTGACTTGTACCTCGTATTTGTTCACTCTGTCTATGATGGTATGTTCAATCCAGAGGTTGAACACGAAATTTAGCACTCTTCTGAAAGTCGTGGTCCGCCAGGTGTCTGTGTTGTTGGCCTGACTGGTTGTGCATCACGTAATTTTTTCTTAGGTTTGTTGAATTCTCGTCTCTCATCTTCTTGGTGTATTTACCTCCGTGATGTTTTTATTTCACACCTGATGAAGGTCGCTTGTGTTGCGGTCGAAACGTCGTGATTGATTTATTTTAAAACTTTTTTTGTAGCCTACCTTTGTTTCGCCATGTTTATGCTGAGCCCGACGTTTTTGTTACAAATTATTTCTAACATTTCCCCTCAGCTCATTGCCATTCTACAAGACTTGTCATTAGAATATTTGCGAGATGGTGAATGTCACTCTCCCCCCACACTAATATTTAAGCCTGTGTTTTATTTCTTTGATCAATTTGTTGGGAAATAGCTTCAACTGTTGCTGTGGAGAACGTTGGCAATAAACAGGGTGCTTCAAAAAAATGTTCACACTTCCGAGGCTTTGCAACAACACCACGTGACACGTGCTGCTTCCTCCAGGCCCTGCAGACCACGTGGAGAAGATTCCAGGCCACGTGACAACGATGGCGAACGAGCGGGAGACTCTTTGACTTTTAGAAGCTATTAACATTACATTTGTTATCATGTTACAGTGCAGTATTATCCGTTCTTTTTCCATTGACGATAGTCCCATGGAAGTGTTAACTTTTTTTAAAGCACCCTGTATATATTGTGGGGCTCTGCGCAACGTCAACTTTGACTGTTCCACGGCTTGTAAATTATTTATTATTCCAAATGCGTTTCATTGTTAGACCTTGGTTCGTGATAGCTTGGATGACTGCATCAATGTCCACCGAGTCACCATTACAATAGTCGACAAAGCGTCAATGGCAATTGAAATTCACGAAGTCTCTTGCAAAATCTGATGAACAGTTCGTGTGCGGCTGACGGGGGAGAAACATTTCCTACACCGTGCTTGCCACTGCGGTCGGTCGGCGTCTCAGTAACGTGTGTTAGTCCGTTCACAGTGACCTTCAGGAACAGTTTATATATGTTATTTGTGCAACAAGGGACTCGTGCGTCTGTAGTTCAAGTAATTGTTCTATCCCTTTTTGCATATAACAATAAAAAGAGGCAAAACCATTCCACAATGGGGCAGTATTTAATTTACGTGTAAACATTTTGTGGACATGTCCCAGCACTTGGCCCCACCTCTTTGGAGTTTAAAGAGTTCCACCATCTGCCCCACGAGCTCTCTACCTTTTAAATTCCTGCAAAGGGCACGGCGTTTACTTCTGTGAGCACGACGTCTGGAGGCGCTCCCCCGCGCTCCCCTTTCGTCTCGACGATTTGACTCTTGAGCATTAAAGTCGGGCACAAACGGGGAATCGCTCTGGGATGGAAGCCCAACAGAATTTCAAACAAACGGTGTGGAAAAGAAAATGGGATCCACAAACTCGTATTCGAGGATAACATTCCTGGACGAGGTTTCCCAGATGCTCAACAGAAATCTAACTTTATATTTTTCGAGCCATTTTTAGAATTAGGATCAATATTTCCCCCCCCCCCATGCAAAAAAAAACCAACCAGCCTCACCAGCACAGGGATATTTTTAGCGGAGGTGGACGCTCAACTATGTGTCAACATCTCAACGAAGCATCGATAACCCGTGCGATCGCGTAGACACATGATCACGGTTAATTTTTAACAAATCATCCATCATTCAACTCATCCGCAAATATCTCTGTCATGTGTACGTCACAGCATAAACCGTAATTCAACTGCAACCAACGAGTGGAATAATTTACCGACCAGGAGTGAGAAAGAAGAACTTCTGAATGGATGTTTAAAAAAATCAAGTTCACAGTCCGTTTGCAGTCCACTGCATGGCGGTTGCATCACGCACAGTTGAGAGTGGGTTGAAGGGGGGGCAGATGTGGGGGGGGGGGGGGGGGGGGGGAGAGGTCACTAGCCACTGATGTTAGCCGTAACCCGGAATCAAACTGGGGTCGCCACCATGTTCATATCCGAGTGCGCTAACCATTGCTCCACTGCTCCTTCACACGTGCAAATCCATCAATACATATCGACCCGTGGTGAATCGCGTCTCTTGTATGTATGTTGAACTTCTTTCGCACCATACATGGCCAACCGCGCTAATCCAATATGACACACGAGATGCTACCCCGCTGATCCCATTATCCGTGCAATTTTTTTTACTCCTCTCGTCCCATAAAAACGCGAAAAGGAATAATTTGACGTCACTTCTCGCTCACTACTCTTTATCAGTGCCAAGACACGGACAACAGGACGAATCGTAACTCGACGAATGATGTCCTTGGATTAGCACGGTTGGCTACGTGCGGTGCGTAACAAGTTCAACACGCAAACGTACATGTCACGGTTATTCCAGGAAAACGACTTCTGGGCCATTTGGGCCGAGTCAAGTCCCCGGACAGGGCACGCCACGCCACAGCAAACATAAAACAAAAACTTTATAGAAACATTACTCCACGTGTAATTCAGCGGCCGTCTGGAACGCGCTTCCTAATCGACATTGGTGTAATTACCCCAAAATGACACCAAGCATTGGCTTGGTGTCATGTTTCGGTAATGGGATGCAGCCTAACGGTTATTTGAAGATAAACGGTCTCCGATTGGTAGAACGAGGCCTCCACAGTGATTGGTCGGGAGGCAGACTTTTAAAGGGTATTGGAGGAATAAGGCTTGAATGAGATCGATCGGGAAAACAGAGAGGAGATCCGTTAGAGGGGGAAGGACAGGGATTGCCTAAGGGACAAACAAGGACGAAAAGGCTCTGGGGAAGGGGGGCACGAGGACTGTAAAAGGGGAGAGAGCACGAGGAGTGGCGACGTTCAGGGTGAGTTACGAGCTGGAGACACGCACGAAGCCTCGGGTCCCGTAGTGAGGCCGTGTCCCAATAAAGTGGCTCTTATTACATCGTCGTCAGAGTGGTTACATAGGAAGCCACTGGAGCTATGCACTTTTAAATCCAGCTTGAAAACTCGCTTCTTTTTGTGTTGAGTTTGTCGTCTTTCCCGCCGCACCTCCGATTAGCACGGTTTGGCTACGTACGGTGCGAAAGTGCAATGTACATACGTACAAGCGTGTGTGTGTGCACGCGCGCGCGTGTGCTATGTAGCGGTTAGCGCGCTGTGGTACGAACCTGGCGACCCGGGTCCGATTCCCGCCTACGGCAAACACCAGTGACGATTATCTTAACCGGTCCAGGGCCTCCCCTAGGTCGACTCAGCCTCAAATGTGTACCTGGTGCGATGTGTCAACATCGCCACTAGGGAGACAAAGGCGGCCGGGCGTGGTGCTGCCCACCCACCCCCTCGTGTGCCGTGCCGGCCTTCATAGGCGCTGCTCGCTAACAGCGCTTGCCCCTACAGTCTGTTACAGGCTACACGGGGGATCTTTGTCTTTGAAACCCCAGGCGGGAGTCAACTCGGCCTACCGTCACCCCCACGAGTCAAAACAATGGAGTTCCACTGCGCCGGTGAGGACCAGCCACACTCCGGGAGACTTTGCCCACGGCTTTGCGACGTCACCGAGCGCAGGGCAGCCGGTGGCACCATCGGGGCTCCCCGTCGCAACGCTCCTCCCCGGCTTCCCGTCTGCAGTCAAGCGCTTGCTGGCGTCCTTGAGGAGGTCTTGCGCCGGCGATAGACTTGCTCCGGTCTCCCGTCCTTCATGGCAGCAAACCTCGCCAACGTGAAGAGGTAATCGCTCAGCCTGCGGGGGTCATCGTGCGACGAACGGTGAGCGCGGTGCACAGCCTCTCCACGCCACGCGAGTTACCGAGCCATACTTCACCACGCTGGTCCGTGCCGGCGGGCTGCCGAAGGCGGGGAGAATTGGTGGTCGTCCATACGAGATAAAAGATTCCCCCGTGTAGCCTTAGCAAGCGCTGTTAGCGAGTAGCACCTGTGAAGGCCGGCACGGCACACGAGGGGGTGGGCGAGTGGCCAGCATCACGCCCGACCGCCTTTGTCTCCCGAGCGGCCGTGTTGATACATCGCAGCTCAGATAACCAACTCGTATCGCCGGGTTTGTGGCACGCTGCGTTAACCCATTACACCACTGCTCCCCACAAATAACAACAACAGACGCCGCTCGCCACTAAGTGGGAGTGATGTCACCACGGTGCCTGTGCCAGGCCAGGTGCACGTTGAGGCCAGGTGAAGTGTCGAAGGCTCGCCGACAGGAGCTCACGGGATGGACCCCGGTGCCGTGGGTTGACAAAGCACTTATCCAGGCTCAACGCTGCTTAGCTACAGAGATCTTAGATGGGGTGCACCTCGGGTGATTTGGACACAGGCGATGAACATTGCAGTCATCGGGCAAAAGCGTGCACGCTACTTACGCACGTTAAGAGGCATTCGGGAAGGTTGACTGGAAAGCAGGCAGACAGACAGACGTGTAGTTGGGCAGCTGTCTAGGACGATGAGTAAGTAGCTCTAAGGAAATGGGTGGGAAGCAGAATGTACACTTGAAAAATAATTGTCGATCCATCAAGACCTCCAAAATTCAACCGACGACTGGAAACAGCTATGACTTGACAAGACGGAACAGACGAAGGAGATGATTGGGGATCACGAAGGAGATGATTGGGGATCACGAAGGAGATGATTGGGGATCACGAAGGAGATGATTGGGGATCACGAAGGAGATGACTGCGATCACGAAGGAGATGACTGGGGATTCTAATATAGAAAAAAATTCGTGTCCAGAATCGGGAAACAAACTCGTCACGTGGTTTTATTACCAGAGTTGTTGTAAATACCGTGCCGATGATATGAGTGTAGAACACAGGGCGATGGTTTGACCCATAAACACAGCTCGTGAATGGGACTGAGATGGTACAATCCATGTTGTGTGACCCGTCCTGAAGGAGGCGATAACAGTTTTAGACGAGACACAGACCGGTGCGGAGGAGAGACGGCGAGGAATTTGCTCAAAGAAGAATCCCTTTTTGATGTTTGCGCCTATTGGAGAGGCCCGCGTTATGCAGAGCATAAGCCAAGGAGCGGCTGAAGAGGAAGGCGGGGGACGAGGTTGACGAGTCTGCTGAGAGCATCATCGTCCGGGATGTCTGGTCGCGCGAGAGGACTTCACAGAGTGCTTCCCCCTGCTGACGGGGAGAGGGCAGCCTCCAGACTTCCAGCTCCTTTTCGCGATGCCCAGAGAACCATTCCACCCCTGCCAATAACACAGCTGTCGTAGGCAGCCACGTCCGGGCTGCCAGAGACGGTGTGCCACAAGAGAGTTGACGCTTCGAGGAGGTTGTGTCACTGTCCCCCCCCCCCCCCCGCCCCCCCCCCCCCCGTCTGAGCTCTTAGCCACAGTGCAGTGTGTGAAAGCGGAGTGTTGGTGTGCCGTCTAGGATAGGTAGGAAGGGATTGTGCTCAAGTGTTGTCACGTGGTGTTCTTCATTCCCGTTCTTCACGCTTGCTTTCTTTTAAATATCTTACTCAGATTGTATATTTGGTGGATTTGCTCTCCAACACACCGGGTGTAGTGCTGTTCTAGTAACGAAATGGCACGTTCTGTTTACGTGACGAACCTTACTAATTGTTTGTGTCGGGTGGTGGCGAGTTTTAATGACACATTTATATTTACGCGATCTAACCCAAAAAAACCACCTGCGTCATGGAGCTAAAAGACCCTTGGCCTTGAACAACACCTTCCTGGACGTTCCGCCCTGCTGACGCCCTCATTTTATTCAAATCGCACTTAAGACTCGGTTATCTTCACAAGCGTTTCACATTCCTCGTGTTTTGGGTGTTGTAGTTTATTGGCGTGAGCCTGCATGTGTTTGGCCAGATAGAGGGTGCCAAACGGGCACGACACGGGCTGGAGAAGAGACGGACTGATGCGGTGCGATGTGGAGCTGAATGGACTTTCCAAAGACTGGTACCTAGCGGTGTCAGAATTGACCTCTGTGGAGGAGGAGGTTCGTTAAGGACGCTACTAGTCAGTTGAGGCATTCGCCCTCCTTGGAGGGCAGAGGAGCGATGCTCACAACAACTAGCGGAGCGCCGGCGGCTAAAATGCAGGAACTTGGCATCGTAGGGGGCACAGCTTGGTGCATCTACCAGTCATATCATGGCACCTGGGTCTGCCGTGACCTGTCAGCGAGCCTTCGACACTTCACGTGGCCTCAAATAGCTTCAAAGTTCACCTGGCCTGGCACAGGCGCCGTGTTGACGTCACCGCTGCCCCGGGTGTCGTAGTTGTTGCGTGCGTTTTTTTGCACGGCCCCTGTGGTCTCTCCAGGTGAAAGGCGCTTTAGAAGTGTAAATAATCACCGGCCCATCACACGCCCGAGACGCCAACGATTCCAACCCCGTGTGCCACGTGCGACCGAATGTTGCGCGCGCTTCACCTGTTCAGATATTTTCCAACACTGGCGTCGGCCTCGCCTGCGCGTACCAGCACGACAACCCTGCAGCGCAGACGCACAAAGACAAAGATCCCCCCGTACGGAATTTAACAATGTTGGGGCGAGTGTCGTTAGCGAGCACCTATGTGGGTTAACATGGCACACGATGGGGTGGGTGGCCAGGACCCACGCCTTTGTCTCCACAGTGCTGATGTTTTTTACACGCCGTACGAGGTACTCGGTTTCAGGCTGAGTCGACCTAGCAGAGGCCCAAGACTGGTTCAGATATTCATCACCGATGATTGCCGGCGAGTGGGAATCGAACTCGGGATGCCGGGTTCGTAGCCTATAGTGTGTTAACCACTGCACCACGATTCCACACACAAATATTAAATTAGTACGATTACACAATCTGACCCCGGTTACACAATCAGAATATGAAAACACCCTTACATCACTAAGATTATACAATCAGAACTGTGGAACAATAAATGGATGTATGAAAACATACAGTTATGTCATGTCAGTACTGCTGTAGGAAGGATGAACCAGTTTGTGATTAGCACAATGCTTTTTACGTTAATATTGCAAAATATATGCAGAGGTCAACGCTGTAACTAGTAAAGTATTAACATGCACAGCCATTTTTTGTTTGGTCAATCCACTGCAAGCTGCGGGCTTCCCCACACCACGCAGGTCGTGGGGTTTATTTGACCATACTTCACCAATCCTGGTCAGTGCGGGTTAGGTGAAGGTTGCGGTGGTGTAGCGGTTATCGCACTAGGCTACGAACCCGGCGACCCGGGTTTGAGTCCCGCTCACGGTCGACACCGGTGACGGTTCTCTGAACCGGTCTTGGGCCTTCCTGAGGTCAATCGGGCCTCAAATCAATATCTGGTGTGGTGCGTAAACATCGCCACTGGGGAGACAAAATCAATACCTGGCGGTGTGGTGCATAAACATCGCCACTCGGGAGACAAATCAATACCTGGCGGTGTGGTGCATAAACATCGCCACTCGGGAGACAAATCAATACCTGGTGGTGTGGTGCATAAACATCGCCACTCGGGAGACAAATCAATACCTGGCGGTGTGGTGCATAAACATCGCCACTCGGGAGACAAATCAATACCTGGCGGTGTGGCGGTGTGGTGCATAAACATCGCCACTCAGGAGACAAATCAATACCTGGCGGTGTGGTGCATAAACATCGCCACTCGGGAGACAAAATCAATACCTTGCGGTGTGGCGGTGTGGTCCATAAACATCGCCACTCGGGAGACAAATCAATACCTGGCGGTGTGGTGCATAAACATCGCCACTCGGGAGACAAATCAATACCTGGCGGTGTGGTGGTGCATAAACATCGCCACTCGGGAGGACAAAGGCGGCCGGGCGTGGTGTAGGCCATCCACCCCCTTGTGTGCCGTGCCGGCCTTCTTAAGTGCTACTCGCTAACAACACTTGCCCCTATCGTCTAAGGCTACACGGAGGGTCTTTGGTGAAACCAGCAAAACATGAACGTGTGGGAGCATAGAAAATAAAACGTTACAAGACAAAACACACGTTGTGTGAACTTAAAAATCAACGTGACATACGACTTGCTGTAAATGGGCTCACAAGTGACGTCGTCACATCTATCCCTCTATATAAGGAATGAAACAGGAGCATTTCTCCACAAATCTGGCTGTCGCCTGATAAAGCTAGTTGTATTTGCTGGCAAAACGTCTTACTCCGATTGTAAATGTTGTGGCTTGGCTCTCCAACACACCGGTGTGCTGTACTAGAGACGAATTGGGATGTTCTGTTGACGTGACAGCCCTGACTAATCGGCTGTGTCGGGCGGGTGGTGGGCTTAACGACACATTTATAATTCACGATCTAACCCAAAATAAAACCTATCATGTCTGTAAATGTTTTAAAGTATAAACGCCGGAGTATTGCTCAGCAGGGGCGGTTCAATGTGGCCCGATGCAATGTCGGCGATCCCTTGCTGCGGCCCTATCAGCCGCCGACGCCCCCACTCCGGCCACCGCTGGCGCCGCCCCGGTGTCCGCGTGTCCTTACCGGCGCTCCGCCCGGCGACACGTGCTCCGCGCCACGTGCAGAGCCGCGGCGCAGCGACCCCCGGACTGCAACACAAATAAGACCCGAGCGGCGTTTCCCGTCGTTACGCGGGCAGAGCGAGGCCGCACGCACCCCATTTCACGCGCCGAGTATTTCGGTGGTACGAACGCCGGACTACTCGCACACCCCACCAATCAGTTCGGATTGCCAGCCGCTCCTGGTTTTCCCAGGATCGTCCTCCTCTTGTTGAGCAGGTAGCTGCCTGTCCTGGGAAGACCACTGTTATTCCAGAGACCTTTCAAAAATCCCAGTATTTTGTAAGTTGCGTAGTAGCAATATGAACCAACGCAATGCTCAAGAGAATGCACGCACATTAAGTTATCTCCTCTTCGGCATTGCGCGATATTCTTCCTATGTTTCCAATGATAAGTCCTGGTTTATTTTTGTATACCTCAGGAGCTGACACAATCCAGGGTCGCGATAGGATTCTGGAACAGATTATTATTAATATTTTTGTTTATATTAAGGTCTCGATTGTCGTAATATTTTTTTCTTGTCTCGTTTGTACAAAATTTAACTTTACAGAATTTGCAAAATGACCCAGCTGGATTATTCTCACGTGCAGGATCCGATGCATGTTATTGTAATTCTCAAGTACACGTTGTCGACTTAATTTGCAGGCTCGTGGTTTGTATATAAAACGAGCAACTTCATTGCCCATGGCTACACACCACAGGGAGGGGAGTAGAGTCGATGATATATTATAAGCGAAAGATAAATGAATGGGAAATGATGGGAAAAGGAATTAAAATATGAAGCCAAGTGGTCAGGAAAGATGAGGCTAGGGAGGAAGAGGCTGGATAAGAGGCTGGATATTAGGCTCGACGCTGCATGAAGCGGAGTCTGTTTTCACAGTGGGTGGGGAGAGGGGAGGGGTTCAGAGTGGGGGTGGCCACACAGAAGTCACGTGACTTACTGGAAGCTTGAGCTATATTTAGGTAGATATGCATTTAGAAACTACATGTTTTCATATAATTTTTTTTACATTTAGGTCCTTGCATTTGCAGGCATGCGTTTTTTTCACGTTGCTCCATCTCTAATTGAAGGTCCCCATCTCCAACTTCGCAGTATCCTGTGGTACAATGGTATGCAGACTATGATCTTAATGGGGCATTAATGACCACTTTACCGTATGCAAAACGGAATGTTGAATGGCCCATGCGATATTAAGAATAAACGCGAACTGATCTTTTAAATTTCAACTGGTGAGACAGTTTTAGATTTTAATTGTGATAGTCAACGCGCAATTGGCTGAGCACTAAAATGCACCAGGAAAAAACGCTCGCTCGTGAACTCATATTTAACAATCCAATAAACTACTGCGTTGGGCACGAGAGAGGCTAACCGGGCGTTTGCTGTGCCGATAAGATTAAAGGGAAGAGATAGGGTGGCTTGGCTTGTGTGACCTAAGTTCAGGTGTAGCTACAAACAGTATCCAGTGACTCTTTGGTGAGTGTCAGGTGAGTGGTGACTGGTGAGTGTTGAGCATCAGGTGAGAATCTTGAGTCTGGTGAATGGTGTGTGTCTGGTGGTGGGTGAATGTCTGGTGAGCATCAGGTGAGCGGTGAGCATCTGGAGAATGTGTCAGGGCGGGTGCCCGAGTGATGACGGATGTCTAGTGAGGGTCAGATAAGTCGTGAGCGTATCAAGTGAGTGGTGAACATGAATGGTCAACGTCTAATTGTTAGGCGAGTTAGATTTTGATTTAAAGCTTTCGTGACTGCAGGGATTAATATTCTTGGTTCTTTCGGTAAAGTCACGTAGAAGGGAAACAATAAAATAATAAAATATAAAACAATAAAATTCTCACGACGTTTCGACTGCAACACAAGCAATCATCATCAGGTGTGAAAACCACAGCAAGAACATTTGATTATTATTTTATTGTTTCCCTTCTACGTGACTTTACCGAAAGAACCAAGAATATGTTAGGCGAGTGTCTGGCGAGGCTCAAGTGAGTGTCTGCCGATTGCCAGGTGAGCGATGAGGTGAGTGTGTCACTGAGTGATGAGCATCAGGTGAGTGATGAGTGTCTAGCGGATGGTCGGTGTCCAGTGAGTGTATGTGCAGCAGGGTGTAGCTGCTCTTGCCGGTAATATGAAGTTGGTCAGCGGAGGTAGCTGGGACGTGTAGCCGTCGATCCACCCCTCCAGTTCGGCCACAACGGATTCGTCGAACTTAGTGCGCTCTGCGACACACCGCGTGGGAAACACCCGGAACTGCGTTCACTCTCGCGGACATGCCACCGTTGCTCCTCACGTGTGGGCGCCTTCTTGCTTGGTCAAAATGTTGTTGGGCTTCGTAACGGTGGCCACGGAGATTATCACCACTCATAATAGGGTTTTGTTTTTACCTTTTTATCTGGCAACAAAACTGATACCTTTTTTTTAGCACCACTACCCATTTGAGCAGGAAAGCGCTCCAATTTCACTCGAATGTTACATTAAGAGGCAAAAGTCTGTCAGTCGCTGCACCGCAATGCTTGGTACAGTTTTTAAGTCATCTGGCAAAAGGGGACATCGAGGAATCTTGGATTTCTATTCCGCTGTGGCAAGGCCGTCGTGTTTAGCTCCGAACAGTTATTGCTGCTGCTAAACGGAGCATAGATTCAGCCCAGTGCTCCACCACAGATGGACTGCTGTCACATCTGTGGTGGAGCACCCAGATTATAGCCCACTGCATCGACGGACAGCGTTCAGAGTGAAGCAGCAGTCGGGGTGGCTGATGATCCAGCACTGACTCACTACAGCCACTAGCTCACCGGCAGTCAATCACTTCCTTACTATGGTATCTGTTCCAGAGAACTTCACTCATTGATTCCTCCACACATGCTGTGTGTGTGTGTTGAACTTCTTTCGCACCATACGTAGCCACCCACGCTAATCGGAGGTGCGGGGGGGACCCCGAAGGACAACAAACTAAACACAAAAAGCAGTTCTAAAGAAATTCGTTTTCAATCTAGACTATTTAAAAGTGCCTTGCTCCCAGTGGGCTTCCTAACATGGGAAGGAAGAGCGTTCCAGGCGGCCGCGGATAAGCGCATCTGAAAGCGTCGCGCGATGCGACGGCCACCGTCTTCGTTCGAAAGCGTTTTGAACCGTGGGGTTGAGGCGACGCGAATCATCGGCTAGCGGCGGTGTGAATGATCGAGCGACGACGTGTTGTATCGCTGTGCGAGCCACTCGGGGGTCCGCGTGGACGCCTCACGCACGGAGGTGTGCGTCGCGAGCCGAGGAGCGCGGAGTGGCGACGTTGGAGCCAACGTCCTGCAGCACGCACTGGATCTGACACGAACACAACAAGCGAAGGCCACAACGATCGGTTCAACTTTTCGATATCGGACACAACAAAACGCTGCTTTGCAGTATAGACGCCAAGATTTGTTTTTCTCTGGAGATTGTTTATTAAATAATTTTTTAATGTTTGTTATTCCAATGCTGGATAAAAGCCTTGTCACACATATTCATGCTAGTCAAGGGGGTCGTTTGACTATATATATTGACTATATTTTGACTATATATTGACTAAATTTTTACTATATATTGACTATAATTTGACTATATATTGACTATATTTTGACTATATATTGACTATATTTTGACTATATATTGACTATATTTTACTATATTTTGACTATATTTTACCATGCCAGTCAGTGACGGTGTTGTCGAAGCAGTGAGGGAGGAAAGCGAGGGGGAGGGGTGGAATAACCAGGACAGATTGAGCCACACTTGCCACGATCTTTAACCACTGTCAGGAATCAAACTCGGGTCATCGGGATCACAATGCGCTATCCAGAGCCCATCGCTACACACTTTGGATGGTTAGCGATATGAATCTGGCCACCTGAGATTAATTCCCAGGCATGGCGTAGCTCTCCGATGTGTTTCCGCCTTGTGCCGCTTGTTTGTCCGGCACAACGTCTGACGTTTCACTCCAATTCAGTTCCTAAAAAAGCTCCCAGCACGTGGAGCGAAAAACGTCGGACATCGTGCCCAACAACACGAATTGCAACCGAAAAGGACATCAGAGAGAGCTAAGCAGCACGACTAAGAAGGTCTCCGCATCGGCAATAACTGGCGGTGATTCTTTTTCCATGGTGCTCATTTGAAATTGACGGGTATATTCACGGACACACAAAATGCACACAAAACAAATGTGTGCCCACCTGCAACAGCTGCTCGCAAAAGCTGTGCTGTCCTTCCTGACAAAGCTCACAGGCGAAGCTGAAAGGACACATTCATAGTAAGCATTAGCGGCAGCAGATCCCATCGGTGCTTTGGGTATTCTGGTCAGGTGACACTGTGGTTAGAGCACCAGTAGGGGGAGGCCTACTTACCGCGTCATTCCTCCAATGGTGGTAAAAACGAGTCGCGCTTTTGTGCAAGGTCAACGGTGGTTATTGTACACAAAGCCTCACGCTCGTCATGAGCACTGCGTGTATTTTTTTTCCCAAATTGTATATCCCAATTGTGTTTTCGGCGTGATATCACGAGAGGAATATCCCATCCGGATCTCTTGCACCGCAGCAGTGCAGCCCTTCGTGTTAGAGCGGCCCACGGAAGAGAATATCACAGAGCTACCCCTTGAGATCACTTCAAGTTGGAATGGCAGCACTTCCCCACCTGCTCTGCAGTATGGGAGTAATGTTCCCTGTGAGAGTGATGTTTATGGCCATCAAACTGATATTTTAATTCTTAAGAGTTATAATTTAGCCAAGCGTGCAAAATCAAATTAAACGTGATGTTTTTTAAGGACCCAATTGTAATCACGGTCCTAGCGCTCTGACTCCTGAGCCACCCGGCCACCTCGGTAAAGTTCAACTTGCAACCCCTGGCTTTGGGCGGCAGAAGTAAATGAGTGGTCACCCAACGCTCGTTTGAGTAGTGAGAAAGACGTATAGTTTAACACGTAGTAGGCTTTCAGGATCAATATTATCCGTAAAAGGTTTTTGGGTTAGTTGGCGTAAATATATAAATGTGTCGTAAAAACCCGCCACCACCCGACAGCCAACTATGAAGGTAAATGAAACATGGCGTGTTTTGTTTACGTTAATATGTACACAATCTAACCCAAAAACCTCTGTTATAGACTTATTTTTGTTATAGGAATCATCCGGAAAAAAAATACCGTTTAACTCCTCTTTAAAAAGTTGCCTGTGTGAATGCGTAATGGCTCCGTGAAACAAGGGTATTTTGTTATCACTCCACAAACCTCTCACATTTGCTTGTGCGTACAATGAGAGAGTTACATAGCCACGCACTTTCAGCGCAAAATTGTAAGAACAAGTAAGCGCTGTGATATCAGTTGTACGGTGAACCAGTGAGAGCATGACATTGATGTCGCTTGTGCACTCAAGAAGATATTCAGGTGTGCGGCGGTATAAGCTTTCAAAAGCCACTATGTGGGGTCCTCTTTTTGAACAAATGTTTGTACTATTAAAAGACTGACCCCTGCCACTGAGTGCATAAAAGCTCAGTGAAACGCGAGTATTTTGACAATTACAAACCTCACACATCTGTTCATCATACAATGAGAGACAGTGAAAGCATACAAGCAGGTGTCCCACTAAAAGGTGGAACGTCTACTACCTACTAGACAGTGGAACGTCTACTACTCACTAGAAGGTGGAACGTCTACTACTCACTAGAACGTGGAACGTCTACTACCTACTAGAAGGTGGAACGTCTACTACTCACTAGAAGGTGGAACGTTCTACTACTCACTAGAAGGTGGAACGTCTACTACTCACTAGAAGGTGAACGTCTACTACTCACTAGAAGGTGGAACGTCCTACTACTCACTAGAAGGTGGAACGTCTACTACCCACTAGAAGGTGGAACGTCTACTACTCACTAGAAGGTGGAACGTCTACTACCTACTAGAAGGTGGAACGTCTACTACCTACTAGAAGGTGGAACGTCTACTACTCACTAGAAGGTGGAACGTCTACTACTCACTAGAAGGTGGAACGTCTACTACTCACTAGAAGGTGGAACGTCTACTACTCACTAGAAGGTGGAACATCTACTACCTACTAGAAGGTGGAACGTCTACTACTCACTAGAAGGTTGGAACGTCTACTACTCACTAGAAGGTGGAACGTCTACTACTCACTAGAAGGTGGGAACGTCTACTACTCACTAGAAGGTGGAACGTCTACTACTCACTAGAAGGTGGAACGTCTACTACTCACTAGAAGGTGGAACGTCTACTACTCACTAGAAGGTGGAACGTCTACTACTCACTAGAAGGTGGAACGTCTACTACCCACTAGAAGGTGGAACGTCTACTACTCACTAGAAGGTGGAACGTCTACTACTCACTAGAAGGTGGAATGTCCTACTACCTACTAGAAGGTGGAACATCTACTACTCACTAGAAGGTGGAACGTCTACTACTCACTAGAAGGTGGAACGTCTACTACTCACTAGAAGGTGGAACGTCTACTACCTACTAGAAGGTGGAACGTCTACTACCTACTAGAAGGTGGAACGTCTACTACCTACTAAAAGGTGGAACGTCTACTACCTACTAGAAGGTGGAACGTCTACTACCTACTAGAAGGTGGAACGTCTACTACCTACTAGAAGGTGGAACGTCTACTACTCACTAGAAGGTGGAACGTCTACTACCTACTAGAAGGTGGAACGTCTACTACTCACTAGAAGGTGGAACGTTCTACTACCTACTAGAAGGTGGAACGTCTACTACTCACTAAAGGTGGAACGTCTACTCATCACTAGAAGGTGGAATGTCTACTACTCACTAGAAGGTGGAACGTCTACTACCCACTAGAAGGTGGAACGTCTACTACTCACCAGAAGGTGGAACGTTACTACTCACTAGAAGGTGGAACGTCTACTACTCACTAGAAGGTGGAACGTCTACTACCTACTAGAAGGTGGAACGTCTACTACTCACTAAAGGTGGAACGTCTACTCATCACTAGAAGGTGGAACGTCTACTACTCACTAGAAGGTGGAACGCTACTACTCACTAGAAGGTGGAACGTATACTACTCACTAGAAGGTGGAACGTCTACTACCTACTAGAAGGTGGAACGTCTACTACCTACTAGAAGGTGGAACGTCTACTACTCACCAGAAGGTGGAACGTCTACTACTCACTAGAAGGTGGAACGTCTACTACTCACTAGAAGGTGGAATGTCTACTACTCACTAGAAGGTGGAACGTCTACTACCCCTAGAAGGTGGAACGTCTACTACCTACTAGAAGGTGGAACGTCTACTACTCACTAGAAGGTGGAACGTCTACTACCTACTAGAAGGTGGAAACGTCTACTACTCACTAGAAGGTGGAACGTCTACTACCTACTAGAAGGTGGAACGTCTATTACTCACTAGAAGGTGGGAACGTCTACTACTCACTAGAAGGTGGAACGTCTACTACCTACTAGAAGGTGGAACGTCTACTACTCACTAGAAGGTGGAATGTCTACTACTCACTAGAAGGTGGAACGTCTACTACCCACTAGAAGGTGGAATGTCTACTACCTACTAGAAGGTGGAACGTACTACTACCTACTAGAAGGTGGAACGTCTACTACTCACTAGAAGGTGCAACGTCTACTACCTACTAGAAGGTGGAACGTCTACTACTCACTAGGAAGGTGGAACGTCTACTACTCACTAGAAGGTGGAACGTCTACTACCTACTAGAAGGTGGAACGTCTACTACCTACTAGAAGGTGGAACGTCTACTACCTACTTAGAAGGTGGAACGTCTACTACTCACTAAAGGTGGAACGTCTACTCATCACTAGAAGGTGGAACGTCTACTACTCACTAGAAGGTGGAACGTCTACTACTAACTAGAAGGTGGAACGTCTACTACCCACTAGAAGTGGAACGTCTACTACTCACTAGAAGGTGGAACGTCTACTACCCACTAGAAGGTGGAACGTCTACTACCCACTAGAGGTGGAACGTCTACTACTCACTAGAAGGTGGAACGTCTACTACCTACCAGAAGGTGGAACGTCTACTACTCACTAGAAGGTGGAACGTCTACTACCTACTAGAAGGTGGAACGTCTACTACCTACCAGAAGGTGGAACGTCTACTACTCACTAGAAGGTGGAACGTCTACTACCCACTAGAAGGTGGAACGTCTACTACTCACCAGAAGGTGGAACGTCCTACTACTCACTAGAAGGTGGAACGTCTACTACTCACTAGAAGGTGGAACGTCTACTACTCACTAGAAGGTGGAACGTCTACTACTCACTAGAAGGTGGAACGTCTACTACTCACTAGAAGGTGGAACGTCTACTGCCCAAGTCTAACTATCGTTGACTTTGGGCCACCAACAGAGACGGGCGCTGCCCAATCATCCCTTAAGCGAGGAGACACTTAACTTTAAACGATCACTTACCCGAGAGCAGATGAAAGTTCATCAACGGTTCCCAGTGCCTCAAACACAGCATCGTCTTTAGTCCGTCGCTCCCCCGTGAATGTGCTGGACATGCCTAGATGTGTGTGCGAGAGAAACAGCGTCGATTAAGGCAACAAGCAATTCAAAACAGACGTGAATACAATTTTTATAAGGTGCTCTCCTTTGTAATGACGAGACAAACGCAGAAGAGTGCACAGAGGCGCGGAAGAGAAACGCACGCCTGGAATTACACCGAGCGACAGAAAGACGGGCGCACTTGGAGCAGGGAAACTATGATTGTTGGAGACACGACGTGGAGTGTTTAAACAAAACAAAAAAAGTGGGTTTGGGCAGGACACGTCGGTGGAAGGGAGGGCGGCCAACAGACGAGACTGGCTATAGAATGGCAGCCAAAGGGGGCGAAAGCGCCCAAGAGGACAATCGCCGTAGGGATTGAGTGATGAGGTCAGCTCAAGTGTAGAGAAATTATGGATCATCACGGCAATGTGAGATGGCGATGGTGTGGAGAGGCCATAGCAGGCACATAACAATTCATCAATACGATTCTTATGCCCACGATACAACCAACGTATCACGCGCGTAAGACTCAAATATTTACAATTCATGCAAAAATATGCAAATGGTATTTAGACTAATGCAGCCAACTGTATAAGACAGGCAAAAGTAGCCAAAGAAAATGTATCATTTTTTTTATCAAAGATGCGTGCACATTGTGACAATTCGTTATATTCGTGGAGGGGTGAATGGTTCATTAAATGCTTAAGCAACTGACCAAAGTTGATGATGCTCATTATGACTCATCTATATAACACTTTGCACAAACATCTAAACAGTTTTACGTCGCATATAATAATCTTCCTGCCGTCGTCTTAGCCACTTACAATGCGGTACAATGTGTTGAAAGTGTAGTAACGTGCAGTCAGGTGTGGTCGAAAACACACGGAATTTCATATCAACCAATCGCAGGCACAGATGGATGGGCAAACAAATCAATGACCGGTTTATACTCTTGTAGTGTCATATATTGAGCCACTATGGCGTGCAGCGCCCGGATAATTAAATAAGAGGTATCGGGAGACGTAGCAGCCGCTAGGCTGGCGAGATATTTGATGTGCCAGAGTAGGGTATGTGAGGCATAGGGGTGACAGAGGGGACACATGGGGCACGGAACCTTCTGGAGGATTCCAGAAGGGGGCGTGGCCGGCGGCGGAGCTAGGCCGCGCTGGAGGATAAAAGGAGGGTCCCGAGGCAGTATTGGGGCTGTCTTCTTGAATGGAACCTGCCGCGCTACGTCTTCTCCTGGGTCTTCGTGCTCGGCATAGTGGGGGTCAGGCAGTGTGCCGACTGACCTGACCCGTTTATATAGTTATCCCGTTGTGGTTATTGTAGAATGAAATGTGTTGCCTCCTGAGTTAGTGTGTCTCTCAGTGAACCCATTACATATTGATACATCTTTTACAGATACGTAAAGGTGGAAGGTAAATCAGGTTAATTATTCGAGTAATTTTCTCGTCTATATTAACGCAAACCTCACCTGCATCCCCAGTTTTCGTATAGATCCTCGGAAGATTACTTCTGTCCGGCGCGTTCGTTCCAGCTGCTTTACTGCAAACCAGGAAGAGCACACATCACAAGCTTTCATAAGCCATCGGTCAAGTGCATGATCCAAAAAACCCCACTACTTTTGACACTATTAAGATACTAATTTATAATAGTTGGCTGAGGTTGTGAGGCTTGCATTTGGCTGGGCAATGTGCTCCACCCCAGACCTGCTCACCCACCATCCCGGATCATTGCAACTTGTGGACTTTTAGAATGTTTTTGGCCACTTTTCACGTCTGGAGTTTGCAGGGCCACCCAGCAAGAATAAAGGTCGCGGATACGCTTGGATAACCTTCGAGGCACTAGATGCCGGCAACGGCCACCAGCAACTTATTTAGACCGTAAACATTTTTGCTGTCCGAATATTGGCCCAAACCTCAACATTATTGCTCGTTCACACTTAAGAGAGTGAGGTCACGTTCACTACCCAAGGTGTGTGCTCTGTTGACAAATCATCATAATTTCAAGAAGCTCCGCTTTCATTTGCTCGGACACACAACCTTCGTCAGTCTTTCAACCGGTCATCTCAAGTGTGTGAAGAGTTGCTCATGGCAAACAAGTCGACAACCGACAGTAAAATTGTCCTACGTCTATCGCAGTCGTAACAGGCCGCGAGGCTGTTCTAGGGGCCAATTTGAGCAAAACATCACCCATTATTCTCTTTTTAAGGCCACGGTGTTATTGACGAACACGTAAAGGTGTTTGTGTGCGTTATTTGTGCTTGTGCACCGCTGGCAACGCAGCGACGGAAGCATCAGCATCATCAGATAATTCGTTTCGGAGCAATGATGGGGGGCCAGTGTCATGTGGCAGGAGGAGGGCAGCAGGAGTCACCTGCAGAGGCCAGCGAAGGGCAGGCGATGTTGAGCCCTTCACAAGCAGGGTACGGGCTCGCAACCAGCGGCTCGCCGCCTGTGAGCAAATTCACGCACGACGGCCACACGACAGGGTCAGGAAACACGGGGCCGTTGTCAAAGAACGTAGAACGACCCGCAAGGCGTTGTGTGGCCATCATCCTGCGGTGGATTTAACAAAATGGCTCTGCACGTGTAGAATATGGAATGACAAGTCGGCCGTGTCGACGAATCCACCAACAACAATAATCAGCTACTTTTGTTGTGGTTGATGATTAGTGGGGCCCCTTTAAAAAATATCAGCCAACGCTATGCGCCATGACTTGCCTCCTGAAGGTGGGACCCCCCCCCCCCAATAACACGCCCAGCGAAACGTGACGTCACTAGGCCACACCCATCACCTCCGGTCCAGCGGCACATATGGGAATAAGGGGTGACTACCGTTACCAAACTATTATCTGTATTTAGTACATATACTGCAAGTATTATAGACTGTAGTGTATATACACCAGGTCTATACTACAGTATTATAGACTGTAGTTTATATAGACTGTAGTGTATATAGACTGTAGTGTATATAGACTGTATGTATTATAGACTCTAGTCCAGTGGTTCTTAACCTGGGTTCGATCGAACCCCAGGGGTTCGGTGAGTCGATCTCAGGGGTTTCGGCAGAGCCCCCGCCACGGAGGTCCGGACACACTTGCATTATTGTGTAAATGTGTGATGACACACACGGCCCGCTTGGCCATCACTGGCTGCAGATGATCATGCTACACTGCTTGGCCAATCAGCGCTGCGGGGAATTTAGTGCGTACTCAGTAGTCAACGTGTGACTGTGTTGTCGTACGTCGTGTGATTTCTTTAATATTTTATCCATACTAACTATGTCGGGCAAAAGAAGAAAGTGGTCGGACGAATATGTACAAACATGGATTCTCATGTATCACGGAACGTGAAGGGGAGTGAGCGTCCTATCTGCATGATTTGCAACGCCAAGTTGAGCAACTCTAGTCTTGCCACCGGCAAAACTAAAGGAACACTTCTTGAAGCTGCATGGAGACGGGGAATACAAGAACACAACACTTGCTGAATCAGGGTGAAGAGAGCCAGATTCGATGAAAGGGCCACTCTGCCTGCTCTTGGGTTTGTACCTGTTAACAAACCGATCCTGACAGCATCGTACGAAGTTGCTTACCTGATCGCAAAGCAGGGCAAGCCACACACCATTGGTGAAACACTTGTGAAACAGCTGCATTAAAGATGGCGAATCTGATACTCGGAACAGCGGTCCGAAGGTAAATTATCCCAAATTCCCCTTTTCAAATGACACCGTCAGTGACAGAATAGAAGACATGAGTAAAGACATCTTCTTCTTTGGTTCTTTCGGTAAAGTCACGTAGAATGAGAATAAAATAATAAATTGATAAAATAAAATAACACAATAATATTCTCACGACGTTTCGGCTCACAACACAAGCGGCCTTCATCAGGTGAAGGGGGCGAGACTGTCTGGTAGGACAGCGCTGGAGTGAGAGAGCCACGTTCAGATCAACGGCTTTTAAGCTGTGTGAGAGGAACAAAGAGCCTTGACAAAGGAATTAGCATAAAATTTAGCATTGAAATGGCTGAATGATTAGCTTGTGACTGGTCACAGAAATAGCTATGTTAAAAGTTAAAGCATACACATCCGCCAGAGGCACCCATTGTTAAAAGGAATTAGCATAGAATTTAGCATTGAAATAGTTAAGTTAAGGCATACACATCCGCAGAGGCACCCCTTGACAATGGAATTAGCATAGAATTTAGCATTGAAATAGCTGAGTGATTCGCTTGTAACTGCTACAGAAATAGCTACGTTGAAGTCAGAGCATACACATTCACCGAGGCACTTAGTACAAATCAAACAGGAGAATTTAGCATTGAAATAACTAGGCGAATTTAGCATTGAAATAACTGAGTGATTTGCTAGTGACTGGTCACAGAAATGACTACACATCTGAGCTATTCACAGTACTATATAGTGAACCAATAAAAACTAAAATATAAATTACCTTCATGTTATCAATAAACTCTATATTCTCCAATCAGCTAAGCTACCAACAATAAGTCGTTATATATCACAATGCTATATTCTACGTGACTTTACCGAAAGAACCAAATAAGATTAATCATTGCAGTCACGAAAGCTTTAAATCGAAATTTAAAGACATCTTGGCTCAAGTAGTCGCGGATCTGATTTCAAGCCCGGCAAAATTCAGCCTTCAACTCGACGAAACCACAGACGTTTCTGATCTAAGCCAGCTTGCTGTTTTTGTACGCTATGTGAAAGACGACATGATAAAAGAAGAGTTTTTATTTTGTAAGCCTCTTACAACAACAACGAAGGCAGCCGATGTGAAGAAGCTTGTGGATGACTTCTTCAGAGACAACAATCTTTCATGGGATATGGTTTCTGCAGTTTGTACGGACGGAGCTCCAGTCATGCTGGGAAGAAAGTCTGGTTTTGGTGCGCTAGTAAAGGCCGATGCACCACACATCATTGTGACGCATTGTATTCTGCACAGGCATGCGTTGGCAACAAAAACCTTACCTCCAAAAATGGCAGAAGTATTAAAAACTGTGGTGGAATGTGTGAAACTATGTGCGAAAAAGTGCTCTGAGGCACCGCATCTTCAGTGAGCTGTGTAAGAAATGGGCTCTGAATTTGAGGTATTTCTGCTCCATTCTAATATTCGGTGGTTATCCCCGGGGACAGGTGCTGAATCGTGTTTTTGCCATGCGTGTGGAATTAGCCCTTTTTTGCAAGAGCACCAACACTGCCATGCAGATTGCTTCAAAAATCCTGAGTTCATTCTCATTTTAGCGTACATGGCTGATATATTCGCAGCTCTCAATCATCTCAATGAGCAGATGCAGGGTGGTGGAGTCAATATCATGGAAGCGGAAGAACACCTGAAGGCTTTTCAAAAAAAGCTACCGTTATGGAAACGACGAACAGAGAACAATAACTTCGCAAACTTCCCGCTTCTGGACGACTGTGCAAGTAAGATCGAAGATGTGTCTGGAATCGGAGATATTTCTGTATCCACGGAACTGAAGCAAACAATTGCCACGCACTTAGATGAGCTTGCAAAGTCTCTCGACGGATATTTCCCTACAAGAGAGTCATATCCAGCATGGGTGAGACAGCCGTTCACGTTTGCTGTTGAAACAGCAGATGTCAATGATGAATTCCTCGACGAAATCATTGAAATTCAGCAGAGCCAGGTTCAACAGCAACTCTTCAGAACAACGCTCTCAACGTTTTGGTGTCGACAAATGAACAAGTATCCAGTTATTGCAAAGAAAGCCCTGGATTTTTTTTATACCATTTGTTACAACATATCTTTGTGAGCAATCCTTTTCGAGGGTGCTGGACATAAAAACGAAGAAAAGGAACAGACTTTGCTGTGAAAATGACATGAGAGTGGCACTTGCCAAGGTGAAGCCACGCATATCTGAACTGATCTCTCAAAGGCAACAGCAGAAGTCACATTGATTTCCAGGTATGTAATTTGTTGTGAGTTTATGCATTGTGTTGGTTTTATTCTTTGAACAAGGTAATGTTCATGCACGGCTCATTTTGTGTACCAGTAAAAAACATATCTATGTCTTGAATTTGAAAAAAATCACATTTTATTTTTCACTAAAGAGGGGTTCGGTGAATGCGCATATGAAACTGGTGGGGTTCGGTACCTCCAACAAGGTTAAGAACCACTGCTCTAGTCAGTGTATATAGACTGTAGGTATTATAAACTGTAGTGTATATTAAACTGTAGTGTATATAGACTGTAGTGTATATAGACTGTATGTATTATAAACTGTAGTGTATATAGACTGTAGTGTATATAGACTGTATGTATTATAAACTGTAGTGTATATAGACTGTAGTGTATATAGACTGTATGTATTATAAACTGTAGTGTATATAGACTGTAGTGTATATAGACTGTATGTATTATAAACTGTAGTGTATATAGACTCTCCCCAGTTTACCATTCGCACGAAGGCGTGAGGCCTCATCGCGGTGGCGGCGGGCGGGAGGAGGCCGATGTGGGTGGTGGTTGTTGGTTGGTGGTGGTTGGCTGTGGTTGTTGGTGGTGGTTGTTGTTGTTGGTGGTTGTTGTTGTTGGTGGTGGTGTCGACTCAACCCCCTGCGCGCCGCTCTCTCGCCGCGCGAGTCGCGAGCTGACGACGGCGAAGGGGGCGGAAGTGACGACGGCGAAGGGGGCGGAAGTGACGACGGCGAAGGGGGCGGAAGTGACGACGGCGATGGAGGAGGTCGGTGGTGGTGGTGCCGGTGGTGTTGGTGGTTGTGGTGGTGGTGGCGATAGAGGAGGGTGGTGTTGGTGGTGGTGGTTGTGGTGGTGGCGATAGAGGAGGGTGGTGTTGGTGGTGGTGGTTGTGGTGGTGGCGATAGAGGAGGGTGGTGTTGGTGGTGGTGGTTGTGGTGGTGGCGATAGAGGAGGGTGGTGTTGGTTGTGGTGGTGTTGGTTGTGGTGGTGGCGGTGCCATTCCTCCAAACGACCACGAGATGTCGCGATTCCCCTTCTACCGAGACGCGACTCCCCCCCCACGTTGATAATTAATTAGCGATGTAACACAATTCTTGTTCCTGGGTACGAAGTGTTATTTCTTAATTGCTTATGCCTAAAAAGTATAGAAAATGGATATTATTCCCCACAAACTTTGCTTTTGTGACCAGGTCTTTAAGCGAACGAAAGATACAATGCACACCACGTTTTCTCATTGAAAATAGGTACATTTAAAAATATCGCTGTCCTCGCACCAAAAGCCAAGTTAGTGGGGAATAATAAACATTGCCTGTACTTTAAAGGCATAAGCAGTACGGAAATAACACTTACTGCAAAGGAACAATGTATTTGTGACACACTGATTATTGATACTCATGGCGGTACCCCGGGATTCTAAATAATACAGAATGGGCAATGCAATCTGTTATTCCTGGGACAACTATTTCTATCGAGGGGTTTACTTCACTGCGGAATCCATCAATCCGACATCGGTGCCACACTCCGCGATGTCGACACGCCAAACAGAATCAAACAAATCGTTGTTCGAGAAATTCAACTTTGAATCGTGCATCGTGTACAGCTCGTGTCGAGATGAGTCGGCGGCCCCATTGGCCACCATCAACAGACTAACAGTGACTGCATCACGGACATAGTGCAAGAGCCGCGGTGCTATGGTAGTACCACGCGCTGCTATGGTACCACGGGGTGCTATGGTAGTACCACGCGGTGCTATGGTAGTACCACGCGGTGCTATGGTAGTACCACGCGGTGCTATGGTAGTACCACGGGGTGCTATGGTAGTACCACGCGGTGCTATGGTAGTACCACGGGGTGCTATGGTAGTACCACGCGGTGCTATGGTACCACGCGGTGCTATGGTACCACGGGGTGCTATGGTAGTACCACGCGGTGCTATGGTAGTACCACGGGGTGCTATGGTTAGTACCACGCGGTGCTATGGTAGTACCACGCGGTGCTATGGTACCACGCGGTGCTATGGTACCACGGTGGTTGCTATGGTACCACGGGGTGCTATGGTAGTACCACGCGGTGCTATGGTAGTACCACGCGGTGCTATGGTAGTACCACGGGGTGCTTATGGTAGTACCACGCGGTGGCTATGGTAGTACCACGCGGTGCTATGGTAGTACCACGGGGTGCTATGGTAGTACCACGCGGTGCTATGGTACCACGCGGTGCTATGGTACCACGGGTGTGCTATGGTAGTACCACGCGGTGCTATGGTAGTACCACGCGGTGTGCTATGGTAGTACCACGCGGTGCTATGGTAGTACCACGCGGTGCTATGGTAGTACCACGCGGTGCTATGTAGTACCACGCGGTGCTATGGTAGTACCACGCGGTGCTATGTAGTACCACGCGGTGCTATGGTAGTACCCACCGCGGTGCTATGGTAGTACCACGCGGTGCTATGGTAGTACCACGCGGTGCTATGGTAGTACCACGCGGTGCTATGGTAGTACCACGCGGTGCTATGGTAGTACCACGCGGTGCTATGGTAGTACCACGCGGTGCTATGGTAGTACACGCGTGTGCTATGGTACCACGGGGTGCTATGGTACCCACGGGGTGCTATGGTACCACGCGGTGCTATGGTACCACGCGGTGTATGGTACCACGCGGTGCTATGGTACCACGCGGTGCTATGGTACCACGCGGTGCTATGGTACCACGCGGTGCTATGGTACCACGCGTGTGCTATGGTACCACGCGGTGCTATGGTACCACGCGGTGCTATGGTACCCAGCGGTGCTATGGTACCACGCGGTGTGCTATGGTACCACGCGGTTGCTATGGTACCACGCGGTGCTATGGTACCACGCTGGTGCTATGGTACCACGCGGTGCTATGGTACCACGGGGTACCGCCATAAGGTTCCATTATCAACAGGAGGTGGTTGGGGACTTCGCGTTCTATAATAATTATTACAATATTAATTATATATTAATAATATTAATTATAATAATTATTATAATATTAATTATAACAATTATATATATTAATTAACAATAGTTAAAATAATAATTGTTAATTAATATTACAATCATAATTATAAGAACAATAATTATTATAATAAGTATCATAATTATGCGTAAACCAATTCCGCATAATGATAATAATAATGATTATAATAATAAGCGCGCAGGAGCGCCGCGCGGGAACGTTCTCCCCTTCGATGTAAAACTCAGCACCGCAAAGGCTTCCTTCGAAACAACTCAAAATAACGCCCCCCCCCTGCCCAGCGTGGTGAAGCATGGCCTCTGGTACAGCCTCAACCGTCCAGTGGATTACACAACGGACGACGGAGATGGGCACGTGTGCCCGTATTGAACAAAAATAAGAATAGCTTTTACCTTTTCTGGCATTTGTGTTAAGATGTTCAAACACCAAAAACAAATCTTTTGCAAGGCATCACGTTACTACATTAACCACACACAGTGCTTGTGGTGAACATGCAAATAAAACGTGCTCTGACGATACATGCATTGTCTTTGTAAATTAATTGGTCTATAGCAGAGACATCTTTCTTTATGGCCCAGTCTCACCAGTGTCAAACCAGAGAACAACGCCACAAGGCGAACAGGACAAGGACAATGCCACTATCAGGGCATAATAGCTCTGGGTGAGCAGCTACACATCCACCCGGAGTGCATTGTCAAGATCCCCTGGTAGACTGGAGTAGATGGTATGTGGCCAATAAATACTGAATCCGATTTGTTTTAAATGATCAGAATCGTGATTTAGACCGGAGGAATCCGATGAGCTATGAAGCTCTTGTTCACAGATGTATACTCGACGTGGTGTGCCGGATGCGGAATTGTTTTCCGTATCGCCGAAACGGTTTAAATAAAAAAAAAAGCCCGGGTGGTTCGAATCTAACATTTGATGAGAGCTGTCAAATTGTGAGAGATGGAACATTTATTTTGAGACCTATCAAATAGTGAGATTTGAGAGGGCTAATGCGTTAAGGGTTGAAGCAACGTGGCATGAGACTGGTCAGTGGCGGCATGAGAGCGTGACATTTGAATGTCCTGCTTACACAGAAGCAGCAGTTCCCATTGCAACCATCACCGCCGTGCTGTCACGCCACCACAGTCAGTCATTATCACGCATTACACCATCGCTGGGTTATTACATGTCTGCAGATGCACCACCCATCCCCTGAATGTAGGGTTGTCAACCTGCGGATATTTAAGAAGTGCCTCGTGACGTTATGTATTAAGGACCACCGTTTCGTATTCACCATCTTAGTTGTCTTGTGGTTGTTGTTGTTGTTTGACTTGCATCCCACTGGGATTTTTTTGCACACAGCGTTGGTGTACGGTGCTATTTTAGGAATATTTTGATGGTTTTTTTTCCTGGATTTTCTGTTTGCACAGTCACATAGTCACTTAAGATGTTTTCTTGTTCATATTTTTGTTTGTTGCGGTTGCACCCGATTCAAGAGCCGAATGGCTCACAGGGCTATACCAAATAAATGAACTATGGAACTATGGGGACATGCATTGTGGCTTTTCAAATCTTGAGTTTTTTATACCGAATTCGAAAAAAATGGCCCTTCTTGTTATGCATCTTGAGCCAGGGCACTGCCCACAATTCCTTGCTGATCTCGTCAAGGAATATAAATCACCATCACGCGAACTCTCCCGGTCATCCTCACAGCAGCGGCGGTCACCGCATCGTGCGCCTTCAGGTGCGCTTCGGTGGCCCGTCTGGAACGCTCTTCCTTCCGACATAAGGAACCCACTGGAGTTATGCACCTTTAAGTCTAGATTGAAAACTGATTTATTTAGAACTGCTTTTTGTGTTTAGTTTTCCTTCCGCTTAGCACGGTCGGCTGAAGAAGTTCAGCATATTTCGCGTACATTTCTGAAAAATCTCACGCCCGCGTGCAATCGCCACCTAGCGGTTGGTGATGGCAACACTTCTCACCCACGAGAGAAGTCCTGCTCCACAGACGAACATTTATCCTGACCCCAACCTGAAAATATGCTAACATCACACATTTTGTAACATTATAGGCACATTGTCAATTTTACACCACCCCAGGTGGTACCGACATGTGGAATATCTGGTCAGGAGCTCATTGACTATTTTTAAATAAAATAAACATACAGCGGATGTCAAGAAACAATCATAAATAATTTTTCATCTTTTGCTGGATAGAGGGCACCCCAAACTCGTACTCGGTGGCAGTCATGTTCTTGTATACAAATATGAGTAAAGACAAAGATACCCTGTACAGTCTTAACAAACTGTTGGGGCAAGTGCTGTTAACGAGCACATAAGAAGGCCGGCACGGCACACGAGGCGCTGGGTGGCCAACACCACGCACGGCCGCCTTTGTCTCCACAATGTTGATGTTTACACACTGCACCAAATACTAATTTGAGCTGAATCGACCTAGAGGAGGAGGCCATGGACCAGTCAATTATCGGTCATCAATGTTGGCTGTGAGCAAGGAATCGAACCCGGGTCGCCGGGTTCACATCGCAGCGCGCTAACCACTGCACTACCGCTCCCAAATCTGGAGACACACACGCGGGCGTTATTCTTCGCTTTAAACGCGCCCTGTGGGCTTTTGACGATCAGATCTAAGCAATGTTGAGATATAACATTTAGAGAAAAAACACACCCAACATAATTCTGGACTGTGCAATCTACAGCCCGCGGGCGAAATTCGACCCGCCAACTAATTTAATCCAACCAGCGGTGTCACGCAAGCCTACCATTAACATTGGCCCGCAGCGCATTTGAAATGAAGTTAATTACGTTAATTATACTTCACATGTCTGTTTGAAATAATTAAGTTTGCCTTCTTGGTTAGCATGCCAGAGTCTCGTCGTGAAATTCTGTGGCGTATGTAATGTAAACATTTTACCCGTTCATCTCCTCTGCTTGCTCTTCCATCTTCCCCCTATATCTAACTTAGAACTTTGCTCTGAATACATTTCTTTTGAATAATCGTAGCTGTTTCCAGAATACATCTCCGATCTCACGCATCTCTGTTTTAATACATCTATGCCAAATATTTATTCTGCAAGAGCTCTCGTGTCGCTCGATTAAACACGTAACCTTAATCTTTCTCTCATCTATCGTCTGCGTACAAAGTCGATCTCTTTCTCTTGTCTTCTGCATACATCTCCCGTCTCATATATCTGCTGAACACATTCCCTATGTCATGTCTACTCTGAATGCATGCCTCCTATCTATATGTTAGTTACGTGGTTTATGGCAGTGGTCGGCGCTACTCAGGATTGCTCGTCAACTGACGAAAGGCTGCAGCAGAGTTTCCAAAACGCCAGAATTCACGCTCATCAAATCACTCCCCATCCAAATATAAATTCACTCCTTCCACGAGAGCTATAGGGTGTGCCAGTCGATTGTGTAGATGTACGTACTTGATTTAATTACCTTGTTTGGTTGATTTGTGAAATTTATTTTGGTCGATGTTTAGCTTCGTATGCAGTGCACGATTATACATTTTTTATGTTTGAATTTTCAAATACTGTATATGTGTTTGATTTTGAACCATTATATCTGGGGTAAAATAATAAAAAAACCCATATACCCTTCATAGTCGAACAATATAAAATCAAACATAGCAACGAATATCGTGCCATAGTCCTACCCACGGCCTCACTCTCTCCCGCTCTCTCGCACTCACCCTCTCCACAGAGCTCACCCTGCCTCTCTCTCTCTCACTCCTCACCCTGTCTCTCTCTCTCACACTCACCCTCTCCACACAGCTCACCCTGTCTCTCTCTCTCACTCCTCACCCCCTGTCTCACTCCTCACCCTGTCTCTCTCTCGCACTCACCCTCTCTCTCACGCTCACCCTGTCTCTCTCCTCACCCTCTCTCTCACGCTCACCCTGTCTCTCTCTCGCTCACCCTGCCTCTCTCTCACGCTCACCCTCTCTCTCATGCTCACCCTACCTCTCTCTCTCTCACCCTGCCTCTCTCTCTCTCACTCCTCACCGTCTCTCTCTCTCACTCCTCACCCTGTCTCTCTCTCTCTCTCTCACGCTCACCCTGCCTCTCTCTCCTCACCCTGCCTCTCTCTCTCGCACTCACCCTGTCTCTCTCTCTCTCGCACTCACCCTGCCTCTCTCTCTCTCACCCTGCCTCTCTCTCTCACCCTGCCTCTCTCTCTCACCCTGCCTCTCTCTCTCTCACCCTGCCCTCTCTCTCTCACCCTGCCTCTCTCTCTCACCCTGCCTCTCTCTCTCACGCTCACCCTGCCTCTCTCTCTCACTCACCCTGTCTCTCTCTCTCTCACCCTGCCTCTCTCTCTCACCCTGCCTCTCTCTCTCACCCTGCCTCTCTCTCTCTCACCCTGCCTCTCTCTCTCTCACCCTGCCTCTCTCTCTCACCCTGCCTCTCTCTCACTCCTCACCCTGCCTCTCTCTCTCTCTCACCCTGCCTCTCTCTCTCACCCTGCCTCTCTCTCTGTCTCACCCTGCCTCTCTCTCTCACCCTGCCTCTCTCTCTGTCTCACCCTGCCTCTCTCTCTCTCACCCTGCCTCTCTCTCACCCTGCCTCTCTCTCTCTCACCCTGCCTCTCTCACTCCTCACCCTGCCTCTCTCTCTCTCACTCACCCTGCCTCTCTCTCTCACGCTCACCCTGTCTCTCTCTCGCACCCTGCCTCTCTCTCACTCTCACTCACCCTGCCTCTCTCTCTCGCACTCACCCTGCCTCTCTCTCGCACCCTGCCTCTCTCTCTCTCACCCTGCCTCTCCCTCGCACCCTGCCTCTCTCTCACGCTCACCCTGCCTCTCTCACTCCTCACCCTGCCTCTCTCCCTCTCACCCTGCCTCTCTCTCTCACCCTGCCTCTCTCTCTCTCACCCTGCCTCTCTCTCACGCTCACCCTGCCTCTCTCACTCCTCACCCTGCCTCTCTCTCTCTCACCCTGCCTCTCTCACTCCTCACCCTGCCTCTCTCCCTCTCACCCTGCCTCTCTCTCGCACCCTGCCTCTCTCTCTCTCACCCTGCCTCTCTCTCACGCTCACCCTGCTCTCTCTCACGCACTCTCACTTTATTCTCTTTCTCACTTTACTCTCTCGCACGTGCGCTCACGAGCACGCACGAATCCCCCCCCCCCCCCCCGCGAGGGTGATGATTTACCGTGCTATAGAAAATTACCAAAACACAAACTCCCTCCTCGCGGCCCACCCAGAGTTTGACGGCGATGGAGATTAGACGAGGGAGGAAGATCGCCGTGTGACAGCGACGTTTTAGATACCTCGTTCTACCTCGCGATGGTGATTCTTTCAGCGGAGTGAATCCAACGGGTCGTGAAATCCCGTGGGGTGGTTTTTTTTAAAAGTGTGATGAAATTAACCAGGGACATTCGTTGCATGGAAATGTGAAGCGTTGCAGACGAGGGTTGCACTCAACATTTCATATAAAATAATCAAATGTAAATTTCGATTTAAAGCTGTTCGTGACTGCAATGATTCATCTTCTTTGGTTCTTTCGGTAAAGTCACGTAGAAATGACAATAAAATAATAAATTGATAAAATAAAATAACACAATAATATTCTCACGACGTTTCGGCCACAACACAAGCGGCACAAAAAATGTATTTAGAAAAAACCATACATTTATGGAAATGTAATGTTTACATTCCATATCGCACATTTAAGCCTTTGTGATGCTTGTAATTACTTCATTTCACAAAAAAAACCCTCACAAATCTTCAGGAAAGCAAATCCAATTAAGATGAAAAAAAATGAACCCAAATATATATATCCTGACCTAAATTTTGAAATCAACAAAAAGGTGGAAAATGTAAAACCACAAAAAATGAAACCAGATATATATCTTAACCTAAATTTTGAAATCAACAAAAAGGTGGAAAATGTAAAATCACTACGAAATTGGGTGGCTTTTAACGGGAGCAAAGCGGTCGAACGGTCACGTTGTTCACACGAAGAGGGCGGAACTCTGACAACGTTGTTTGCCACGCGCCGAATACGCCAATGTCCCCGTCGCGGACAGACGGCAGGGCCGGTGAATAGACGTTCCGTCGACGAGGGCAGCAGGTGCGCAGAGATCGCATTTCTCCTGCCACAGGTAAATCGCACGCGTCTTTGTTGATTTTAGCGGGCGAATAGTGCTTTGTAAACTGAGAAAAATGCTGTGATTTTGTTACAAAAAGGTTTCTACTTTTCGCAAACACAAGAGGTGGATGTTTCAGAGTGAAGGCTGTTTCATCACGGTGACATGTATATATTGTTTGCTGCTGGTATATATATACATACACACCGCATTCACTCGCCCCAGTGCAGTGAATGCATCGACCCGCTGTTTCAGCGCGCTGTTCGATATCCCTGCCGCTGAGCTAAAACAAATTAATAACAACATACAGATCCAATATCAGTTTGAAGTTCTTTTTTTTTTACTTTTCACTTGTAGGTATAAATAATACTAATACGGAAAATAATGCAGACAAAAGCCCCAAGTCTGAACGCGATTCACATTTACATCCTCATGGTACGTACTAAATGTTGTCAAAATGTAATCAATGCATTGTCTAATGTGATGACGGCCGACGCAGAGCGAGCTATATGTAATCATGTTGTGCTGCTTGCAATTGAATTCGTTTACACGGCCGAATTCCCCCGTGCCGTTAACGGTGACAGCTCATCTGCACGACGTGGTCGCAAATCTCTCTCTTCGTTGCTTTCCCGCTCGACTCCGCCGCGCTTTGAGAAACGTGAACCGGCTAAACATGTCCGTGACGTTCAATCTTGACATGAACATGTCCGTACGGGTGGCAATGCGTTGGACGTGATTCACCGCCGCTCGTACGATGAGCCGTCTGGGTTGTGCGCGCAACGATGATGCCCGCTATCACAGACGCGGGAGATGGCGATGTTCCGCACGGTGCCCGACGTTTCGCTCCACGTGCCGCTGGGAGTTTCTTCGGGAGCTGAATTCAGCACGTGGAGACAACGTCGGACAAACTCCATCGGAGAGCTGTACGGCACAACCGTGAAAATCATCATCATCATCATAACCAAGGGCCGATGTGCACAACCGATGTTTTCCACCACTCATCATCTTCAGCGGATCTCATTCCTCGTCCATTCCAGCCGCTCACACTTTCCCACCGTCAACTCATTCCCTTAGAGAGGTTGTTTTTGGGTTAGATCGCCACGTAAATATATGTGTCGTTAACCCGCCACCACCCCGACACAGCCAACTAGCAAGGGTTGTCACGTAAACAGAACGTGGCCAATTCGTCACTAGTACAGCATTACACCGGTTGTGTGTTAGAGAGCCAAGCCACAACATTTACAATCGCGAAAGCCTCCGTGTTAAACTGATTCCCTTCCCTATCTCTTCCGCTCCTGCCCCTTCCACGTTTCCTCGCAGGAAACCCTTCGTGCGTTCTCCGGCGGAGCATCTGACAATGTTCACGATAACAAACAAACAGAACAAAATGTGGGTTAGGTTGCGTGAATGTAATCGTGTCGTGCACCCATTTCCATTCGACAACGCCAATTAGTACGGCTTGTCACGTGAACTGAACGTGCCAATTTTGACACGAATGGCTGTGTCGGGTGGTGGTGGGTTTGACTTTTAAATTTACGCGACCAAACCCAACAACAACAAAAAAACTTCTCACGAATAATGTTAAATTTTGATTTAAAGCTTTCGTGACTGCAGTGATTCATATTCTTAGTTCTTTCGGTCAAGTCACGTAGAAGGGAAACAATAAAATAATAAAAATATAAAACAATAACATTCTCACGACGTTTCGACTGCAACACAAGCAATCATCATCAGGTGTGAAAACAACAGCAAGAAAAATGTTCTTGCTGTGATCGAAACGTCGTGAGAATTTTATTGTTATATATATTTTTTATTTTATTGTTTCCCTTCTACGTGACTTTACCGAAAGAACCAAGAATACGAATAATGTTGGTTGCGAAAGCATACGCATTAAATCTAACGATGTATCCGCATATGCTCATCATTATAGACCCCTGAATAATCCCTGCCGGGGTCCTTTCTCTCTTCGTAGCTTTCGCTTTGTCGCTGTGTTCCACCCGCACGTTCTCTCCAGTCTACTGCAACGCAATCGTCTCCGGTGCATTCCCTCTCGTTCAACGTCACGCCTCCTGGGTCGCCGCTCGTGTCCCACTTACATGCCCTAGGCAGCAACAATTCACCACAATCGGAATTTGTGGGAAAATTTTTATTATGAAAATAACGGAGAATGTGTTATTTACGAACGATATAATTTGCCAATAAGAACCCAGATGCTGTTGTTGTTTAATGGTTGGCACACCGTACTTACAATCCAGCGGTCAACCGTTCGAATCGATCTCCCGGAATGGCAGATGGGACATTGACTAAAGTCTCTTTCCTATCCACCCAGCAGCAGTAAACATGGGAACACCACAGCGGGCCGGACGGGCAGGTCACGTGTGGTGGGGTCAAGTATGGGCACTCCCACCTCTCCCGAAACGTCTGGGCAAGACGTTTCGGGAGAGGCACCCTCTCGACGGGCCCTCTAGACCTCCCGCCTAGTGGGAGGCCCTTTTTGCCAGCAGTGGCGTGAGCAAGACGCGTCAGGGCTGCAACTCCACCTTCATCGCAAACTCCGCTCATCCTCGCGGTCGCGGCGGCTTTTGGCTGGCCGTCGAACACAGACGGTCACCGCACCGCGCGCTTTTGGATGCGCTTCTGTGGCCGTCTGGAACGTTCTTCCTTCCGATATTATGAAGCCATTGGAGCTATGCACTTTTAAATCTAGTTTGAAAGTCTCATTTCATTCGAACTGCTTTTTGTGTTTTTGTTCGTTGTCCTTCGCCCGCACCTCCGGTTATTATCGCGGTCGGCCACGTACGGCGCAAAAGAAATTCAACGTACACGCATGCAAGTAAAAAGGCAAATTATATCCTCGCGGGCCTTGCGCGATGCCAATGTTCGCTGCACGTGTAGGCAGCGTCCCCAGAGAAGCTTGACATCTTCGCTCGTAAACGAACATCGGAAAGGCGTCCACCCCGCACGAGTGTGGTACGCGGGATGACAGCGGTGTGGTCTGGGCACGTTGCAGCGTGGGGAAGTGGGACGCTTGCGTGGTCCACATCCTGGTTGAGGGCTCGATTCATTTCATACGTAAAATGAGTACCGCTTTGTAGAGAAGTCAACCTATTGGTTGGCCTATGGATAGACCCGAGCCTGCAACAGGAATGTGGAATTTCCACCACTGGCTCAGGGCTGTAAACGGCAGACGAGCAATGCTCAGCTGAGCAGGACACCACTGACATGAGTCATGCACTGTTCAGCGATACTCCTGTATTTAAAGGGTTCGAGTAAATTATATTATACACTACTGTACCTTGAAAGTGATGAACATTTGATCGTCAATTGCATTGATTGCTTTTGTTAGAACCGGAATAAGGAAATATTCGTGATAAATACGGGAGACACCGCATTATTTTTCATATTTTTGTGTGACTGGGGTCTAATCTCATTATTAAAGAAACCCCGTCAACGTCCTAATGTGATTTTCACTAAGGGTAGCGTTTAAATGTTACGTAACAATTCTTAAATATATTTTGTGCCGCATGGCCTGACGTGACATTTTTAATTACCGTCGTAAACATCTCAGCAAAATAAGCAACTTTTATTTCCGGAGAGCGAGGTTGAGCTGTTTATTTTTACTAAAGAACATTCACTGGAACACTGTCGACAACAATGTGATTGATTGCAGGCTAACATCACCTTGGGTTACACGTCGCGGATTGCTTGTGCGAGGACTGTAGGCATCGCTTACGTGAGTTTATTTTACCGTAAAATCACCGCATCCTTAGGATCAATTTTCGCAAATGAACAACAGCATTGCTACCGCGGTTTAAACTCTTTACACACTGTGGCGACACAATTCCAGAGTCGGTAGCGATGGCAAAGTCCCCTGAATGTCAATGCTTCCTCCCACTGCCACGCGCACGCATGGCATCTTGAGATGCAGGCACATTTAGACGCTATTGAAATCTGAATTGTAATTGGTGTGATTACACATAATAGGGCCTTCGTAAAATATTCCTCCAGTGGCCTTTATACATTTTACTTTGGTATTGTAATGGTGAAAGTGGCGTGATTATCAGCACAAAGGGGATGGAAATGTAGACTGAATCTGACAGCGTCGTTACGTTGGGACATTGAGCATTTTATCCTTTTAGCGAATGAACAGCCTGGCAATTTTAGTAGCTCGTTTTTAAACATTATACATAGAGAACGGTGAGTGCATGGACAGACCAAGAGATCGTACTTAACAAATATATATTTTTTCAATTGCGGTAAAGATCTGAATCCTCACATCACGAAGCAGCATTATTTGGAGGTGATACGACTGAGATACTGAGTTCTAATTCCCGGTTTCAATCGCACATGGTTACTGAGAAGCTGGCTCTCAATTGTGGTGAATCCGTGGTGTGAGCCTGGTCACAGATGCACAACAAGGAATCATGTTAAATTTTGGTTTCTCACGGTTTGGTGAAATTCCAACTCAGAGAATTGATATATTGGTTTAACTCTCGTGCCACAAACACTAACCTCAGGACAGAGAGTGTGTGGGAAAGTGTGTCTCGTGTTGTTGTACAGGACAGAGTGTGTGTGGGAAAGTGTGTCTCGTATAGTGTACAGGACAGAGAGTGTGTGGGAAAGTGTGTCCCGTATTGTGTACAGGACAGAGTGTGGGTGGGAAAGTGTGTCCCCGTATTGTGTACAGGACAGAGAGTGTGTGGGAAAGTGTGTCTCGTATTGTGTACAGGACAACGGGGCCACTTGAATGGTATATGAGATGCATCTGTTTTTGTGTGTGTGCGAGTGAAACCATTGACTTATTCCGTAAATAAGCCACCATTTGTAAAACCGTCAGCATGAGTCCCACCCCCCCATATATATTCCGCATCATTCAGATGATTTTTTTAAAATTCTAAACTGTGAAGTTGCCTAATTTTCGCAACTGCCCAGGGACGAGAGGAAATGAGTGGAGGATGGTACGGCGGTAATGCGAACAACATGTCCAGAACACACCTCGTGTGTCACACGTCTCACTCTTTCAGCTTCATAAAACTCTGCTGCTGCTGCCACCACCACCACCTTCAATATGTCTACCGACCCGTATTCGTATGTACGTACGTACGTTGAGCTTCTTTCACACCGTGCGTAGCCAACCCTGCTAAGCGGAGGTGCGGGGGAAGGACAACAAATTCACCAAAAAAAGCATTTATAAAGAAATGAGATTTCAATCTCGAAGATGTAAAAGTGCATAGCTCCCAGTGGCTTTGTAAGGCAGAGCGTTCCAGACGGCCGCAGAAGCGCATCTGACAGCGCGCGAACGCGGTGACCATCTTTGTTCGACGGTTCGCCAAAAGCCGCCGCTGTGAGGATGACCGGAGTTCGCCTGATGGTTCATGCTCCCTGAGATCGACAGGGTCATTGTGCACTGCGTGAAACACGTTCAAGTCCCGGCTGAAGACTGGCCTCTGTCTCTCTCTCTATAATCCCCTTAATCTTGTCTCTTTAGTCTTTCTCGCCACCGTTTACTTTACACTTATTTTCCTAAACCACTTGCATGGCGCTCTGAGGTGTATTTTTTAAGGGTCCCTTGCAAATGGATAAGTACAGGTGAATATGTTATTGTTGCTTTTCGAATCGACTGATACATTTCCACGAAGCAAGTTTGCCTCTAGGCAAGAAAAAACATCCCGCATGGGAATACAGGGAAATGGTCACTTTACCCAGAAAAAGTGTCATGACAAAGGATGCTTACTCCACTTGCGAGTGACTTAAATGTGAGACACATGGACACATGGACTTAATGTCTGCGGAAAGAGGACAAAAAATAAATAATTACGTTTTTAAAAAGGGCACATGGGAACACAGGGAACATGCTGCGTGTGAATTATGAGCATGTATTCCTCTGTTTCTGCTCAGAAAGTCAGAGTTTCCACCACAGTTTTGGACATAATTGCCATTCATGCCGTGACAATGGACCCTTTGTGTGCCGTGGTGGACATGAGGGCGCTGTTACTACTTGTGCGTGACAAATTTTGCGTGCAAATGAATGAATTGCTCAGATTTTTTGTTTTGCTCCAACGTTAGAACAGTGCCAAATGTGAACTTCTGGAACATTGCTCTTATGCCCCCCGATTTAACATGGATGTTAGCGTTCGTACGGAATCTTACTGTTCTGGGTGTGCGCAGGCTAAACAGCGTACTTTGCAGTATGCCGTTTAAATAAGAGCGCCACAAATGTTTAGCCCTTCAACATTTATAGCCCTTCGTCGATCAACCGCTGGGCCTCCCCACACCGTGTCTTTTCGGTTGTCGGGCGGGGGGCAGGGGGTTGGTGACCATACTTCACCACGCCGGTCAGCGCAGGTTGGTGAAGTGGTGGAATCCAGAACCGGTGGTAGATATCGCTCGCCGCTGATGTTTAGCCATCGGTGGGGAATCGAACTCGGCTCGCCAGATACATCGCTCATCGCAGTTCACAAACCACTGTGCTACATCTCCACACACCCCCCCCCCCGCCTCATTCAAAAGTGTAAACGCACACAAACAAATGTCCCGCGCCTCGTTCTTCTCAACAAACGTACGCACACGTGTGCCTTCGTCTCCAGTTGTCAATGTTTCCCAAGACGGGGCCGTGGCACGTTTTGAACAACCTCGAGTACGACTGCTGGCCGCTGTCACAGCCGAACGAGTTCAACATGATCGACTGCGGAGGTGAGCGCGTAACGTGGGGGGCGGTGGGGGCGGGGGGGAATCAGCGAACGGCCAAGGCGAAGTTTCTCGTCGCTGCTGACGCCGTTGATGCCGCAGTTGCCTCTCGACGTCGCTTCCTTACCGCTGCATCCTTGCAGCCGTGCAAATCTGACACCAGACCTCCGCGCGGTCTGCACCTACACTCCACCTGGCTTCCAGCGCCTTCCCCTTGGCCACCGACTTGCATGGGTGCCACTCTCAGTCGCTTCTCCCTCTCTTGCATCCGGCACGAATGCTCCACAAATGACATTAAGAATGTACTCGAAATCGACAACACTTTCCCATGACGTTTCCATTAAAATGCTTCGAACTTGCTCATCCAATTCTGCCGTAAAATGTCCCAACATGCCACGCACGGATCTTTATTCAAAGGCTAGGAGATTATTTTCGGTAGCAGAGATAGGTGGTGGTTGAGGTGGTCATTGTGGCTCACGGTTGTGTAACGCGCTGAACCGGCATTGCTGAGAAGCTGGGTTGGAATCCACGTTCCATCCACCCGCGATTAAAGTGAGTTCTCAAACGGATTGAATTAATGGTCTCTGTCCAGTCATCAGTGAATGCACACACTTTCACCCCCCCTAATATTAAAAAATACTTTTGTCACTTTAATTTGTGACCAGTTCGATCGCACAGTGTGTGGGGAAAACTGATATTACGGACAGTAGGTACAAAAAGTAAAAAATAAGAAGGAAAATTCGATTAAGGCAAGTTAGATTTTCTTGGAAAATATAATGAGAAAACAAGAGACTGCATTTCAACAGTTTTTGGCTCTGAAAATTATCGGTACAACAAGAATCATGGGAAGACAGCGAATAAAGTGCGTGAAGCAATTTGAACAATTGCATTCAACTGAGAGGAACAGAGTAACGTCACGGGCAGGGCTAAGTCGATTGCCACAATCGCCAACGAATTTGAGAATGGACGTTGAGCGGGTGAGGAAGTGCAACCCCTATTTGGTGAGGATGCAAAGGCCGCTTGAGTTTCTTTCCTCTTCGTCTCAAAGGTTCTGCGGAAAAAAAAATCTCGCCCAGATGTTCCCGGGCAACGGGGTGCGATGTTCTGAATGGATGCAGTGTCTCGTGGCAAGGGCAGTGGTGCCGTGCAGGTGGCACATCACTTCCCGCGATCCATAATCGAGGTTTTTTTTGGGATTAGATCGTGGAAATATGTGTCGTTAAAACCCGCCACCACCCGAACACAGGAGGACTTCTCCACAAATCTGGCTGTCGCCTGATGAAGCTAGTTGTAATTACTGGCGAAACGTCGTACTCGATTGTAAATCTTGTGGCTTGGCTCTCCAACACACAGGTGTTGCTGTACTAGTGACGAATTGGCACGTTCTGTTTACGTAACAAACCTTACTAGTTGGCTGTGTCGGGTGGTGGTGGGGTTTGACGACACATTTATTTATTTACACGATCTAACCCCCCAAAAAAAACTCTATTATGGATGATATTGGCTGCGATGTTATATTTTAAGATCACATCAAAATTAACGTAATCTTTGGCTCATCATAAATGGTGTATCTAGCTCGGCCGGATCAGCTGAAACAAAAATCAGGAACACAGCAAATAGCCTTCAACAGAGGCGCTGTAAATTAATCAGTCCACAGACTCCTCGACTTATGAACACTCTACTTACGAACTTCAGAGATACGAACAAACGTGTTCGTATGTCCAGTTGCTTGTTCGGATCGAGAGTCGTAATTCAACCGCCACACAATAGATGGCGGTGGTGGCATCTACATCTGCAGAACGTGAAGAACAGTGGCATCTACACCTATGGGAGATTATGCAATCTTGAAAGCCATTCTCCGTATTTAGTGTACATGGCGCACGTGTTTGGAATGGACAGAAGTGAAGTTGGACTTACGAACAAATCGACTTACGAACAGATTTCTGGAACCTAACTCGTTCGTAAGTAGAGGAGTCCCTGTACTGTACTGTATTTTTTCCTCTCGCGTCATAATTATCTGAACGTGTTATGTTTTCCGTTTATGTTATAAAACATTTTTTTGTTGCAATTCGCCAGCTCTGGAAATTCGACAAACATTGTCACGATTCTGGATTTACGAATCTTTGTCTTGTTTAACCACTCTGGGGGAACGTAGCAGCCACTTCCATTACAACTCAAACGTCATCGATTATTGCACACGCAATTTGAATGCACGTGTAGTGACTAAACTCGGAGGCAGTAAGACTTGGAGGCACTTCTTTATTTAACGAGCACCATCAGTATAATACACAACACCACGTGGGTACACACTGTCACTGTTGCTAGCCTATACACAACACCACGTGGGTACACACTATTACTCTTGCTAGCCTATAACACCACGTGGGTACACACTGTCACTGTTGCTAGCCTATAACACCACGTGGGTACACACTATTACTGTTGCTAGCCTATACACAACACTACGTGGGTACACACTGTCACTGTTGCTCGCCTATACAAAACTCTAACCGTCTAACACTGACGGCGCTGAACCGAGACAGCCAACTACCGTCTAGCAGCGCAATGTCGAGTGAAGACGATGGCGACGATCTTGAGCATCACGACGGGGATCCCACTCCAGCAACAGCCTCGAGGTCCCTCACTGGGGCCCCTCTAAGACCCCTAGCGTGGCCTCGCTCCGCCCCGGCCACGCCCCCTCTCTGGAACCCACTAGGGGGTTCCCGAGGCTTCTAGATGCCCCCCCCCCCCTCTGTGACCCTTCCCCTAGATGTCCCCCTCTAGTGTCTATCATGGCCTGCTGACTTCAGTACTGACGTACACCACAGTTCCCTTTTTCGCCAGCAGCCAACACTATGCCACTACACGTGTATTGTGAACTTCAGAATGTATACATTGATCAGTCAATTAGAGCTTCGTTACACCAGTTTAACACCTAGGCTTCCGCGACCAATATCCATAATAGAGGTTTTTTTGAGTTAGATTGTGTAACTATATAAATGTGTTGCTAAACCCACCACCACCCGACACAGCCAACTAGTAAGGGTTGTCATGTAAACAGAACGTGGCCAATTCTTCACTAGTACAGCACACCGGTGTGTTGGAGAGCCAAGCCACAACGTTTACAATCTGAGTACGACGTTTCGCCAATAATTATAACTAGCTTCATCAGGCGACAGCCAGAATGATTTGGCTTTTTCTGTTTACGTGACAAACCTTACTAATTGGCTCTGTCGGGTGGTGGCGGGTTTAACGACACAATTATATATTTCTGTGATCTAACCCAACAAAAAACCTGTATTATGGACTTCGTTACACCATTGGTTATTAGAGAAACTCATTTTATATTTGGCTCAATAAAACACGCTCAGTGCGCTGCTGTAGAGGGTTACCAGGAGCGGAATCAGAAAGAAAGGCTTTGCTCGCTGTGTTTTTGCTCAGTGTGTAAGGGCGGGAGGCCTCGGTTCGATTCCCAACTTGGGTTCATTTCTGTGTGTAGTTTGTACGTTCTCTCACTGTTCTGAATGGGTTTCCTCTGGGTACTGCAGTTGCCTCCCATACTGTAGCTAAACACACACACAATGCAACTGGTGTCGTATTGGCCAAAACATCGCAATGCTGACAAATTACCCACAAATTACTCAATTGTGGGTTACATAGCAACATCATCACCTCCCCCGACTACTTGGCAGTGCCCTCCCGAAAACGAGTCTTGAGACTCAGGCTTCTCTTGGTAAACGAGCATAATAATACAATGCATACATTGCATGTATGTTGAACTTCTTTCCCACTGTACGTAGCCGAACCGCGCGAGTCGGAGGTGCGGGGGAAGGACAGCAAACTAAACACAAAAAACAAACATTTAAATCCAGACGATATGAAAGTGCGCAGCTCCAGTGGCTTCATAATATCGGAAGGAAGAGCGTTCCAGACGGCCGGAAAAGCGCGTCTGACAGCGCCCGTCTTTGTTCGACGGTTCGCCAAAAGCCGCCGTTGTGAGGATGACCGGAGTTCGCCTGATGGTTCATGCTCCCTGAGATCGGCAGGATCATTGTGCACTGCGTGAACACGTTCAAGTCCCGGCTGAAGACTGGCCCCTGTCTGTCTGTCTCTCTCTCTATTGTCCCCTCGACATTGCCTCTTTAGTTTTTTCTCTCCGACGATTACTTCACTTTTGTTTTCCTATAACCACTTGCATTTCAGGCTTGGAAATGGCTTGGTTTAAAAGGCCACCGGGCACGGTCGTGAGTGGAAACGTCTTCGAAGTCGTCTACGAGGTGGATGCCCCGGACAGCTTTTACGAATGGGGTGTAAGCAACAAAATATTCCCCAACAGGTAATTGTAGTCTGCAGGCACGTGCTGTGTGTGGAACTTCTTTCGTGCCGCATGTAGCCAACCGTGCTAATCGGGAGGCGCGGAGTCGCTCTCGTCGTACGTACGCGCATCGTTATTTACGCAGCGTTGTATCGGGCGATACGAGGATGGCAACCCACGGATGGATCCCGAGAGATTCAAGTGTGGATCTCGGGACAAATTCGTAACAAACGCGAACACCACCGGCAAGACAACAGCTGTCATTACGGCTGGCGGGCCGGCAAATACAAAAAAAATATCAGCGACGAAGAATTCATACAAACGGTAGAACTTCTCTTCTTTGGTTCTGTCGGTAAAGTCACCACGTAGAATGAGAATAAAATTATAAATTGATAAAATAAAATAACACAATAAAATTCTCACGACGTTTCGGCCACAACACAAGCGGCCTTCATCAGGTGAAGGGACGAGACTGTCTTCGCCTGATGAATGCCGCTTTGTGTTGTGGCCGAAACGTCGTGAGAATTTTATCGTGTTATTTTATTTTATCAATTTATTATTTTAATTCTCATTCTACGCGACTTTACCGAAAGAACCAAAGAAGATGATGAATCCTTGCAGTCACGAAAGCTTTTAGTACGACTTCTACCAAGGTTTCTGGCGCTGGTTAGGGATTGGCGCCTGTTCAGGTGCCAGATTGTCGCTCCGCAGCCTTGCGGTGAGTCGCAGAGGGCCGGCAAGGTCCACCAAAGCGGATCGCAGTGCACCGTGCATTGGCCAACTTCATACTTTTTTTTTCTAAAAATGTTTAGTCAAAGGGGCCGATCGATATCGCCTTATTCACCCCCCCCCGCTCATCCTCCTCCAAACCTGCGCTTTTACAGAATGAGGGGAATTGCTCGGAATACCACAAAAGATAATTTGGGCAAATTTATGAGCGCGTTTGTTGTTGTTGTTGTGACGGTTTATCCTCTGTGGAATGCGTGGAGCTGCGCGGAGTGGTGAGAGGGGAATCGGAGTGGTGAGAGGGGAGTGGTGAGTGGTGAGAGGGGAGTGGTGAGTGGTGAGAGGGGAGTGGTGAGAGGGGAGTGGTGAGAGGGGAGTGGTGAGAGGAGAGTTTTGAGAGGGGGGAGGAGAGTGGTGAGAGGGGAGTGGTGAGAGGGGAGTGGTGAGAGGGGAGAGGGGAGTGGTGAGAGGGGAGTGGTGAGAGGGGAGAGGTGAGAGGGGAGTGGTGAGAGGGGAGTGGTGAGTGGTGAGAGGGGAGTGGTGAGTGGTGAGAGTGGTGAGAGGGGAGTGGTGAGAGGGGAGTGGTGAGAGGGGAGAGGTGAGAGGGGAGGGGTGAGAGGGGAGTGGGGAGAGGGGGAGTGGTGAGAGGGGAGAGGGGAGTGGTGAGAGGAGAGTGGTGAGAGGGGAAGTGGTGAGTTGTGAGAGGGGAGAGGAGAGTGGTGAGAGGGGGAGTGGTGAGAGGGGAGTGGTGAGAGGGGAGTGGTGAGAGGGAGGAGTGGTGAGAGGAGAGTGGTGAGAGGGGAAGTGGTGAGAGGGGAGTGGTGAGAGGAGAGTGGTGAGTGGTGAGAGGGGGAGTGGTGAGAGGGGAGTGGTGAGAGGGGAGAGGTGAGAGGGGAGTGGTGAGAGGGGGAGAGGGGAGTGGAGAGTGGTGAGAGGGGAGTGGTGAGAGGGGAGTGGAGAGTGGTGAGAGGAGAGTGGTGAGTGGTGAGAGGGGAGTGGTGAGAGGAGAGTGGTGAGAGGGGAGTGGTGAGTGGTGAGAGGGGAGTGGAGAGTGGTGAGAGGAGAGTGGTGAGAGGGGAGTGGTGAGTGGTGAGAGGGGAGTGGTGAGTGGTGAGAGGGGAGTGGTGAGTGGTGAGAGGAGAGTGGTGAGTGGTGAGAGGGGAGTGGTGAGAGGGGAGTGGTGAGAGGGGAGTGGTGAGAGGGGAGTGGTGAGAGGGGAGTGGTGAGAGGGGAGAGGAGAGAGGGGAGTGGTGAGAGGAGAGTGGTGAGAGGGGAGTGGTGAGAGTGGTGAGAGGAGAGTGGTGAGAGGGGAGTGGTGAAAGGGGAGTGGTGAGAGTGGTGAGAGTGGAGAGAGGGGAGTGGTGAGAGGGGAGGGGTGAGAGTGGTGAGAGTGGCGAGAGGGGAGTGGTGAGAGGGGAGTGGTGAGAGGGGAGTGGTGAGAGGGGGAGTGGTGAGAGGGGAGTGGTGAGTGGTGAGAGGGGAGTGGTGAGAGGGGAGTGGTGAGAGGGGAATCGCTCTGATGCGTGTCCATGTTGGCACGCCACTCGCCCCACTGGCAGAGTGAGCCGACCTATCAGGCTCAAAGACAAAGATCCCCCGTGTAGCCTTAACACACGTGTTGTGGGCAAGTGCTGTTCGCGAGTAGCACCAACGCTACGCCCGGCCGCCTTTGTCTTCCTAGGACTGACGTTTGCACACACCGCACCGGGTCCTAATTTCAAGGCTGAATCGACATCGGGCAGGGAGACCAAAGTCATCAGTTGCGATATCCGCTCGTGTTGAACTGGGGGTCGCTTTGGCTTGTGCGCTAAACCACTACGCTACCGCTCCCCCAAGACACGCGCGTGTGATGGCGTGCGTGCGAGAGTCACTCCATCCTCCACCAAGGCGTGAGAATTGGACTGCTCAGGGCAGAGATGTGATGTGGCAAGTTAGGAATCGTGACAAGCTGGGCGCTTGAGTGTAAGAGATACTTTTGTGTGGATAATTACATTTTGCCACAGAAAGTTTGAAGCCAATGCAAGATGAAACCGCACCTAGGCAGGGTATAGGGGTGTCGACGCTCTAGTGGCCTTGACACTGTGATATTTCGATGTAATAACCACGATGATAGCATGGCCCCTCATTCAAAACATCATCATGTCGTCATTCCCGTTGCTCGTTCAAGTTCTCTGAAATGATTCATTTCTTGACTATGAAATAACAATGAAAGTAAAAACAAAACCCATTAAATGAGTCAGTTTAACAAGCAGTAGGCTTCCACGACCAATATCATCCATAATAAAAGTGTTTTTGGTTAGATCGAGTGAATGTATAAATGTGTCGTTAAAACCCGCCACCACCCAACACATTTACATATTTACGCGATCTAACCCAAAAAAACCCCTCTACGATGGTGGATATTGGTCGCGGAAGCCCACGTGTTAAATAGAATACAGTTTACAGTCTACAATCTCGACTTGGTGAAATCTTTTCCGCGGTATGTCATGTTTTTTTTAGCTACTGTACCACCCGACAGAGCCAATGATGTTGTCACGTGGGCGTGTACGCCAATTGATTTGGTTTTATCAGTAAAACCGAGGGAATGTTGAAAGGCAAGCGAAATGTTTACAATTTTATACCAGACGTTATTGCCAGAGACTACATCCAGCATAATCAAGTGTTCTCATAAGCTCGGCTGGTTGTCATCGGCATACAATTATTCGCGGTTACCATCGATCCTATTCAACAATAACTAACTCAACATTTCCACGAATGTAATTCCGTCGAACTGATTTATATGTTCTCAAAAAAAAAAGCAGACGATAAAAAGTAAGAATAGGTTTTACCCTTTCTGTTAAGATGTTCAAACACCAAATAAAAACTTTTACACCTGTTTTATTGCCAGGAAAGGTGAAGCCTATTCTTATTTTTTCATACCTTGATACTTCAGTTTTCAGTTTCATTGATTAGGTATAGCCCTGTGAGCCATGCGGCTCTTGACTCGGGTGCAACCGCAACAAACAAAAACATGAACAAAGAACATCTTAAAGTGACTACGTGCAACAGAAAAATCCAGGAAAAAACATCAAAGTCTTCCAGAAAAAACACCGTATATGAATGCTGTGTGCAAAAATCCCAGTGGGATGCAAGTCAAACAATAACAACCATAAGCCATTTTGATTTAAAGCTTTCGTGACTGCAGGGATTCATATTCTTGGTTCTTTCGGTAAAGTCACGTAGAAGGGAAACAATAAAATAATTGTTTTACATTTTTATTATTTTATTGTTTCCCTTCTACGTGACTTTACCGAAAGAATCAAGAACCATAAGACAATTTAGATTAAAGTTATCAGTCTAACTCTGTACTACAACAAACAAATATGGCTGAACCAAAATAAAGCTATAAAAACAATGTAACGGTGATCATAGGAACTGTGATTTAAATTTAACAATAAACGATATACATAACATGTACTACCAAACTTTGCAGCCATAGCTGACTGCATGAGTCACTCCATAACAGCAGGAGTATCAGTAGGAGTATCAAACATTTTTAATGCACCTTTAAAGATCAGCACACTATAATCAAAACCCAAGATCATACTTTGCAGCGGTCATCCGGAGCGATAATTTCATTTCAGGCCACTGGCAAATAGGTCCCAAAAATCAGACGCTAAGTCCACATATCTCTGCTGCTGAAATGATACACTCCCAGAAGACAAATGCGGCTGACGGGTTGTGGAAGAAATACTTAAAAATGTTACGTGTGAGAGATGACTGTGTGAATGCGCTGCATTGCCTGCTTATTTACTATTGTTATTATTATTTAAATTCTCTCCACCACAGGCTAATCATTATTTTGCTGTATGTTCTCAAGGACGGTCAGTCAAGCGAAACATTTTTGCGAGGAGCAGGAATGCCCTGCACCATGGAAGGATGCAACGGAAATCAACTGCTGCATCCACCATGCCAACATCCACTCTTGCCCCCTCTCGTTCATGGTACGGACGCCTCAAGCGAATTTACTCTTTGAGTCATCCACGTTGTCCGTTATCTCTCGGACAAACTGAAGAGTCGTGCGAAATGCATTTGTTCAATGTACAGGGTGTCCGAAAACGAATATGCCAATAAATAAAGCTGATTAGTTTGATTGCTGTTCGAGATACTGACATAATTTTGATATGAATATATATGCATTCGACATATACGTTTTAGTTTATTAGGAATATTGATGAGTACTTTATTTCTGATTCAGAAGAGACCCCATTTTCCGATATAATGACAAGTCCGCCCGTTTACCCGACTGAACACCATTAGATTTTTTTTTAATCTCTGGGTTTTTAAAAAAAGTTAAGTCTACACTAGCAAACCAAGGGAGCTTGAAGAAACTTAAACATGGTATTGTTGATGCTGCTGTGTCATCCATTCCTACAACTGTGTTGGAAAATGTTTTCTCCGAGTTTGATCGCCGAATCAGATTGATTATAGTGAACGATGCACGGCATGCAGAAGTCTATTAATAATTCGACAATATCGAATTAATGCCATAACAAATTAAATAAACTAAAACTTTAAAATCTATTACATGTTTTCTTGTAAAATTTACTTTAGTGTCTCGAATAACAACATAACCATTCGACGTTATTTTTGGTATATTCATTTTCAGATACCCTGTATATTTCTGTATGCAATAAAATCCTTCACGTTTGTTCAACTGAGACTATAATTTTCCAGGTGCATGGTGGAATCTGTGGGCCATGGATCCCAGATGACGGACAAATATTTACCCACACACTCTCAGAAGCGGGCACAATGAAGAGGCACAACTGGTCTGCTATGGTACGATTAATGATGTATTTGTCTCTTACCCAATAGCTTACATTAGGTCAGCATTCTTGTCTTTCATATGTTGAGCTTTGAACCAGGTTGGCCAGGATTGGGAAAGGATATAGCCCACTTTTAACCCCGGTAACCAGACAGCGCATACTTATTTAATTATTGACTCATCACCGCAACAACAAATATTTACATATATTTTAGAACGAACAATTCAATAATTTAGAAAACAATTAAGAAGACGAATTGAAATAAAAATTTTCAAGGCTAAAAATCTTATCGATGATTCTATTTGAAAAACTGGTCATCAGAAAAAAAAAATATTGAAAAGAATGCAATTCTCATTAGGCGTAAACAAGTGCCGTCTCCAACTCTTACGATCCACTCTGTTTCTCTCGTGGCCTATGTCCCATTGGCCGAAACGTCACCTATTACATGTTGCCTTATAAGGCCACACGGTGTCATCGATGAACGAGTAGTTAGAGTTCATTTTTGTTGTTAAATTGTACTTGTACTCACTGCCAACAGCGGCTGCAGAAACAACAACAGCAGCAGCAAGCAACTTGACTTATTTATCACTGGTTCTCGTGGCACTGCCGACAGGTCACGTTGGTGCACGAGGGAGTGACGGACCTGATTGCACACGTCCGCGTGGGTCACATGCAAGCGGCGCTTGTGGCAACGACCACCGTGCTCCCGGCCACAGGTGAGTGCGGAGCTGCACGAGCCTTGTTCGCACGGATGAGAAACCGGGGAATGGAATATTTTGCGGTTTGCAATGTGGCTGATGGAATATTACATGGTTTGCAATGTGGCTGATGGAATATTGCACGGTTTGCATCATGATTGATGGAATATTACACGGTTTGCAATGTGGCTAATGGAATAATACACGGTTTACATCATGATTGACGGAATATCACATGGTTTTCAATGTGGCTGATGGAATAATACACGGTCTGCAATGTGGCTGATGGAATATTGCACGGTTTGCATCATGATTGATGGAATATTACGTGGTTTTCAATGTGGCTAATAGAATATTACGGGTTTCCACTGTGCTTTCGCGTTGTGCCGCGCATTGTCTGGCGTGATGTCCAACGTTTCGCTCCACGTGCCGGAAACATCGATGCGCACCAAAATTCAAAGCATAAATTACAGTCTACCACAGTAACATTATTAATAATGATAATAGTAATGATTTACAGCCTGACGTAACAATTCCACTTTGCACATGCACACGAGACTATGATTTCATCGCTAAATCCCCACGATACATGACCTCTCGAATTGCACAATCATCAACCTTCTTTCTGCCTTTACGATCCCATCGGTTGCCATGGCGTCTTCAATCGCTTTTGTGTCACGGTGTTCTCCAATGTATTTTCTTGTTCCCTTTTAATCCGTTCACGGAGTTCTGTGCATTCGATCTCTGGTTTAGCATCTCCAACTCTTCCGCAAAATGTATTTTTGTGGTTTCAGACAATGTATTCAAAATTAGGTTTGAAAGGTTAGAAATCAAACATGATTTATATCTTGTAAGTAAAAAAAAACATTACAAGTTAATTTATACCCCGCTGTCAACCCACTACTGGATTAAGGACTTTTCATACCCTGTTGGTCATAGGTGTTGTTTGACCATTCTTCACCACACTGCTCAGTGTCGGTTGATATAATGGGAGAGGCTGTGGTGCTCAGCCGCGGTCTGTATATCACTCACCGCTGACATTATCCGTGGCCAGGAATTGAACTTGCTTGGGTTACAAGGTTCGTTTCTCAAAGCAATAACCGCTGGGCCACTGCGCCCTCTTAACATGTTTGTGTCTCCCAAACCGAACACTCCAGTGCTATGAATATCAAAACAACCAAAAAATCACACCGTCAATAGATTCTTGTTTTGGTCCATTCGTGGTTCCTGTGAGATTGAAGGATTTTGTTGAAGGTTTACAAACTGGAGTGTCTGATAGATTGAGCAACTGACAGATGATAATTGCAGCCACATACCTCATAGGATAGAATCATAGAACTAGGTGATTGTGATCACAATGAGCAGCACATTGATATTTTACTTCACTTTTACGATCTAGAGAATTATAATTAGATCAACATTTCCCACTGTGAAAAATGTAGCCATGGTCAAGAGACAGTCCAGAATGACAAGATTTTATTTTCATGGGTTTTGGAAATCATTAAGTACAACAAAGAGTTTTTTTTAATTGTACAATGTTTTATTTGGGTCGCACCGCATGTTGATAATGTAAGGGTTTGGCTGAGAAAATGATAGGTACAAGAAGCCAGGGAAGGCAGCGAATTAAGTTACTTAAGCAACGTGAACAATTGGATGTAACTGGGAGGAGTACCTGATGCAAAGTTCTTGAGTAATACGATGGGCAGAGTTCAGTGGAAGGAAATACACAGCTTCTGACGTCTTTGAGAAAGGATACGGCTCACATCGAGCACGTGCTGCCCCCGGCATGTGTGGTGAAACGTCGGACATCGTGCCGAACAACACGCACGTTTGACTGCGTACGGTGCGAAAGAAGTTCAACATACGTACGACCAGAAAGTGGGCTAGAGAAGTGTACAGCAGCACGATCGCGAAATCATCCACAGTGCATTTTTTGTCGTCTGTTTTTATTAAGAGTGCACGTGTTTATTTTTGTGTTTGTGGGAAATCGACTTGCGCCATTGCCAGATTATTGAAGTGAATCATGCAGAGAGCATGCGGTGCATTTTTAACGTAGCAGTGTTTTTGGATGATAATAACCACATGGTTCATTTAATTTTCACAAACAACATTTCCACTTCAAACTAAAATAAATATGGTAAGCATACTTAACGATTGGATGTTAAATTTCGTTGTACTTTGCCTCTATTCAACTGGAATATATTCTTAAGCGTTTTGAAAATACGTTGTTGCCATTTGAATGCTTGTAAAATTTGTGGAAAGATAAAGTAATTCAGGAGTCCAGACGTGAACATAGCAAGTAAGTGTTGTATATCCTGTTCAATAGGGCAGTGGTTATGGACCTTTCTTGGCGACTGTAACCCCCCTTGTTGAATTTAGTTTCAACCGAGTAGCCCCTCGACTGACCCAACATGGTTCTGAGAAATGTATGAACAATGAACATCAATATTTGAACAAATTGTCAATTTTGTGAGGTGTATCCTAACCAGATAGTAACTTGCAAGCGAATACAAAAACAAAATCAACGGACTGCCTGCATGCGTGACGTCATGTGTTCGCGTTCGCTGGTTCCTCTTGGCAACCGCATTGTTGACGATCCATGAGTTTAGACAGGTCTCTCATATTGTTCTAGGTTGTCATAGGGATTCACATTTTATCGTAGTTATTTTGTAGTGGCAGATTCACACGCGATTATTTACCAAGGACTCTCACGTATGATATAATTTCACACATTCATAAATCAGCTCACCTACCCTCTGGGACGCTGCCACGTACCCCCGGGGATCCGCGTACCCCCGGGGGTACGCGTACCCCCCGGGGGTCCGCGTACCCCCCGGGGATCCGCGTACCCCTGGTTGAACGAACCACTGCAATCGGGCAACAAAGGTTGCACTGGGTAGGACTCGTGTGAAACTGGGGGTAGGGACAGTTACCGAGAGACAGATATTGGAGTGGTCTCTTCAAGTCCAGCGACCAACTACTATTTTGGGAAGCCGCGGTGGCTAGGAGATGTTAACTACCTCGCCTGGTATACAGGAGGCCGTGGGTTCGATCTCGACCCTCGAGTTTGCATCTGTCTCCCCCGTGGTCATCATTTAGAATCAACGTGCGTTTCGAGTATTTGGCTGCTTCTGAAAAAGAGTCGGAGAGCTAAGTGGGCCTTACCTGGTAAAATAAAAACGTGTCGTGTAGTGTATTATTTTATTTACCAGGTAAAGCCCCTGAGCTCTTAGTTTTTTATCAGAGGCCACCTGGCCACACACGATAACTCATCGAAGTGGCTTATATCATCATCACACGTGGGAATGTATAGTTGCAGCCAAAAAAAAATCTAAACTCTGTCTCTAAATGCGGAGGGCAAAACCAGAGGTGCAGAAGAAGAATCCCACCAACGGGGAGAAAGTGAACACGCAAACTCGAAATATACAACTGGCATCAGGGTCTGGATCAAACCCATAACCTCCTGCGAACTAGGCGAGGGATATAACATCTCCTTGCCACCCGCGGTGCCCCTGAAGGGGAAGGCTGCAGTCCAAGACGGTGGGATTCTGGTCAGCGCGTGTCTACATTCAGTGCTGGATTTTCCTAGTAGCAAAAGTAGCTGCATATCCTACGAGCCTCGCACTTTCAAGGGCACCGTGTTATACGCTTTCAAGCTATCAATTCCGGTTTAGTGATTCTGCACTTGTTCTAATATTATACCGCCTTCAACTTTTATGAACGACTGGGTGTTTAAGGTTAGCGATTTGTCGTATTATTTGGCTGTATAGCAAATTTAAAAATACAATTACTTTACTATGCAAGTAAAAAATTTACGTGTTTTCATTTGTTTATATCTAGGGCCCCTTTATAACAACATATGCTACTACAGGCCCCGCACTAGCTGAATCCGGCACTGTCTACATTGCAGCAGCTATGGGCTCCAGTGGAGGCTGGAGGGCGTTGCCAGTGGAGGAGGTGCGGCGATGGAGGTGTAGTGACGGAGGCTTTGGCCGCGATGACTTCTTGACCTTGAGCCTGACGATCGCTTCGGTCCGTGTTCCCCACTGCGCATTAGTTTGTGGAGACGCAACCTGCGATGCCGTCGAAAGCTGCTCCACCTGCCCCGCCGACTGTGGGGACTGTCCAATGGCCACCTCCATTAAGGTCGCCATCGGGCTGCCGATCTCCCTCGTGGTGTTCACCTTTATCGTGACGATCACGGTAAGGGGGGTTGGGGGAACACGCTGCAAGATTGCGCGTCAACACAAGTTACCAACATATTTCTTCTTCTTCTTATGAACTCTGGTTCCACGGCCTTCTAGTCTCTTGGCTGTTGTCCAGCAGAGCTGCATAAAACGAACCTGCGGGCACGGGTGGCCCTTGGTACTTCACATCTGCACACCTGTCAACAACCGCTTATCAGTGCCCCCTACCTTATTACAGACCAATTCAGACCTTGTTGGTCACCCCGTGCCCGTATACATCTCAACACCGGTGTGCCGTACTTGTAATTGGCACGTTCTGTTTACGTGACAAACCTTACTAATCGGCTTTGTCGGGTGGTGGCGGAGTTAACGACACATTTACATTTACGCGATCTAAACCAAAAAAAGCTATATTATGGACAAACGCATATCGTGGGACGCGTTATGCAAACCATGTGTGCGTGCGCATGACTTTACCCTCTTAATTGCACGTGTATATGTGGAGTGGTGTAACGCGCAGCAGGGTTTGCAAACAGCAGTTGCATTCATGTACGGGGTTGCAAACAGTGAGGCGAGCTCAGGACGAGCAGGTGCAGGCGGGTGGCCTGGGTGACAGCAGACAGAGGCAGTGATTGGCTGGCTGCAAATACAAACGCGGGGTAGGCGCCAGGGAGGCGAGAGATGGAGGTGATAAGGGGGAGAGAACACGTGCAAGAGACGCCGGAAGGACGCTGGCTTAATGAGGGCCATCTGAGGGCACTTAATGCGGCGGGGGATATAAGGGGAACGCGTGAGGCAGTGGGTTTGGGTTGGTTGGAGATGAAGCAGTGGAGAGATTCAAGAGAAGTCCGGGACGTCGCCCTCCACGCCTTCGTCCTCCCCAGCGGTGCTGGCTGAACCCCCCTGCTGGGGCGAGGTTGGAGGTGCGTGTGTAGACAGGCTAGCAGTGGAGAGGCCAGCGGAATATTGAGTCTGAGTGCGATAGGCTCGCGGGGTGAGAAGCTAGCGGAGTATACAGAGAGCGAGAGAGTGTCCGTGACAGGCTAGGAGAGCGGGCAGTAAGGGGATCGCGGAGCGAGAGAGAGAGCACGCTCGAGGTAGCAGGCGAGCAGGGGCAGAGGATGAGTTGGCGACAGGAGGTGTTGAACAAGAGGAGCATCCGTGTGGGATGCTGCGAATAAAGTGACGCAGGAGAAAAAGACGAAGTTGTCCGCGTGAATTAACACCACACTACACACGCACTGCATTGTGAATCATTCACCACAGAACAAATAACGTGTTGTATACCCGATACCTCGTCGGTAGAATTAAACAATGTGGAAGTCAGAGAGACAGGTTGATAACGGAGTTGCGTGAGCCAAGGGATTGATACGAGTGAACCAGTTATAATTATTATAAGCCCCCCGTGGTACATGAAGTGTAGGTCTCCAACTCGCCCATGCTTCTTCTCTGGCCTCTCTCTACGCGCTGTCAATGCAACTGAAGAAGAGCCATTGTCCGAAACGTCGCCCGTTATCAACGTCTTTCTTATTAAGGCAGCGGTGCTGTTGACGGATGTGTTAAGTGTGTGTTTTTGTTAGGCCGTGGGACGGAGTGATTGTGCCTGGTGTGTGTGTGTGCGCGCGTGAGAGAGTACTGTTTGAAAAGAGGAAATGTTAAATAAAGATCACTTTCGAATATAAACACAAACCAGGGAATGGGCAACACGAGCGGTGATTTAAGTGCAAAATGCTCCTGATCATGAGTATGGAATGAAGAAAACAAAGTTGAAGATTTACATTGTCAACATGTGCTGAGCAAGATGATAATTGATGCTGCTGCATTCACAGCGGCACGCAAACATATTCGTCAAAAAACAGTGACCTTAATTAAAAAAAACCTGCCTTATTTATTTCGTCTTCTATTTAAGATATTGTTGTTGACGAGTGTGTTGAGATTTTTTTTTGCAGTAAGATATCATCATTGTAGTCATTAATTACATTTTCGCAAGTTGACATGTTTTGAGTCAAGTTTAATGAGTATTCTGTTGTTGTTTTGTGGAGTGTGAAAGATTTGTTTTTGATTCTGCTCCACTGACCAGATTTAACGTTCGCCAGCTTTTTGAGTTATCTGTTGGATTAGTATTTTTTATATATAATATATAATACATAATATATTATATAGTATATATTATATATTGTTCCCTACGTTTGGCAGTTCAGAGTTAAACATTTCCAGACATTTATCCCACGAACTCTTCCGCATCTACGAACTAATCCGCCCGGACTAAATATTTTTTGTAAATTAGTTTTATGTTTGAAAAACAACAGCTCATTAATTTATCATTTCAGCATCTGTTAGCTGTCAGATTGCACACTTAAGCGTGAAGTTTTGTTCCATCGTTAAGCAAATTATTCGAAAGATGGTAAAAGGTATTTGAATAATTTAGTTCATTTGATATCGATGCCATTCTATTGCAAAGGTGCTCCACATTTCACAACACCAGTATAGCCGACCAGTAAAGGTGGGGATTTCACTGCATGGTTTTAACAAACTGAGTAATTTGCATGCACTTTTTATTCCTTGCTCATTTTTAAGAGAATAAAACAATATTAGTGATATGAAAGTGAGAAAATCAAGAGACAGACAGAGAGACATATTTTCCATAATTTAGGCTTTTTGGGTTAGATCATGTAAATATAAATGCGTTGTTAAACTCGCCACCACTCGACACAGCTAATTAGTAAGGTTTGTCACGTAAACAGAACATCCCAATTCATTACTCGTACAGCACACCGATGTGTTGGAGAACAAATCCACAACATTTACAATCTGAGCGAAAGCTTACGTCCATAATAAAGGTTTTTGGGTTAGATCGCGTTTATTTACAAATGTGTCGTAACCCTCCACCACCCGACACGGCCAATCAGCAAAAAAAAGTGTCACGTTGACAAAAGACAAATAATTCACTACTTCAGCCCACCGGTGTGTTGAAGAGTTAATCCACATTTACAGTTTGAGTACGACGTTTCGCTGGTAAATACATCCAGCATCATCAAGCAATTCGCCAGAATGGTAAAGCCCTCGCTTGCTCCCGGTTTTTATATAGAGCAGCAGGGTGACGTCATCACTTAACTCATATCAGGTGCATTGATTAGAGGCGGAGGGGGGGTATTGTAATTATATAATCGATTAGTAATCAGTCATTGGTTATGATTAGTATGCACCTGATATGAGTTAAGTGATGACGTCACCCTGCTGCTCTATATAAAAACCGGGAGCAAGCGAGGGCTTTACCATTCTGGCGAATTGCTTGATGATGCTGGATGTATTTACCAGCGAAACGTCGTACTCAAACTGTAAATGTGGATTAACTCTTCAACACACCGGTGGGCTGAAGTAGTGCATTATTTGTCTTTTGTCAACGTGACACTTTTTTTTGCTGATTGGCCGTGTCGGGTGGTGGAGGGTTACGACACATTTATAAATAAACGCGATCTAACCCAAAAACCTTTATTATGAATAATATTAGTCGCGAAAGCCTACGTGTTAAACTGAAAGCTTACGTGTTAAACAGACAGCTATCTGAGAGAATTGTAGACAATACGTTAACACGATACGTGAACACGATGCATGAGATAACATCTGGATAAATACGAGGTGATCGTGAGAGAACTGTCGATGGGTGATACAGGTGACACTGAGATTAGGGCCCTGCACATTTAGAGGTGCACTGTTAGTGATCGCATATACAGACATGCGACATTACGGCACCATGTGACATTACATCTGTACACGTGGTATAGATAATGTGAATTGTATATGTGAAGAACCCTGTATGATGTCATGACATCGCTACGCCTCATCAGAATCAGAATGTGTATCTATGCTGCAGGGGGAATCCGATGAGCTATAAAGCGCTTTTTCACAGATGTCCAGTAGGGGCATGGGGTCAGAACGTTACAACAAACGGTTCAAGAAACAACATAGGAGTGCAAAGTATAGGAAAGGTAAACACATTACTGGAAAAAAAATACAAATAAAAACCAAACTACGTTTTTTTATCTTAGCAGGTAAATCCCACTGAGAAAATCGACCTGGCCACAAGTGATGGGTCAACAAAGTGGATTGTCACGTGGAAACTTATAGCAGCCAAATAATCTAAATAACGCACGACAATGTGTGGTGTGTCAAGGAGCGTGCCTGTGATGAAGCTTAACACGTGTGGCAGCTTGAGAGTTTAATCGGGTTATAATTTGACATGGTTCAATATACACGTCGGTGCACGCCAAAAGCACGAGACATCCCACACATAAATATGCACGATAATCTAATTCATTTGAAATACAAACAAATTCGCACATATGTTGCTGGGTACTGTGAAGTTAAGTAAAGTTATGCAAAAAAGAGCCCGACACATTAATCAGTAACACCGTGGCCTTAAAAGGATACATATACAGCAGGCGACGTTTCAAGGAGTTAAATAGTGAAAGTAGCACGTACATTGGTTTTCTAAAATGGTTTAAAGTGCTCTGAAGAAGGGATATTGCCCAAAACGTTACGTATTATAGATTTTTTTTCCTTTTAAGGTCACAGTGTTATCGATTAATGTGTCGGCGATGTGTGGAGGGGGGGGAGGTGATTTGTGAATTGTGCTTGTGCACCACTGCCGAGGCAGCGGCAGCAGCAGCATCACCAGATCACGTGGTTTTATCTTTGTTTTTTGACATTTGCAGTGGTTTCAGTACCAGAAGCAGAAAATGTTTTGGGATGAGAGCTGGGTGGTCTGCCTGAAAGACCTCAAAATGGGTGAGTGCTCTCAGCTGTGTGAGCAACACGTTTTCTGTGCAGGTTATTTCATAACCAAACGTGCATCGGATGTGTCGTGTGTATGGTACGTTGGACTTCTTTCGCGCTGTACATCGCCAGCTGTGCTAATCGGAGGTGCGGGGGGAGGGACAACAAACTAAACACGAGAAGGATGCAGCACCGTTCCTGCTCTCCGATGTCACGTGTTCAGGTTGTACCTCGTCGACTGGTTCAGCACGATATCTGACGTTTCGATCCACATGCCCTGGAGCTGAAGGCACTGAATTGGTGGCTCGCTTCTTCGGGGGAATTGTATCACTATTTATTAGCTGAACAAACATACCGGCACGTGGAGTGGAACGTCGGACATCGTGCCAAACAACACGCGGTACGACCAGAAAACACTTTGGAGTGATATACAGCAAAGACAACCCCCCCCCCTAAAGCCTAAACAGACTATTGGGGAAAGTGCTGTTCGCGAGCACCCAGGAATGACAACACGGCACACGAGGGGGTGGGTGAGCACCACGCCCGACCACCTTTGTCTCGCCCAGTGTTGATGTTTACACAGCGCACCCAGGAATGACAACACGGCACACAGTGTGTAAACATCAACACGCCCAGTGTTGATGTTTACACAGCGCACCAGGAAGTAACGTAAGGCTGAGTCAACCAGCACCAATTCAGATATTCGTCACCAATGTTGGCTGTGAGCACCAAGGCTGTAGCCATGGAGTCAACATTGGGGGGGACCAAATCTTCCAGGGGGCCTGGGCCACCCCCCCCCCCCCTAGAAAATAAATCTAAATTTGAAAACTAATTTCCTGCCTAAAATATTACAAAATTCACTAAAACATGGGATGGACTTTTATTTATTTTTTACAATAATGTCTAATCGTGTATTGTATTACATTGCTCTGATTTTTCTTTTTTACCATTTCTTGTTACAATGTATGTAATGGCAGAGATTAGGGATTAATAAAGTACAACCATGACCACAATCATATAAACAGAAATCTATGCATTGATTAATATGAAGATAAGTCCAGATATTGTGGCCAAGTTTTAGCAAATTGTTGTTTTTATTTACATAGCATAGCAATTTTTTTAAAAAATATTGTTTATAGCAATATATTGGGGGGGGGGGGGACATTTTGAGCATATTTAAATATGCGAGATGTGTCCCCCCCAATATATATTATAGTTACGGCCTTGGTGAGCAGGAATCTAACTCCCTTCTCTGGGTGCTTAGTTCAGTATGTTAACCTCTGCGCAACTGCTCCGCTATACAGCACCATCACTACGCAGGAATATTCTAGTGCTGCAGTAAACTGTCCAGCTGGACCCTAAAGCTCCTCTGATCAGTCCACATATCACTCACTTCCTTTGTCAGACATGGCCAGGAGTCATTCTCGGATGACTGGGTTCATCGTGCAGTGTGCTAACCACTGGGTTCATCGTGCAGTGTGCTAACCACTGGGTTCATCGTGCAGCGTGCTAACCACTGGGTTCATCGTGCAGTGTGCTAACCACTGGGTGCATCGTGCAGTGTGCTAACCACTGGGTTCATCGTGCAGTGTGCTAACCACTGGGTGCATCGTGCAGTGTGCTAACCACTGGGTTCATCGTGCAGTGTGCTAACCACTGGGTTCATCGTGCAGTGTGCTAACCACTGGGTTCATCGTGCAGTGTGCTAACCACTGGGTTCATCGTGCAGCGTGCTAACCACTGGGTTCATCGTGCAGTGTGCTAACCACTGGGTGCATCGTGCAGTGTGCTAACCACTGGGTTCATCGTGCAGTGTGCTAACCACTGGGTGCATCGTGCAGTGTGCTAACCACTGGGTTCATCGTGCAGTGTGCTAACCACTGGGTTCATCGTGCAGTGTGCTAACCACTGGGTGCATCGTGCAGTGTGCTAACCACTGGGTTCATCGTGCAGTGTGCTAACCACTGGGTTCATCGTGCAGTGTGCTAACCACTGGGTTCATCGTGCAGTGTGCTAACCACTGGGTTCATCGTGCAGTGTGCTAACCACTGGGTTCATCGTGCAGTGTGCTAACCACTGGGTTCATCGTGCAGTGTGCTAACCACTGGGTTCATCGTGCAGTGTGCTAACCACTGGGTGCATCGTGCAGTGTGCTAACCACTGAGCCACTGAACCACCTCTCTCTCTCTCAGTGATGAGCCTCTTCTTTCAAATATTTGCATAACGTGTGATATATAACATGTGTTATATGACTTTTCAACCATTACTTATTGATGTTTATTGCTCCAATATTTTTTTGGTATCATTCTTGGAACCTTTTAATGTATTTGTATCTATCTTATATAACCATAACATTCAAATTTAGTATTTTGACGCGTGCCACCTGCAAGCGGAGCAGATAATACTGAGAACTTGGCGTGCGGTGGCCGCAGCATTAAGATTTCCCTTGCGACTTTTGTCAATACACCGATGCTGTGTCAGCCAAGAGGGTTGTTTAACCATATTTCACCATGCTGGTGAATTGGGATGGTGGAGGAGGGCCGGCCGAGGGGCATTTAGGACCAGTTCAGACATCATTCGCTACTGATATGGGCAAATGGCTGGGAATCGATCGAGCCAGGGACACGGGGTTCATCGTGCGGCGTGCTAACCGCTCACTGCCGTTGCTGCCACTGAACTAACCGCTGGGAAACGTGGGTTGAAACGCAAGGCTGCGAGAACAGAAACGATCAGAAACTTAGCTCGGGGATTATAATTCCACAAAGTTCTGAGTCCCGTTACAACATCTGATGTTCGCCTCAAGGAAATACTGGAAGCTCAGAGTGTTTGGAGAGGATTGATCCTTTGCCAAAATGGAGACAACTTTGATTGTGGTGGCGAAGTGGCGAGATCGCTGAAGAAGAAATCTGCGCACAATTATTGAGACTGCGCTACGGGCCGTGGCTGAACCTCTCCTGCCTCGGTGTTGCAATCGACCGTGGTCCTCTTTGTAGTAACACGGGACACATTGTGCCACACTGGCACTATAAATTGTTTGCAGCAGGCTTCGAGTCGAGACATTTTACGCATGTTTGCGTCGGGGTTTTTTTAAAAAAAATGGGAAAACATGTGTTAAACACCATTCAGTAGCGTGGCCCAGTCTTACAAGTTTCTCGTTCCATTTGTTTTGGACCGCTGCTGCATTGGGCTTGGCCTAGGGCAATCCCACGAGTGTACAAGGTACGCCTTAACAATATTTTACTGTTGCTTTATTATTGTACCATATGTTCCTAAGTACTGTCCTTCAGTACATGTGGTAAACCCTAAACACTTCACACGTGTGTTTTTTTTTGCACAACAATAACAACTGTCGTTCACCACTAAGTGGTGCTGACGTCACCAGGACGCTTGTGCCAGGCTAGGTGAACTTTGAGGCCACGGGAAGTGTCGAGGGCTCGCTGGCAGGAGGTCACGGAACAGACCCGGGTGCTATAGGTGAACCGGCTGACATGACATGCAGATGCACCACCTCCACTCCTTACAGTGACAACTCGCTGCATCTTATCCGCCCAGCGCACCGCTCGTCTTTTCTGGAGGGCGACTGCCTTCAACTGCCCGGTAGCATCGTTCACGAGCCTCCTCCACAGAGGCCAATCATGACAGTGCTGGCACCAATCATTGGCAAGTCCAATCAGCTCCACATTCTCCAGTGCCATATCGGTCCATCTCTTCTCCTGCCCGTGATGCGCCCATTATTTAGCCCCCTCTATTCGGCAATGCGGTGGCTGGGGCATGCGATCTACATGACCCAGCCAACGCAGCCTCTCCTGCCAGATGAGCTCACCGATGGGACTGTGTCTCCCGATGTTTGGCACACACCACCGGATGCATCATGAGGACAAAATCGGGCAAGATGGATGTGGCGTGCCAAAATAATTTCCGGCACAGATTTCTGGATTGTCCATGGCTAAGGTGAGTCGTTGGGTTGTACGAGTTGGGTGTGCAGGCGGTACAACTGCGGGCCGGAGTTGCTGGGGCACTAGGCGGTAACAAGGAGGCGAGGGGATAAGCAGACATGGGTCACAGGTTCATTCCTAACCGTGCCGTGCCAAGCGGACTTGCCAGCCCCGCCGGTGCAAGTGGCAGGCTGCTGACGTGTAAAGCCTCTGACCGTGCAATGGTATTCAAGGCTGATGATGCTGCGTTGTGCGGTTGTTGAGCGGGAGGCGTTTGTGGACACCGCTTTTTGTTGTGGAAGCGTTGTTCTGACGCGTGCGTGGTGTGTTGTGTGTTGACCCCCACGAGTAGCTCCGTCGTAATACAAGTAGACATTTTGAAGCCCCCTGCATTAATCGTAAATAAACTTCTTATTGCGTTGTTGGTTGTCGTTATGAAGAATTAATTGGGCTGGGGTTACATAGGAGAAGATTAGTACACTTTCTAGTATTACATTTTTGCTTGATTATCCCTCTATCTTTTTGTACATTTGGCTTAAAAAACACACACAATGCCGTTGTGAGAATTTTATTGTTATTTTATTTTATTATTTTATAATTTTATTCTCATTCTACGTGACTTTACCGAAAGAACCAAAGAAGACAATGCCGTTGTTTACAAGGGCCCAGCAACGAGGCTAACTTTATTGTTTCAGAAATGTTGGCAGGCTTTCTCCACGCACGCCAACCAAAACAACAGCAGCGGCTTACATTTTGAATGCCCCCGTAACGTAACAAACGCATCGCATTGCAGGCAGACAGCACGTGGGGTATGGGGGGGGTCCCTCAAGAGCGACCGAGCGAGGGAAGGAGAGACAAGGAAGCAACTAAAGGGGGGGGGGGTCTCTGAAGGTGCGTGGGTTGAAGAGGGAAGTTTAAAGGAGAGACTTGAAAGCAGAGAGAGAGAGAGGGGCCAGGTGGAGTTGTCTAGGGAGAGAGATCCATCGGGAGGGTGTGGGCGTAGTGGCTAAAGGGGCGGATAACCATGGAAGAAAGCCGGCCACTGCATCGCGCGCTTTGTATGTACGTGTGTGTTGAACTTCTTTCGCACCGTACGTAGACAACCGTGCTAATCGGAGGCGTGGGGGAAGGACAACAAACTAAACAACAAAAAAACATCGAACAAATGCGCTTCTGCGGCCGCCTGGAATGCTCTTCCCTCCAATTTTAGCAAGCCACTGGGGCTATGCACTTTCAAATGTAGATTTAAAACCCATTTCTCTAGAACGGCTTTTTGTGTTTAGTTTGTTTTCCTTCCCCCGCACCTCCGATGAGCACAGTTTGGTTAAGTTCTGCGCGAAATAAGTTCAACATACGCGGGGGGTGGAGGTATATACCGCGCGGTGCAGCATTACGTTAATTTCGGTGTGTGTGTGTTTTGTTTTAATGTTTTACAGGTCAGCTTCAAGGATTCGGAAATAGCTTGGTCAGCTTGCAGGAATCTCCGTGCGAGATTAATTCCAGTCGCATGAGTGGCCTGAGCGATTCCTCGGCGACAGCCAACCACGCACCCTGCAAGCAGCACTTCACCAGCACTGTCATCATGCACGTAACGCGGCGGCTGTTCGCAATTGCCGGGTTCACCCACACGTGAAAGCTCCTCCACGTGGCTTATCGTCAGCATCGTTACATGTGGGGGGGGGATTTCTGGTGGTAGCCAAATAATCTCAAGGCAGGTTTCTTCAGAACCCTTGTTGTTTGGAGAGAATCCTTCTTAATGCTCAAGGAGAGTAATCACTTTATCGAGTAGCCGAAAGCCTGTGGATTTACATTGTAACCCTTGGTGAGTACTCCGATGTAAGACCGACATTGAAGGTGCATAGCTCAGTACCCAAGCAAGTTCACGACAGTAGTCAAGGAGTAGTAATGTGTATGCATGTTGGCCTTCTTTAGCACCGTACCTAGCCAATCACGATAATCGTCATCACCCTGCCGTACGAAGGCATTCCCGTGCTTTTCGATCATTGGCATTACTTGACCCCTTACTTGATCATACTTCACCACACTGGTCAGTGCGTGTTGGTGAAGAGATTGGCCGGGAGAGGGGGTGGAGGGGAGGGGCTGGTTCAGATATCACCCATGCCCGATATCATGGGAATCAAACCGAGGTTGAACTCGGGTTGAACTCTGGTTCGTAGTGCAGTGCCCTAACCACTGCACCATCAGTTCACCGCACATAACAGCATTGCGTGCATTTTTTTGCCTACCACCGCTTAAATAATAAACAATCCACGGCTATGAATCTGACACCAGCTGATCCCCCAAGTATCCAATTACATGGTGATGCTGCTGCTGTGTTGGCAGTGGTGCACAAGCGCATATAACAACAAAAGCTGACCGCATGCGTCATCAACGCCATGGCCTTGAAAGGACAAATTCTAGAATAGGTGACGTTTCAGGCGATAGCCCTTCTTAATCGCGGATTTCCCTCCAGAGTGTGACAAATAGCCGTACGGGGGCTCTCCGGCTCTGCTCAAGATGACGGCGTCACAAAGGACCCTTTGAGGACCGAGAGCCGTGAGCGCGCACGTGGAGGCAGGAGGGGAATGTATTCGTGACCGCCCAGCGATTGCATGGCGCCCGGTCAATAATAGCCCAACGTTCAACAAATCCCGAGTGTGGCTGACGGAAACATCAAACACAGGCGCCTCCGCGAAAGCTCGTCTCTCCACTTTACGCGCTGCGTGGAATAAATATTTTCCCCGTAGCTTCCCGTAACCCGCACGCCGTGTCGCATGCAGCGCGTGTGATGTGATTTGCTTCGGTCGAATATCGTGGGCCCTTTGGAAGTGTTCGACGTGGCACACTAAACAGGGGTCCGGCAAAAGCATTGGCGACGCTAGTGGAGACGCTAGTGGAGACGCTAGTGGAGACGCAACAGAGGCAGAGCAGAGCACGACTGATAACAAACATACATTGGACTTGATAGAGCGGATGTGGCACCAGAATGGATAGGTATGACAGGGATAACATCAGCAACACATGCGATATGATGATGGTGATGATGACCGCCACCAGTGGAGGACTGCTGCTGCCGCCACCAGAAGTTTATGCACCCAGCGGCCTCCATAAAGGGGATTGACGGCAAGAGAGAAAGAGCACGGGCCAAATGCAGAGCTCTCAAATCTCACACTTTCGGCATAAGTCGTGGTCACTTGAGGCCTTTCTCACGGTTTCACAGGCACATTTCACCCGCTGACTGGACCAATAGGATGTGGAGGTGGGGGGGGGATGGAGTCCTTGAATGTTAAGCAGGGCAGTTAGGTTTGGGAATAGCCAAATGCTTGAGGTTTCCTGAGCTATGTGAAGGGGGCCGATGGGAAATCTCACCCGTTTCGCTGGTTGTGATCACCAGCGAAACGTCACAGTACTCGAATTGTAAATGTTGTGGGTTTCCTCTCCAATGTAACGGTCTGCTGAAGTGGTAACTAATTGGCACATTTAGTTTACATTACAAACCTTACTAATTGGCTTTGTCGGGCGGTGGCGGATTTAATGACCCATTTATATTTACGCCATCTAACCCCCCAAAAAACCCCCCTTTATTACGGATAACATTGGTCGCGAAAGCCTACCACGTGTTAAAGTCACCTGCAAATTGTAATGTCAGCAGAGGGTGCTGGGTAGAAGGTTTCATGTCGGTCCGCGTGTCAGCAAGATGCATGTTTGCGCGCGAGTGTCCATCGGGGCTATGCGGTGGAGCCAGTGACGCTAAGCAGTGCACTCCACCTCAGAGCTTTTTGTAATTGCAGTTGGGACAATCAGGTGGTTAAACTCGTCGGGTGGCGATACTGCGATACAGATGATCGTGGACCTTTGTTTTTCCTGGCTTGGTTTGGAAGTCGGGATTGTGGTCTAGGATGTGTAGACCTCAGGGACTAATTTCTTTGTTGTGATCACTTTTTGTTGTTGTTTGTGCTTTTTGTTTTGGTGCCATTTCTTAATTTGTTTGTTGATTTTAGATTTTGCTTGGTAGTAGTTGGGGGTTTTCATTTGATCGGTGTGTGTGACTTCTTTCGCACCGTACATAGCCAACCGCGTATACAGGAATTGGTCCTCATATATATAAATAATGTGCAGCGTTGTGGCATGCTGTTGGCATGAATGACACTAAATAAAATGTAAGTATTACATGATTGTATTACGAAGTTTAGTCCACGATAATAGTATTGTCCATTCTGTAAAGTCGTGTCGTGTCTACTGTCTCTTCCAGTGCTGCGTCCTGGCTAAGCTCAGACACGCCTCTGCAGTCAAGAGTCAAAGTTATTTATTTTTGCTCAAATAAGCATTGGAGATGATGCTCATCTCTTGTTTATTGCAACGTTGAGCCAGTGGTGGAAGTTCCAAATTCCTATGGCGAGTTTTGTTGACCATAGTAAAGGAACTGTGGGCTGAACTTGGCTATCGGATACCTTGTAGAATGTGGCTTTCATGAATAATGATGAAGAGGAATTTTATTCAGTGGGAAGTGATGCGGCCATCCACGCTCTCCCATTATTAATAAAAAAAAGATATATTACATAAAAAAAACATGGAAACCATTGACAATGACACTGCACACAGAGAGGGCAGCAAATTCAAATCACAGGAGGACTGGGAACTCGTTTGTTCTGCCAAACGGATTAATTAGTCGAATGTGCGTAGCGTTCGTTTAATGTCGCGAAGCCAATTTAGGTTCGCGAACTGGCATGGTGCTTGTCTCTTTTTCTCTCTTCCTTGCGGTGTTTGCTTTTTTTTTCCGATTGCAGAAATGGACGGACGGTGGCTTTAAAGAAAATTGAAAAGAAAGCTTTTAACTTGACCAAGGTGATCAGAAGAGAAGTGAAACAAGTGAGGTAAGGCAAATAAAAGGACAGAAATCCCCGCCGTGTAGCCTGAACAGACTTTAGGGGCAAGTGCTGTGAGCGAGCACCTATGAAGGATGGCACGGGCACACGAGAAGGTGGCGATATTCACACACCAGGTAACTAATTTGAGGCTGAATCGACCCACACACACTCACATACACGTGTCATTAAACAGAGTACATATCTTGCTTGCTCTGCAGCAAGGGACCGGCTTATCCCAGAATTGGATTGATACTCTGTGTGTGGTTGATGGTAGAGAAACCTTTCCTAAACCTGGCTTTCTCATGTAGTTTGGTTGGCCTGTATTTTTTGTATTACTCCGTTCCCAGTAATGTTCGTGCATGTGTATGTATCGTATACGGCGAATGGGTCTGCCATTCAATGATGTGTTCAAGGCGTTGCTTCTTATATATTTTGACTTTTGAGGCCAGAGTGTTATTGACGAACGTGTTGAGTGCGTTTTGTAATTTTTCAGGTCACTTTTGTTTTAAAGAGCAGAATTACTCGGGCATCATTCCACGGCCGGGGTATTTCGTCTCTGTGTAAATATTTAGTAAAACGGTCCAATATATTTGTTCATAAGAACTGGTGAGAGGCAGTGTGTATTTGTTCAAGTGTGGCAGCTGGAACTTGCTCAGCTGTATCTGAAAGTGGTTTAATTCCTGGTGATATGATTCTAGTGTGTGTGTGAGTGCATGCGACTTTAAATGAGAGTAATAGAGAACATAACTTTGCAAGAAATAGAGAAATGACAATTAAAATAGGGATATTAACAGCAGATAATGTTTGAACAGCGGAATATAGAAAGCCTGCAAAGATAAATACAGGGCTCAAGATGAAAACGAATGAGCAAAACTATAGCCTTACACAAGTGTGTTAAACACATCCAGATATACGTGCTGAGAACAGTTACTGTAGGCAGACTGGAGACTAGTGGACCAAATAAGATAATTTGTTTCAGAGGATTCGTCTCAAATATGATAGGAGCATGAAACCTACTGATGGCCACCATTTTTGGTGGTGGAGATCTTTGATTTTGGAGGCCATATTTGTTTTTTAGGTGGCTAACGTATATTTATTTATGGGTAAGTGACCCGAGCAGGTAACACGTGCCAAGTTTTGTGCTCGTATCCCCCATTTTAAAGATTATTCATGTCATCTGCTTCACTGATCAAACGGATTGGAGAGGCAAATGAGAGCAGGTTGGGGTGCTTTTTTGGCAAACTTAACGAGCAAAAGCTACATGAGATGGATTCTCGGAACGTACTAAATATAATTGTTCATGCGGGGCGGGGGGGGGGGGTTCCCTAATGCGTACCTGATGCGGAGGGACGACCAACCTGCAAAACGCGGGCGTGCTGTCGCTATTGCCGGCCGCGTGCTCCCACAGGGAGCTCGAGTACGCGAACCTGTGCAAGTTCATCGGTGGGACTGTGGAGGTGCCCAACGTGGCCATTCTCACCGAGTACTGTCCCAAGGGAAGCCTTCAGGACGTGCTCCTCAACGACGACATCCCGCTCAACTGGGGATTCAGGTGCGGGTTTGCGTTGTTCAGCTCCAACAACGATACGTTTTACTCGCAGCGTGCCGTCGGGGCACGCTGCTCGCTCGCTCTCGTAGATTCAGTGTGTACAGTACGTATGTTGAACTTCCTTCGCACCGTGCTTCGCCAACCGTGCTAATCGGAGGTGTGAAATTATTCACCGACAAGTGGGAAGGCAGCCACGCGTTAAGCCGGCACCGATACTTTCCCAAGCTCTGTGGTCCTCTACATATTAAGGTGTTATCAGCAAATGAATGTGTGTTTATTCATGTGGGAGGAAACCGGAGTACCCGGAGAAACCCCATCCGTGCGAGGGGGAAACACACTATCCCATACAAACGTGAGAGATGGAGTCCACGTTCCCGCTGTGCCGCCTTCTCGCGAGCCGGGATGTGGCACCTCGACGCCCACGGAAAGGGAGTTTTGCAACATTTGCCCAATCCGCCAAACTTCGCTGCCTCCACAATGGTGGCTTACAGGCGCGCGCCGTCACCGCCTTCCACAGTGTATAGACGAGACGGTGCGATGGCCCAGTGAATATTGAACGTTGGGCCAACGCTGGTCCGACGGTTCCAACCACGTGCCAACGTTGCCCCGACGTTGGCACGTTCACCCGTGGCGCAGTGTCGCGCGATACGATTCACGAATCCGTTACTATTTTTAAAATCATTGCGGTGCATGCTTTAAATGTCTTCACTCGTGCTACCTGAAGAGTGGGTGTGACGGAGACACCGCCTGCGCGCCACGTGTCCCCCCGTTGAGCCTCCCAGAGACGTGCTTGCTTTAGTGAGGTTTGGTCAGAACGTAACGGAACTTCTTTCTCATCATGGCTGTACAGGCAAAATGTTTATAATGTGCGTTGTCCTTCCCCGGCGCCTCCGATGAGTGCGGTTGACCGTACCGTGCGAAATAACTTCAACGTACGCACGTAAAACATCACAGCAGCATCCGATTAACGGCACCGTCCATTTGTGTTGACGTGCGCGCCCCGTCTTCGAATAGGTTTTCATTTGCAACAGACATCGCGCGTGGTATGGCCTTCCTTCATAGCCACCGGCTCTTCCATGGGAGGCTTAAGTCAACTAACTGCGTTATCGATGACAGATGGGTGTGCAAAATAGCAGGTGAGAAAAAATGCCACCGACGCACATGCACGTCACGCAGTGCACCACTCAACACTTCCTACGTAGCACCGTCAATAGTAATGAAAGATAATAAAGTACACGTATGAAGCGCTGTTGTACAAGGTGCTCAAGCGCTGTCCGTCGCCAAAATACAAAAGCGATTGCACGCATTGCTGTCCAAGAGGCATGGGAGCTAATGCATGCGCACAAAGCGAAATCGCATGAGACAGCTACCTGCCTCGTAGCACACACAGTACGCACACAGTACACGCACACAGTACACACAGTACACACACAGCACACAGTACACACACACACACACAGTACGCACACAGTACACGCACCGCACACACACAGCGCACACAGTACACACACAGTACATACAGTATACACACACACAGCACACACACGCACCGCACACACAGTACGCACACAGTACACACACACACACAGTACACACACAGTACACGCACAGCGCACACAGTACACACACAGTACACACACAGTACATACAGTACACACACACAGCACACACACGCACCGCACACACAGTACGCACACAGTACACACACAGTACACACACACAGTACACGCACCGCACACACACAGCGCACACAGTACACACACAGTATACACACAGTACACACACCGCACACACACACACAGTACGCACACAGTACACACACACAGTACACACACCGCACACACAGCGCACACGCAGTACACATGCAATGTTGTTCCCACGTCCGACCGAATATCCGCCTGTAGAGTGAACTCAAACCACACCTCCCATTGGCATGGTTGGCTACGTACGGTGTGAAAGAAGTTCAACATACATACATACTGACCAGCTTGGTGAAACATGGTCAAATAATCCCCACCGGCCACATGGATAGCATGGGGAGGCCCTCAGCCAATGTGTTCCGACTTTATTTGCATTTGGAGGGACGACCGATAAAATTGTAAAGGTGGATAATGGTGGATGTGCGAGACCTTGAAGGTTGTCACCTCTGAGCTACAAATAAAGCCAGGACATGCGCTCTGCAGAAGAAGAATGACATGCAAATATCATTATTGTTTGACAACTGACGAAAACCACGAACGTTAACGTCCCAACAAGACTCGCTGATGTCCCGGGATGGGCAGGCGTCCTCAACAAGAGGAACATTTTGTGAAAACCTGGAGAGGTGACAACCCTAGCGAGGACCGGACTCCCGTGTCGGCGAGGTGCTGCTCACCTTCGTGATTGTTTCCCGGCATGCCGTGTTTTGTATTCTCATTTGCAACGTGGGCATTGTGCGCACAGACTACGGGCTCGAGGAATACAGGAAGGACGACTTGGCGGAATACGCCACCACGCACAAGCCAAAGTCCTGGGTTTACTTGCCGCCTGAACGTATCGTCAGCAAAAACACAGAGCCAGCTCCGACGACAGATGTGTACAGGTAAGTTTGTCGAGAATAATAGTTTTTGTTTATTAGTGCACGTGTTTGCCCAGGGATGCCCCCACTGAGTCTGCGCTCCTGTTCAGGAGTGTCTTGCCAAGTGTTTTTTCGCAGTAGGGGGCGATGCTGCTGCTGCAGCGGCGTGTAATTCCAATCAAGCAATTTGCATTGTAATATCTCAGTATTGGGATGTTACATTGTACGGGGTTTTTTAAATCGATGAGAGGAATTCAGAGAACTTGAAGGAAACCCATGCAGACCAGGTGCAGGGCATACAAACTCCACACGGAGAGACGTCCCAGTCGAGAGTCGAACCCATGAACTTCTTGCTGTGAGACGCAAGTGTTACCACTGTGCCACGCTGCCATCCGTTGTTCAGAATTATTGGAGACCTTTGTTTAGAAAGCGATCTCAACCATCACTTATTCGATTTAGTCCTCTGTCCATGGCAAGACTTTGGCCTAAACTCCATCCATCCTGTCAGGGCCTGAGCCTCCTTCATTTTGCTGTCCGGCACTCTCCCGTACTCTCCTGCCATTCCTTACGATGCGTCAAGCGACATCTTTCCTCTTCTGCCTCTTGGACTCTTTCCCCATTTTCCCTCCTGCCGGGATCTTTCTTTGTCCAGCTCTCACCACTGAGAATGTGCCCAGTTTACACATTTAGCCCTTTCCTGGATCGCTCAGCCCATGACACACAGGCTGTGATTCTCACCTTTTGCTCTTCGGGCGACATTCGCGTATTTTGGCATCTCGTTGACAAAGGTTGTCTCAGCCAGAGAAAAAGCAGATTTTGAATTTTTTCCACGCAAAAAAGACAAAGCCATGAATAAAAACCCCATGTCATAAAACATGCATATTTTATTTTTAGAATTATAATGCAAACTGATAAGTGCACATTTGTCAAATGTTTATGCATTAGGCTGGGGTAGAGCAGCTTCGCAGTGATTAGCGCACTCTGGTACGAACCTGGTGACCCGAGTTTCATTCCTAGTAATGGCTAACATCGGTGGCGAGTAATATCTGAACAGGTCCAACTAGACCTAGGATCAGTTCGATAAACTGTCTTGATTCTGGGAGGCATTTCGATTGAGGAATTATTGAGGATCATTGTAGCGCCTCCAGTGGCTGCAGATGTCATGTGAACCAAAATTGAGCTGTTCGCCTTTTGGCATCCTCTGGTCTAACACCATTTGAGACGAGGCTCAAAAGAAAGCTGTCTCTGGTGTGGACCAATCAGTTTCAAAGACAATGCATATACTGTCAGAGTATTTTTTTTGTTTGCATTCTGACGACAAGTTGTGTGGTTAATGCAGACATGATTCCTTGTTAAAAGGTTTCAGTTTGGTGTTTTAACATCTCAACACCTGTTTTGTTGCCAGAAAAAAGGGGAAAACCTATACTTATATAAATGGACTCAAGCCTCCCGTAAGTCACGTGACTTCTGTTTGGCCACCCCCAAAAGACTCCCTCCCCTCTCCCCACCGCCCCATGTGGAAACGGACGCCGCTCCTCCGCGCAGCAGCGTCGCGGCCCACACCGTAGCCTCTTCATCCTCATCTCTCCTGACCCTCTTGCTCCCGTTTCCCCATTCCTTTTCCATTCCTCTTCGTCCTCTTTCCCCATTCGTGATCTTCTCGCTTCCCTTTCCCGCTGCTTTTTTTCTTCTCCCGTGCACCGCGACCTTGACTCCACTCCCCTCGCCGTGGCGTAGCCACCGGTGCGACAGTTCCTCGTACCAGGTTTGTGAAAGAGAAACTAATGAATTGTCTCTTGCAGGACCCGATGCACTTATCACGAGTCGATTTTTATTGGAACACACGATGAACCCACGGACTACATTTGTAGACACAACTTTGAAGGATAAGAGTTATAGTGTCAATAATTAAGACATAGGTTGTACACATTCACCTATACAATAAAATCTGGATAGAAGCACACCCCTTGTTAAGCAAAGCCGTCTGTGCTTCGATTCAAAGCACTGCAGTGCAGATGTATCAGAAAGTTGCTTGTTGCATTTTCCCCAACAGTGCCATGTAAGCACGTGTTGCTTATATCAGAACTGTGCTTATACAACGTGCGATTATTATATCCATATTTCACTGGACTGTGTGATACGTTTTGTGCTTTGGTTGTTCTGTTTGCAGCTACGGCGTCATTCTAGTTGAAATCGCGACAAGGCAAACTCCCACGCCGGTGAGTTCTTCATTAATGCACAGACGTTTTAGGTCCGAATATAAACGCGAATCTCACTGAATTTGTTAAAACTGAACGAGTCAGCTGGGGACGATGGCGCCCAGTTATTGGATTTCCAATTCACGTTTTTCATTCACACGAGTGCCGTTTATTTGATTAAAAGTTACTTGTAATATTGTTAGGGCAGATACAATTGTGCTGGCCCTCGCAATTACAGAATTCTATTCGCAAACGGGATGAAAGTGTATCAACTACGTATATGCATTTTGGACGCAGTGAATATCAATTTGAAATGAAGCCACGTCTGATGGATTCTGTCCAATCACACACGTACCGTCATACAACGATGTGCAAACGCAGCCGTTTCAAGAGAAACTATTCCACACGGGAAGACATTAAGATACTCTCGATTAATACAATGCTATTCGAACAAACTCCGTTATTTATCCTTCTTTTCGTATTGGAAGCCCACTGACAGTTGGCCGCACTCACACATCAGAGTTAATAAGGCTACAGGGGACAGCCCTAAACGCCTTGCCCTGATAACACTCCCTCGCTGAAGGACCTTCACAAGAGGGAGCTCTATGCAGTCCTTTGAGGCTGGTATTTTGGCTTGAACTTCCACCCTACTCTCACGTGACGTGGGAGTGCCCACACTTTTCCCCACCACGCACGACCTAGCAATCACCCGTGGGGTACCCACTTATACAGCGGGGTGGACAGAGGCAGTGGCGGCGGTGGGAGGGGGGATTTGAGAAACCCGCGCCGTTGTTTCGACTGCCTTGTCGGGAAATCGATAACCGACGGTCCTCTGGATTGCAAAATCCAGCGCGCTAAAAACCGTTACACCCACGGCATTCGGAGAGTGCCAAGGGAAATAAAGCGACAATGCCATTTGAATTATCCACATTTTTGTTTGTTGCAGACTGAAATTGACATTGCGACAGATGCCCTGTCGTGGCAGCCATCCATCCCTGAACTGACCACAACCAAATCGGAGAACGATTGTCCGAGCCCAGCCCAGTACATTGAGGTATCTCTCTTGCTCTCTCTCTCTCTCGTTTAACATGTTTGGCTATGTTGGCTTTTGTTGACGCGCAGTGGCATATCAGGCGAGCGTGCAGGCGGTGCAACTGCACCAGGGTCCACGGGCTGGGGGAGGGACCCAGCCATTGGGCGACGCGGTGGGTGGGGGGGGTGCCGTTAAATGCCTCTCCGAGGCCCCATGTCAACCGTGCTGCGTGATAAGTAACAAAATAGATAGGCAGACGTCTCCTTTATATATCTCCATTTCTCTCTATATTCTTCCACTTATATTCGCCCCACGACGACGCTGAAACAGAGGGTCCTTGCTCATAGCATCTGGCAATTCACCACCATTGATTCACTTTGTCGATGCGACACTGAATGCTGAAAGCGGGTCATGAGTTTTGCTTGTATTTGAATCGTTGCTGCTGACATTATGCACTCCCATTGAGCCACTGGGCCAATGGGTTGTGTACGTGGAGAGACAGATATTTGAAGGAGATGTACGGTCTGCTTATCTATTTTGTTACTTATATTCTCCACAATGAGGTTAATGATTATTTTTCGTGATAATTAAGAAGTGGCTTGAAATTGTAGTGGCTGTAAGTCAAGACGTGCCTCTTAGCCTATGCCTAAGACTGACTTACACCTGACCATTCCATTGCCTCCCTTCCCTCTCTGTGCAGCTTCCCCTCTGGCCTTTGAAAACAATCTCTTTGCCGCGCGATTGCATTTGAACGCACTGGAGGTTCACCGCTGGTGCGCGGTATTGAAAAAACGAAGCAAATTTTTCGCAATTATTAATTATTTTCCCGCAAATCCAGAGGTCCGCCGATTATCGATTTCCCGACACGGCAGTGAAGAAACGGTTTCTCAAATGCCCCCCCCCTTCCCCCCCCCCCGCCACTGCCTTTGTCCACCCAGCAGTGTAAGTGGGTACCAGACAGCTGATTGCTGGGTCGTGCGTGGTGGGGGTAAAGTGTGGGTACTCCCTCGTCCTCCAAGACGTCTTGAGTAGCGTGGAAGGTTACGCCAACATACCAGCCGATAGGGACTGCGTAGAGCTTCCCTCTTGTGAAGGCCCTTCAGCCAGTGGGTGCCATGAGGCCAGGCATTGTAGGGCAATTCGCGGGTCAGAGTTAGATTTTAGGCTTGCGTAATGAGGACCGGTGTGTTCTGCGGCACCGGTGTACCGCCAATACGTCCATTTATTTATAAATCCGTGCGTTGTACGATTGGGTCTGCTTATTATTACAGTAGAGTTCTGACAAAAGTAATTTTGCGGAATGCACTTCAATCCGATATGTGCCCCAACTGAGGCCGCACCAGGGCTGTGCTGGAGCCAGCTCCAGCACAGGCGCCACGTTGCTTTTCCATTGCAGGACCCGAAGCGGCGCTTCTGACGTCACACGCAGCGAACAAGTGGAGACGAACGTCGGCGACGGTGGTGACGCTGTGCACTCGCGGTGCCCGGACTGACGTCGCACACAAATCACAATGATTATTGACCCGCCCCTGGCCCTGCTTGGCCCGAGCCAGATTCAGGAATCTTTTGACGCCAGCTTTTCAAAGCCACGGTGAATGGGCCGTTGTGTGTGTTGGCACGGGCCAAATGTGTCAGTGGAAAAGGGGTGATGCTGACGCGGGTGTAATTGATGAAGACTTTCTTTTTAAATGTTCCTCTGTAGTTTGCAGATTAATGAATGGGTCATATTTACCTTGAATGTTTTGTTTTGTGTCTTTTTCTCTCCAAACAAGCTGATACAAAAGTGCTGGAATCACAACCCTTTGCTCCGACCAACTTTTGAACAAATCAAAAAGTTCCTGCATAAAATGAATCCAAACAAATTCAGCCCAGTTGACATGATGATGAGCCTGGTAAGCAATCATTCTCTTTCCACCGCTCGACTGCACTTTACGCCCTCATTATACCAGGTTAGCCACATTCATAAATTGTTCAGAACACAGGGGAGCCCAAAAGTCAGAACACATTGAGCCATTATATTTATTTGAATAATTAACACATAGTTATATCATTGATTTTAACAAATGTTAAAACTGGCTTTCATTAACATTAATGTCCGCATTAAGTTTGAAATTCAGTACTAATCAATAAAAAAACAATGTTTCGGTCGTGGAGTTGTTGTGAGCAGTCATTGGTGACTGTGCTGAGATTGCCAGCGGTCCATCCCCCTTGAGAAGCCGGATTCATTCACCACGAGCGGCTGACACTCGGATTCAAACCCAGGATTTCAGTGGCGCTGATCGGTGCCTCTTGACTCCTGAGCAAACCGGGCACCTCGCTAACAATGCAGCAGAGAGACAAATGCATCACGGCCCTTACTCCAACATTCAGTGACCAAGGGTAAAGCTAATCCTTACGACTGTGCTTTGTCGATTCCACTCTTGGAATGAATTCGAATGCAATCCACAGACTAAGACTTGACAAAAATTTCACAAGCTGTGGTGGGATAGACTAAGATCGTGACTAATTTAACAAATAATTGCCGACTAAATCAACACCGTTGTGTACCCAGTGTGCATCACACCGTGTCGCTCTTTGATGGCATCTGCTGGAATTTTGCCGCAGCCTCTTGACCTGGGGCAACATCGCATGGTAGAGGGGTCAGGGACCTGAGGGACTGCGTTGCTCAGCCAGGCACTGAGTTCTCGCCTTTTGGGCAGTGTCCGTGTTGGTGGCAAACCCCTCTGTATCAGACATGGGCAGTAGGATTCATAATTAGTTTATCGTGGGTTAGATCATCGCAAGAGTGAATAATGTGAATCATTTAACGATGTACGTATGTTGAACTTCTTTCGCGCATACGTAGCCAACCGTGCTAATCGGAGATGCGGGGGAAGGACAGAAAACAAAAACTATAATCCTCCAACACCTGACAGAGCCAATCAAATCAAGTTGTCACGTAGGCAAATATGCCAGTTGATCTGTTTTTGTTCAGCCAGCTGCCACAATGTTGAAATGCGATAAAAACGTTGACAATTTTGTTTCGCTGTGGCCTTTGAATCCGCCTCGCATGCCTCACTGGTGCGCAAACCCCGAAGAAATACGGTACAGCAACAAGCGGACTTTAAAGAATTCTCTTCGCTCACGAAGCCCAGAATCTTTGTAGAGGTCAAGCGCCCACGCGATTTGTGGGAGCCAGCATTCCTGTGCATCTTGGGTGCCACGGTGGCGAGATGTTCACTACCTCGCCTGGCATACAGGAGGTCGTGGGTTCGATCCCGACCCTGAAGCCTGCTGTATGTTTGGAGTTTGCGCGTGGATTTTTCCCTGGGTCCTCCGGTTTATCCCTCCACATTTAAAAAAAAAACATCACGCGTTTAAAGTATTTGGCTGCTATACATTTCCACATAACGGCAAACCACTTCGTTGAGCCATCAGTTGTGGCCAGGTCGCGTCTGGAAAAAGAGCTATATAGCTCAGTGGGCCTTACTTACGAAAATAAATCAGCCCATAGTTAATAACGTAATTATCTCGGCCAAGCCTTGAAGCAGCACAGAGCATCTGATGTCTAGGACCACCGCTGTGCCTTGTTCCGGCCCTTGTTCGAACGCGCAGCAAGGTCTGGGGTACCGAACACCGCGGCGGCAGTGAATGCATTCACGCTTTAATCGCTCACCCCCCTCCACCCCCCTTTGCTTCATTCCAGATGGAAAAGTACAGCAAGCACTTGGAGTCGGTCGTCACTGAACGAACGCAAGACCTCGTGTTGGAAAAACAGAAGACGGATCGGCTGCTATACAGTAGGCCACCCGTACGGACGCGATCGCGCACAGCCCCTGTGTCAATCCACTGCTGGATGAGGACCTCCCCCACGCTGTGCGGGTCATGGGGGTTATTTGGTTATACTTCACCACCTTGGTCAATGCGGGTTGGCAAAGGGGCTCAATGCAGGGTGCGGACCAGTGCACAAGTAGAATGGGAGATTGGTAAAAAGGAGATAATGATAAAACAAAATAATTTAATAATAATTGAGAACATTTAGTATTTTCGCCATTTTTATCGCGCTAGACTCATCACGAAGGCACTGTCTCGCGGACGTAACCTACTGTAGTTTCACACCAGGGGGCGATGTCGCGATGTGTAATCCCGATTGAGCCATTTGCGGGCCATTCTTCAAATTTGGCCTAATGACGCAATGGGCCTACCCTTTCTCGATTGACGTCGCGGCATTTTTAACAACCAACTCTGAAGCACACGGCACGGGATGTTATTGTTTGTTTACGGTTAAGACATTACACACTGCAGTGATAACCGGGGCGGCCTGCCGGATTCCGACCTTGAAACCGCAGCAACAAAGCAGCGCGTCACCGTCCTAGTGACATATCCGGTGCTTGCTTTTAATGATATTTTTTTATCTTTGCCGGGGTCGGCAACCCGCGGCTCCAGAGTCCTGCGCGGCTCTTTAAGGACTGCGTCTTCGCGACGCCACTTATCAAGGACCGCCGTCTCGTTTTCACCACGCTGTGCGTTGCGGCTCTTGAAATAGTGAGGTTTTTGACCGAATTCGAGAAGAAATGGCTCTTGGTGTTAATTTGGTTCCTGACCCTTTGCCTTCGGGTGATATGACACTGGGCATCGACCCCCCCGCCGCCCCCTTCTCACCACCTCCCCCCCCACCGCTCATATTTTCTTGTCCCAGGTATGTTACCGAAGCAGATTGCGGATGATCTGAGGCAAGGGCGGGTCACGAAGGCTCAGAGCTATGCAAGTGCCACTGTGTTTTTCAGGTACCAAACTACAACACACAAATTAGTTGGTGCTGCTGCTGCTGCTGCTGTCGTGTTGGCGGCAGTGCACAAGCACAACAACAACAGAACTCAACACATTCGTCAGTAACACTGTGGTTTTAACAGGAGAAATTTGTAATGATATGCTATGTTTTTCGGGAAATGGCCTTTCTTCGTTGCACATGAAGAAGTGCCCGTACAATGCACTGTTCAGAATTGCGGGAAAGCCTCGATGAGATTCAGGAGTCTTCTCAGATGGCTCCTCCTGCTTTGGGATGTTCGACCAATTCCTGTTCACATTTTGCAGAGGTGCCTAAGTGGCTCATGGGTCGGAGCGCTGACCTGGCACCGCCGAGATCCCTTGAGTTCTCAGCTGTACTGTTGACGGTTTCAGCCCGGTCACCAAAAACTGCATTAAAAAAGAAACACATCACGCGAAATTTTGGTTCCGCACTAAATGTGGCTGTGCTCCAGCCCAAAGAATAACAACATCGGTCTGACTGTCGTACGAGTGGGTGAGCAAGTGCTGCCCCCTCCTGTGTGTGTGGCAGAGGTCACGTGAACGTTTCTCAGAAGTAGCTCTCTGATATCCGCTTCCGCGGACCGCCTCTCTAACAATTAAGGCTCGGCACTGCTTCGCGTGAGATCCGAATGGAATCTCCGTCCTGTGAGGACGTGATGGCGATAGCGCAGTCAAGATGAAAAAATGGGGGAAAAAAAACCTATCAAATCAAATATATTTAAAAAGATAGACGTCGAAAATATGGACGCGCGACGTGTGTTAGGAAACTCATGTATCCGAAGAACTGCTACGCATATGAGGAGGATAATGCTCAAAGCTCTGCGCGGATATGTGAGGGAACCCACTTGCTGTGCTGCCATCTCCGAGACACCTTGCAGCCCAGCGTGGTTGGACATTCTACAACCGTGCACTTTCCACAAGCTCTTTTCTCTGTGGTGCTGGATTACAGTGGGAACCATTGAACGGACACCCAGCTTGACAAATTAGAATTCACATTAGTAATGTCCTCGCGCTTATCGGTATACAAATATAATTAACGGCAAAATGACGACTGATATTGTAGTTGAAAAGAATTCTGTAAAAATACGAAAAAAATATGTTAATCACGTTGGCAATAATTTATCACGCGATCAGCTTAACTGGAACAGTAGTGGAAGGGAAACAATAAAATAAAAAAAATATGAAACAATAAAATTCAAATTTTCTTGCTGTGGTTTTCACACCTGATGATGATTGCTTGTGTTGCAGCCGAAACGTTGTGATAATTTTATTGTTTTATATTTTTATTATTTTATTGTTTCCCTTCTACGTGGTGACTTTACCGAAAGAACCAGGAATATGGAACATTAGTAGAAGGGAAACAATTAAATAATACAAATATTAAACATATCGTGTTAATATCAAACCAAGTGCCGAGGAGGGGCATTCTGACTGAGCTTTTGTCACCGACATCCGCGAAAGTTTCTTAAAACCGCCGATTAATCACACTCCGTGGGCCCCTCCAGGGACCACCCAATTAATAATGCTGCCCTATAATGACATGCATGCTTGGGTTATTTCTGGAGGGGAGCGTAAATGACAGAAACGCAGCAATTCATCAGCATCCAACTCTAATTTGAATAGCGATATTTTAAAGGCATCAGCATTCTGTAGGAAACTGCGGCTACGAAAGGACACGGCTTGTGCCGTATTCCCCAGATGTGAGTGTACAATTGTGGAGAGCGGTGGCGCAGCGGTTAACGCACTGCGCTGCGAACCCGGCGACCCAGGTTTGATTCCCAATCGCGGCCAGCACCAGTGGTGATTATCTGAACCTGTCCTGGGCCTCTCCTAAGTCAGCCTCAAACGAGTACCTGGTGCTGTGTGTAAACATCGCCACTGGGGAGACAAAGACGGCCGGACGTGGTGCTGTCCACCCACCCCCCTCGTGTGCCCAACTGGCCTTCATAGGTGCTACTCGCTGACAGCACTTGCCCCAATAGTTTGTCAAGGCTACACGGGAGGTCTTTGTCTTTGTGTGTAACCATATTTGTATAACATCAGTGTTGGGGGTGCGTCTTGCTTTCCGGAGTGTCTTATAATCTGGAGAATCGGGTCAATTTCCAAGAATCAAATAATCCTGGCTTTGTAAAGAGTGGCACGGGGTGGTTGGCATGGTCCCCGGTGCGAAGGAGCGAGACGGAGAGGCCCCCTGTCCAAATTCCCGCTGGGCCCCGCTTGGCCCGTGGGCCTCGGTGTGGTTGCATTGCCTGCAACACTCTACATCCGCTTGATCTGCCAAGAAAACTCGCGGTGCTCCATCAACCGCTTCAGAGCAGCAACTGGTCGCTGCTGCGCCAGACCTCCACCTCCACAAGTCGAGAATTAAAGACAACCGACGGTGTGACTGCAGCCACCCGCACCAGACAGCGGAACCCGTATCGCAGACGACTGCATCCTTCGCCCGCTCTCTCTCCGGCGGACTGAGCAGTATTGGTCGCGGCTACTCCCGAAGCTATCGCGTGGCTCGTAGACTTAAACTTGGACGCGTGATTTGCACAGACTTGCCATACGCTAGAAAAAGACTATGTATGGATGTTGAACGTCTTTCGCGCTGCACGTAGCCAACCGTGCTCATCGGAGGTGAATAATGCGTGCATGGCTTGCTTGTGTAAGTGCACACAAACGCCTGCAACACAAGATGCACGCCTTGCCTTTTACAAGAGGATGTCCCAAGAATTACCAAAAGGCAAAGTCAAATTGCCACCCAAGTGACCAATGGGAATGGTGTTTGCCTCCTTTGATTCTACATTGATTTGTTGGGTGGCCAGTATCTCATAGCAACTACCACTGTCTTAGTCTTCTCACAGAGTCGTTTCCCTATTTGGCCATGAAAGTGTCATCGGCTGACTTGACCCCAGATTGTGGTTGGACCTCGGAACCTTTGTGGGCGCGTGTCTAAGCGTTCTGCCCATGGTGCCACCGCAGCTGGCTGAAAATGATGATGATGATATTTAAAGTTGAATGACTATGTGTGTACATTTGCATGAGTTGCGTATTCATGTCGAGAAGGCTTCGGTTAAAAACGTTCCTTATTTTACACCGACGCTCGACACGAACGTCTGGTCCTCCGTACAGCGACATCGTTGGCTTCACGCAGCTGTCCAGTTCGAGCACCCCCTACGAAGTGGTGGACTTCCTGAACAAGCTGTACACGTCCTTCGACGGGATCATCGACAACTACGATGTGTACAAAGTGGAGACCATAGGAGATGCCTGTGAGTCATCGCTTCTCTTCACCACCACCACCAGTCGGTCGGTGACATGGCTGCGGTGGCTAGGAGATGTTGACTACCTCGCCTGGTGTACGGGAGGTCGTGGGTTCAATCCTGACCCTAACGCCTGCTGCTGTATATTTAGAGTTTGCGGTGTCTCTCTCCCCGTGGCCGCGTGGATTTTTCTCCGGGTCCTCCGGTTTTCCCCTCCACATTTAGAATCAACGTAACGCGTTTAGAGGATTTGGCTGATTTAAAATGCCACGTGATGAGCCACTTCGTTGAGCTATCATTTGTGGCCAGGTCGCTTCTGAAAAAGAGCTGTATGGTTTAGTTTTAGAGAGCGTTTTGTCGTTCAAGGTACGTACAGACGGTAAATACTGCAGTCGTGTGCAACATTTTCTGTAAAACAAACGCCGTCTGTTTCAGGGTGGACGTTAAAGATCCCCTCACTCCATTCGATTAGCACGGCTGGCTACGTACGGTGCGAAGGAAGTTCAAAGTACGTACATGTGTACATTTCGAAACAGTAGGTCACTGTGTGCCCGGCATCATGGCCCATGAAAGATGTCACCGCAAATTACTCAAATTGGATAACACCGAGCAAAGTCGCCGCCCAGCCGTGCAACAAGCGCAGACTCTGCCTGCGAGGCACGGCAGCGCCGACCCTTCGCGCCCATCGCCCCGTGCCGTGCGAACGATTGTGCCACTGTGCTTTGTACGACAGGGTCTGGTATCTATCAGCTCAAACATTGAAATAATGTCGTCCTCATATTGTCTCTATGTTTGGTTAGGTGGTTATGTACGTGCGTGTGTTTTGTGTGCACGTGTTTTTTTTTTATTCCAGATATGGTCGTTTCTGGAGTGCCCACAGAAAACCACAATCAGCACGCCGTTGAAACTGCAAATATGGCTCTCGATCTGGTGAACGTGTGCCAGGCGTTTGTCATTCCACACAAACCCGAGATGCAGTTGAAGATCAGGGCAGGAATTCACACAGGTGACACACACACACACATTCCTCACTTGTGTGGGGGGGGAGGGGGAACAGGGAGCAACATTGCTCCGTGTTGGCAAACATCGCACCTCCTGGCTTTGACATTCCTCATCGAAGACACTGGTGGTGGAACCATCAATCGCCTCAGATCATCATCGACAGCAGGCTGATGCGCACATCTCCTGCACGTAACGGAACGCTCAAGACACGCGCCACAAAGCGTTTGTGCCGGAACTGTGGACCACTGCAGTCTGTTGCCCCAATCTCGTGGTGAGCAGACCTCGACATTGGCATTTAGCCCCTGAGCACATTGCCATCGCACGCAACAATAGAGTTGGCAAACGATGCCCAATTGCCGGCCGGTGCTGCGTAGACCTTGCGCCAGGTAGGGGTAATTGCCGCTGGGGAGAGATGCGGTGGAAGGCGCTTCAAGACGAGTTTTCATGGTTCTGCGTGTGTTTCCGCGTGGTGTCCGACGTTTCGCACTGCGTGCCGGGAGCTTCAATTCCTCGAGAGAGAGAGAGAAAAATGGTGCGACGCGCAAACGCATCGGAGAGTTACGCGGCCAGAAATCAACCTACGCAGTCACCCAACAAATATAAATCCCTATCCTGTGAAATGTCATGGTGTTTGTCCCCAATACGACTCGCTCTACCCCGCAATTACCCATTCTGGCCCTCCCCGTCTGTGGTGGGAGCAGAGTGAGTCTCTTGAAGGAGATGGAGAGACCTTGCAGGATTTGTTTCTCTTGAAAAAACCGCCGACCCCAAACCCACCACCTACTCCTTCCTGACAAACACAGACAACTCGGCATAGCAGAAACAGAGACAAAGTTTCCCCACGTAACCTTTCACAGGCTGTTGGGGCAAGCGCTGTCAGCGAGCGCCTATGGAGGCCGGCACGGCACATGGGGTGGTGGGTGGCCAGCACCACGCCCGGCCGCCTTTGTCTCTCTAGTGGCGATGTTTACACACAGCACCAGGTACTCATTTGAGGCTGAATCGACCTAGGGAAGGCCCGGGATCGGTTAAAATATTCACCCCTGTAATTATTGGTCACGAGCGGGAAAGTAAGTCGGGTCACTGGTGTCTTATTACAGTGCGCTAACCACTGCGCCACCACTCCCCACATACACGTGAACAAACCTAGGGCACACACATTGACTCATACAAAAGCAAACGCTCACAAGCAGATGTATAAAGATACAGACGCAGACACATTGAGAATACTCGTGTATCCGAGGCTGGGAAGTCCACTTGTGTTGTGCCTCGAAGCTTGCGAATCTACGTCACGGCCTCTCCTCCTGCTCATGAACCGATGTCGTCGATCCACCTCCGTTGCGGTCATCCCCTTGGGTGCGTTCCCTCCTTTGGCTGCCATTCCGTCACCGGTCTCTAACATCGGCCGTCATCCCGCCTAGCCGTGACGTGTGTCCTGCCCGCGTCCACTCTTTTATAGAATGATGTCTCCAATGTGTGTTTGTCCCTGCTCCACACGCCAGCCTCTGCCATGTTTCCTAGCCATCGGTCATAGCAGGCAACACGAACTCACTGAAAGCGTTATCCTCTGGGCACTTTGCACGCTCAATGTCAGCGAGTACAACCACTTGCGCCTGCTCTTGCGCCTATGTTGAGCATTTTGATCCTGGTGTGCCTTCAGTAATTATGATTGGCCAAGATATAGAGTACCCACGCAGTAAAGTTTTCCATTTGTGCCCCTCCAACGGTTTTGTTCAGTGGACTTGTTACGCGCGATGTGTTTCCCTCGTAGCTATATTTAGCCCAGAATTTGCATCCCTTTTTTTAAGTTCTTCAACAATTTCTCGTAGTTCATGTCCATTGCTTGCTGTTTTTACTTCATTGTCAGCAAGTTTGAAATGATGAATACTGCCTTCATTTACGGGATGCTATTAGCATCACTGACGCCACGTAAAATTAAAGTATTACGATGAATATTGTTTGCCTTAATTTCTCTATCCTAAATTTTGATTTAAAGCTTTCGTGACTGCAGTAATTCATATTCTTAGCTCTTTCGGTAAAGTCACGTTGGTTGAAGGGAAACATTAAAATAATAAAATATATATAAAACAATACAAATTCTCACGACGTTTCGACCATAACACAAACGGTCGTCATCAGGTGTGTCGGTTTGCATTAATTTATTTATTTTAAAACGGTTAATGCAAACCGACACACCTGATGACGACCGTTTGTGTTATGGTCGAAACGTCGTGATAATTTTTATAGTTTTATATATATTTTATTATTTTATTGTTTCCCTTCAACGTGACTTTACCGAAAAAGCTAAGAATATTCTCTATCCTAGTTGAGACAAACGGCCTTGGTACAGAGTCTCTCTCTCTGTGTGTGTGACTCCTTTGGCGCCCCCCACTTCACGTCCTCACCGCGTGCACTCGCGTCCCTGCAGGCCCAGTCGTCGCTGGCGTGGTGGGCACGAAGATGCCGCGCTACTGCTTATTTGGAGACACGGTAAACACCGCTTCGCGCATGGAGTCTACAAGCGAAGGTGCGTAATTGCACAACCTTGGATGCGCTAAAAAATAATAACTGTTACGCGGTAAGCATGCAATTCTGATTAACGTTGGACCAATTTTGGCCCAACGTTACACGTTTACTGGGCATTCATCCAGATGAACCTTGTGGAGCTCTTACGACTTTTTCAGGAGGGCCCTGCATTGGGGTGTTTGGCCAATACCGTGAATGAGTGTTCGGGAGAGAGCCAGGGTGTAGAGAGACACACCGGAGTACCTGGAGAAAACCGACGCATATGTGGTGGGTAACATTCAAAGCTCAGCACAAATAAATTCAATCCACAGACAGACTCGGGCTCAATCTCGTGAGTGGACCGAATCTGTACGCGCCATCTCCAGGTATTTTGCAGCCCTCACGGTCACCCGCCTACAACACCTGGCTTGAATTGGTGGGAACCCAATCGAGGCACGAAGCAGGCTCGACTCCCCTTAGCTGCTGAGATTTTTTTAAAAGGCCGTAGGTCATAGGTCGTATAATTCTAGGCGTGGAGTCATTCTGACTCGAGGTGCTATTCGACTGTTTAAATAAACATCCAGGCAGGTCATAGCTTAATATGCAGATGTTAATGCAGGAACCCACCAGAGCGTAGTACAATCACAGAGATGTGCTCTTGAGTGTGGAGGAGTATTCTCAAGTGCTCGTGGAAATGTTTTAGAGAGGACATCAAGTGGTGAGTGGCGGTGGAGCGTTCTGGGTGGCAGCCTGAGGCTGGGGTATGGGTGGGGGAGGTTCGCGAGAGGGGAGGGGGGAGGCTGAAGGGGGCATGGAGCTGTCAGTTTTGTGTCCAGTTTCCATGGGAACGTTATAGGGTGTGCATATTTTTTAAAAATATAGGCAACAATTTTTATTGTACCAGGTAAGGTCCACTGTGCTATCAATCTGTTTTTGAGAAGCGTTTTGAGAAGCGACCTGGCCTCACCAAAAGTGGCTTATTGTGTGGAAATTTTATAGCAGCCACAGACTCTAAACGCACATTTCTAAATATAGAGGGAAAAACTGGACGACCTGGAGAAAAATCCACATGACCACGGGGAGAACATGCAAACTCCATATATACAACAGGTGTCAGGGTCGGGATTGAACCCACAACCTCCTGTATACCAGGCGAGGGAGTTAACATCTCGCTACAGCGGTGCCCATATACATCAGTGAACCGTCGCTCAGTGAGAGGCTGATTTTTCTCTGCAGCTGATCCTACTGCCTGTGATTATCTGCACTTTTGAGACTCCCACTCCCTGTTAAAGTCCAAGCTCAAGACCTCCCCATTCTACCTATGACCGTCTCGCTCTCTCTTTGCAACCTGCCCACATCGACACTTCTATCATACTGTCATCCCAACTCCCTCTCAGGCCTGCAGAATTGTATCCGTCATTTCCCACAAGTAATAAAATAACCTCTTCAAATTCTACACTCGGGCATATGTCCCCAATCTTTGTGGCTTCTTGAGATGCAGCCGCACTTTAGATTATTTTCAAAATACACATCGTTTTGCATTCTAATGGTGGTTCTTGTGGGGCTTGTACGAACATTTTGAAGCATCTACAATATGCCTGCAATCTAGCACTTTGGAATCAAGGTGATGTGGCTCACACACCGATTTCAATGTGCACTGTGAGACTCGCTAACCTGCTGACTTATGATCTAGCCAGCAGAATGGTTGCAAATCCATTCTTGACCCATCTGTACCAACGTGATTATATTTATTGATTTCCTCCCAGTTATTCCGAGAGTTCTATCAACACAAAGTTACGAGACAAAGTGCCCATTCAGATCTCTCTCAGGGCAATACAACCCATCGTGTTAGAGAATGGCCCACAAAAGCAGATATCACGGAGCTACCCCTGATATACCTTCAAACGCCTTCAGGTCCGCCAAGTAGAGGCCAGAACTTTCCGCACCCGCTCTGCATACGAGAGTAATGTCCATCGCGTAGCAATCAAACCGATATTTATATTTTCAGAATTACGTGCAGAACCAAATTTAACATGACCGTGTATTTTTTTGCAGTCACTGGTGACCCTCGCCTGGCATGCAGGAGGTCGTGGGTTATCATTTGTGGCCAGGTCGCTTCTGAAAAAGAGCTACATAGCTCGGTGGGCCTTGCCCGTTACATATAAACACATTTTTAGTTCATAGTTGACACTTGATAACCTAGTTTAATCACAGGCAGTGGCAGCATGGATATGAACGCAGAATCTGAGCAGTTCCAGCTCCGTGCACTTACCTCAGTCTGCTGTGCAGACCTTTAGGTCTTCTGTCCTCACATGTGTGGGATTCACAGAAACTGAAGGTTCCTCTCACGTGCGGTGGTGGCTACGCACGCCTGTAATCCAGCGCTGTGGAGGCAGTGAGGGTTGGTGGACCACACAATTGTTGTGAAACTCCCTTCCCGTGGACGTCGAGATGCCATATGCTGGCTTTCCAGTAGAAGGCAATACAGCGAAATGCGGACCCATATCCTCTGCCCCTTCTGTGTTGGTTAGGGTATCCTGCGCATTTGTGTAGGGAGGGAGGGACAGATGGACAGATGGACAATTATGTCCTCAAGATGTGCGGGGATGCTATTCTAGGAAAAGGTTTTATCCAGCTGGCTGGCTGGCTGAAGGGACAGATGGACAATTATGTCCTCAAGATGTGCGGGCTGCTCGTGTTATATACAAATTAAATGGCCAAACTTTTTAAAGAAGAACCCACAGCAAAATGAGTATTTAACATCCCATAAACTAATTTGTTTTAAAAGTTAAATTACCGTGTTTCAGTGAAGTGAGAAACGCAAAGACCACTTTGCACAATGTTCCTTCGCGAAGCACATTCCATTTCTCAGTAAAATATAGATGGTGGCAAGGCCTGAAACTACATTCGTGTATATATTTTTCAATCTTCCAAACTCTTCAAATCTTGCCTCGTTCTTGATGGGCGAAATGCATTTGTGTTTTGCAAGATTTCAACGGGTTCCCTGATATGGTTCCAACGTGTCTGTTTGTGTGAAGCGATAGTTTGGTGGTTACCACGCTGCGCTACGAACCCAGCAGCCCGAGTTCGATTCCCACTCACGGCCAACACGACGATTATCTGAACCGGGCCTAGGTCTCCTCTAAGTCGACTCAGCCTGAAATGAGTATCTGGTGCGGCACATAAACATAACCACTGGGGAGACAAAGGCGGCCGGGCGTGGTGTTGGCCACCCACCCCCTCGTGTGCCGTGCTGGTCTTCATAGGTGCTCGCTAACAGTACTTGCCCCAACAGTCTGTTAAGGCTACATGGGGGATCTTTGTTTCTTGTGTGAAGCTCTGAAGATCCAATGCAGCCCAAGCACAAGCAGTATTTTGCAGCAAATCGGAAGCTATTTGCTGAGCTGTCGTGGAACCGTCACCGTCAAGGTAAGATTTGGCATTAGGGATCGGTTAAATGATCCATAATAGAGGTATTTTTGGGTTAGATCGCGTAAATATATAAATGTGTCGTGAAACCCGCCACCACCCGACACAGCCAACTAGTAATGGGTTGTCACGTAAACAGAACATGCCAATTCGTTACAAGTAGTGTGCTGGAGAGCCAAGCCACAACATTTACAATCTGAGTACGACGTTTTGCCAGTAATCACAACTAGCTTCATCAGGCGACAGCCAGATGAAGCCTGTTTTATTATTATATTTTGAGTTTGCGTGTTCTCTCTCTCCCCGTGGTTGCATGTATTTTCCTCTGGGCCCTCCAGTTTTGCCCTCCACATTTCGAAACGTGTTCAGATTATTTGGCTCCTTTACATTCCCACGTGTGATATAAGCCACTTGGATGAGCTATCATGTGTGCCCAGGTCGCCTGTGAAAAAGAGCTGATAGCTCAGCGGACTTTACCTGGTAAATAAAATGGTTTAGTTTAGGTGGGAAGGTAGGTGGGAATGATGGAACACAAAAAGTATTTCCACGTGAGTTCGTAAAGAATTAGCAAGCTCTTTTGTGAAGGAGCCATTCACAAATGGGCGAGATCCCCATGGGTGGGAGCAGCGGCGGCGGCGGCAGTGGTCACCGCCTTGCACTATGAACCTGGTTAGTCACGAGTTTGATTCCTGGGCCACGGCTAACATCAGCGGCGAGTGACGGTGTGATCCGGTCCAGGGCGAATACCTCTTCCCCAACCTTCACTTGCCATCGTGGTGCAAATATGTTCAAACAACCCTCGTGACTGATACGGACTGGGACAGCATCATCCAGCAGTAGATTGTTCATGGCTGACGGTGAAAATAATCTTGATTTGAAGCTTTCGTGACTGCAGGAATCCATACTCTTTGGTGCTTTCGGTAGAGTCACGTAGGCAGAAAAATAATGATATATTATTTTTTGTTTAATTTTTCTACCTACGTGACCTTACCGAAAGAACCAAAGAAGTGAAAATAATATTCATGGACTGATCTTCTTTGGTTCTTTCGGTAAAGTCACGTAGAATGAGAATAAATTAATAAAATAAAATAAATAGGAATAGGTTTTACCCTTTTAACTGGCACAAAAACTGACAACTTTATTCAAGGCATCATGTTTGCAATAACCACAACACAAGCAGTCAAAATGCAAACAAAAAAGACAACTCTGTTTGCATTTTGACTGCTTGTGTTGTGGTTATTGCAAACATGATGCCTTGAATAAAGGTGTCAGTTTTTGTGCCAGTTAAAAGGGTAAAACCTATTCCTATATCTTGTTTCTGGCAAAGGAGGTCTCATAATGAAAATAAAATAACACAATAAAATTCTCACGACGTTTCGGCCACAACACAAGTGGCCTTCTTCAGGTGAAAGGAACAGACCTGTCGGGACGACAGAGCTCAATAAGAATTTTATTGTGTTATTTTATTTTATTAATTTATTATTTTATTCTCATTTTACGTTACTTTACCGAAAGAACCAAAGAAGATGAATCCTTGCAGTCACGAAAGCTTTAAATCGAAATTCATGTTAATTTTAATGGTGTGTTTTTTTTGTTCAACTTGATTGTTAATTTGAGTTTGTGCCAAATTTGTATTTTTACATTGCAGGGGAAAGGAGAAATGATCACCTGGTGGCTGGAGGGGAGAGATACAAGTACGAAAAAATAAATAATACATTGGAGACACTGACCACGATTTCCAAGGTCTACCTGATTGTGCGATCATAGTAGACAAACAAAGGACTTTAATGAGTGTTATTAACATGCACCTAACGTCTGTTTTTCATTCGAAGTAAAATATACTTCTAAGTAAAAAAATAAACATCGTGTGCCTTTTGCACGATAAATTGTGATTCCTCGTGCCTCACTCCCCGGCTACAGCTGCTTCACACGCCAAGCGCCTCGGTCCTGCCCACAGAATCCTTATTTATACACTGGAGGAATCCGATGAGCTGTGAAGCTCTTTTTCACAGATGTACGTATGTATGTTGAACGTATTTTGCACCGTACGTAGCCAACCGTGCTAATCGGAGGTGCGGGGGAAGGACAACGAACTGAACACAGAAATCTATAATCGAGGTTTTTTTTTGGGTTCGATCGCGTAACTATGTGTCGTTAAACCCCACCACCACCCAACACAGCCAACTAGTAAGGGTTGTCACATAAACAGAACGCGCCAATTCGGCACTAGTACAGCACTACACCGGTGTGTTGGAGAGTCAAGCCACAACATTTACAATCTGGGTACGACGTTTCGCCAGTAATTACAACTAGCTTCATCAGGCGACAGCCAGATTTGTGGAGAAGTTCCCCTGTTTCGTTCTTTAAATAGAAGCGTAGATGTGGTCACCACTCTTCTGCGCTCTTGCATAGTGTGGGGGGGGGGATTACTGAGGCAACGTACATGATGCATGTGCATTATGCGAGCCCTTTGATCTTGTCCTTCTTGTCCATCGTATTAACATAGCCGTACCAACGGTAGTATGGTGGCCTGTATAGGCGTGCATTTAAACAATGTTTTATTTGATGATTCGCTTCCACGCAGCACTAAGTCGGTAGCTATCCGAACGGTTACAATTATTTTTTTATTTCTTTCAATTTGGTCACGACAGGCTACGTGTCAAACTACACACAGAAAGCACATGTCCAGCCGCGGCGTGCCAGAAAGTTTCCCAGGCCCCCATCTGTCCCCCCCCCCCCTGCCGCCTCCCCCATTAATCCTCATGCCATTTATCCCCACCCCCCTCCCTCTATAAGAGTGCATAACTTAAAATAATAATTTGAATTGTTGTGGAGAATGTACATACCATAACAAAACAGGTAAGCGGACGGTGTCACCTTCATATATAAAAGTTTTTATTTTATTTTAACCCATCGGCCCCATTGCCTTCTGTGAGTGCATCATTTCAACGGCATTGATTCGGCGCTAGCAAGCTCTGGACCCGTCTTGACGTACGTCCATCTCATCAGCAGCAGGCGGCCTCACTTGATATCACCGCTGCTCGACTGCCAGACGTTGCTAGCGGTGCCTCCGGTGTTGTCTGCAGGTCGAGTACGGAACGTCGCGTATCCCCGCCCTGGCGATTTAAGCGCCCAATCCCTTTGCAGTATTTGTGCACGGTGTGAACTCTCACCTTCTATAGATGTCCACAAGCTGTGTAAGATGACCTTTTGCGCACGCACTGATGTATTCTTAATCTCACCTAGATCCACTCAAAAGTGCAGTAAAGCATTTCCCACGTCTGGAGCGGGTCCCCATTCTTCTTTTCGTCCGGTCTTCTTTCGAATGTCGAGGTGAAACGAGCGACATTACTCTGCGTGACTATCGAGGTTATTAAGCCATTCCATAGGCTGTGTGAAGGGTGAATGACACTTTTATTTTTAATAATACTTTCATTTTATATAGCGTCGTTCGTACCAAAAACATCCCACAACGCTGTACATGAATTATACAGGATGCTTCAAAAAAATGTTCACACTTCCGAGAATTTGCAACAACCACCAGGAGAAGATTCCATGCCACGTGTTGACAACGATGGCGAACGAGTGGGGCACTTTTACTTTTAGAAGCTATGAACATTACATTTGTTATGTTACAGCGTAGTATTATCCCTTTCCATTAAAAACGGCAGTTCCGTTTAAGTGTTAACATTTTTTTGAAGCGCCCTGTATATATGAGGCAGAACTCCCGCATACGCTGTTAGCAACGTGCGGCGCGAACACACAGACACACCGAGCAAATGAGAACCCCGACTACTACCAAGGAAAATAAAAAAAACATCAGAATAAGCAAATTAAGAAGTGGCACCGAAATAAAAAGCGCAAACAATAACAAAGTTTTGATTTAAAGCTTTCGTGACTGCAGGGATTCATATTCTTGGTTCTTTCGGTAAAGTCACCACGTAGAAGGGAAACAATAAAATAATAAAAATCTAAAACAAAATTCTCACGACGTTTCGACTGCAACACAAGCAATCATCATCAGGTGTGGTTTTCACACCTGATGATCATCAATTTATGACAACATAGCGGTGGGTGGTGGTGTTCTTGTAGACAAATCGGCGGTGGAGAGGGCACTGGGATCACGTGCTCCATGGTCTGTGACCACAAGATCTCCCGTGCCCTGATCTACACAGATTCAGGGCTGCCCACTGTTTTTGTTCGTCAGCTATCCGTGTGCAATGTCACTGTCACTTCGTACAAACGTTCACGTATCTGCCCTCTTCGCATATCCGCCTGTTCCACCCTCAGTCCCCAGGGAGTCGGGAGTGTAACGTTGTGTTGACGAGCACGATTCGTTGGGAAAAGAGAAGTCCATTTCATTCGGGTGCATGTTGACGTGTTCTGTTTTCCGTACGATGTCCCCCTGGCAACAACAACACAGGGCACAGTGTGCTGTCTGACTATCGTTTTCACAGCTGCAATTTTTACACAATTGCTGCTCACACAACTTGCATCTTCATTTTTCACGACAACCGCACAACTTGCCAATGTGGAAATATCTTTATTACTAGGCACGCAACAATTCCCCCTCCCCCGCCTCCCCCCACACCATTCGATGAATCGTCACGACTTTGGAACGTGATTCAATACGGCAAACTGAAGAGCATCGCTGCCCTTGGAGGGATTTTGTTGTCGCCAACCCCACCCCCATCTTCCACAACCCCCACCACAACCAATCCAGCCCAACCTCATGTGCCAGGGGCGGAAGGTTGGGGTTTAAACAGAAAGAGGTGGGGCCTAAAGAAGAAGGGGTGTGGACCTAAGGAATGAAGGGGCGGGGCCTAAGCAGCGAGGGGGCGGGGCCTAAAAAGGAAAGGTGCGGGGAGGGGGGGCTAATCACGACGGGTGGGGGCTTAACGAGTGAGGGGCTGAGCATGCATAGATCGACCACCCTCCTCCCTGCTGAGTTTAATGAACGCACAGAATGAAATGCATTGCAGATGCGGCCAACTCGTCGATTATTACCTATCGCCGTCGTCAAGTGCTCGGAATCTGCTGCGGCTGCCGCGGTCTACGCGAGCGAATCGCGTCGCTCGGACGCGAATCTTGCACGCAACATTCGACGCGTGTGACGTGAGCGTAAGAAGCAACATGAATGCTGACGTCACAGACAGCTCCCCCTTCCGCTTCCGCCCCCCCCCACCCCTCGCAAACGACGACGACGACAGCAGAGCTCTTCATGGACGATGTAGAAGATAAATAATGAGACGACTTGCCTGCACGGGTTCTCGCCAGTTCCCATCGTCGTCGTCGTCATTATCATCAACATGAGCCATGATCTAATGAAGGCCTCCGCGAGCTGTTGCCATCTCCCTCACGGTCACACGATGCAGCGATCCACAACTCGTCCCGTCGCTCCATATGTGCGGCAGTCTTTGGTTGCCACTTATCGACCCTTCCAGCCATCACGTGACCGGCCCAAGGCCCCTTCCCTTACTTTTTTAGACGGTCGACAAGATATCTCTCCAAGTTGACGCAAGTGTCCCTCTTCTTTTCGTCCGTCAGCGTCATTAAAAACTCTGCAGTAGCAGTGTGTGCGACTGTGGTCATCCAGACCAAGACAGTACAACGTTTATAGCGACGCAATGCCCCGATCCACAAATACGAAGGAGACATCATCACAGCGACGACACACTCCGCTACTGCTCCTGACGCGGTTGTCTGGCTTGACCACCTGAACGTGGAGTTGTAGTTGTACGAAACAAGAAGAATACGTGTTATTCCACTTTACAGCTTTTGTTCGACTTTCTTTGGAAAGTGTTTTGCTGGCTAATGGTCGATATTGGCAAATATGGTATTATCCATTGCCGTATGCTGCACCCAGCGGGCAATCGTTCATCGATTCGAACCATTAAAATTGATCCTTGCGCTCACGACACCCGCGTCGAATCTTGCGTTCAACGACTGATCGCAGTATTTACGATTCACGCACATGGTGGGAAACCAAGGATCGGAATGCGTCTGCGAGGAGATGCACCGATGGATTCAGCTCTGGTGCAAGGTGGATTATGACTCTACATTGCGGTCCTGGGACAGGTGGTGGTGGCTTGCTGAGGCTTTAATCCAGCAGTGGAGTGACCATGGCTGGTGATGATATGCTAGCACAAGATAGGTCAAACGAGACGGAACGAGGTGATCAAAAGCAAACATAGAACAAAAGTGACGTATGTGTTGTGAATACGGGTCATTGCCCGAAACGTCACCTGTTATATACTTGTTTCACCAAGTAAAGCCCAACTGAGCTGTATAGCTCTTTTTCAGATGCGACCTGGCCACAAATGATAGCTCAATGAAGTGGGTCGTCATTACGTGGACAGTTATAGCAGCCAAATACTCTAAACGCGTGACGTTGATTCTAAATGTGGAGGGAAAACCCAGAGGACCCGGAGAAAAATCCACGCGACCACGGGGAGAGAGACACGCAAACCAACTCCAAGTACATATACAAGTGTCAGGGTTGGGATCGAACCCACGACCTCCTGCATACCAGGCGAGGGAGTTAACATCTCCTCGCCACCATGGTGTTTTTGACGAATGTGTTGAGTTTTTTTGTTTGTTATTTGTGCTTCTATACCACCGCCAACATCGTATCAACAAAACAATTGGCAGGTTTCTCAAATCGCCTGTCTATGTTTACCCAGCAGTAAAAATGGACACACCACAGTTAGTCCATCTGCAAGTCACTTGAGGTCTGATAAGGTCCGAGTACTCCAATCTCTTCCAAAATCATCTGGACAGCGGTGAAGTGTAGACCAAAGCCTTATTTATTTATTTATTAGAGGAGCACTTTGGAGCCCTCTAAAGTGGAAGTCCTGCCAGCAGCGGCATTAACAAGCAGTTGTAGGGCTGCACCTTTACACCTCATCATTCCCCCCACCGACAGTCCATTGTGAAAGTTGCTTGGAACGTTTCTGGCATCCAGAGTACTCCGTAGAGTTCACTTCGTCATTGAGAGTTGTGAATATCGGTGATGAAAAAAAGCGTAATTCAAACT